AACCACATTGAGAACATAATCTAATGTACTAAATAGCGTTTGCCTAATTAAAACAGTTGACTTTGAAACAAAATCAGAGCTGCTGATTATTCTTAAAGTAACTTACTGAAAGCAAAATTGTAGCAGTGCTTTGAGAATTCTCAGGAGCTTACCCGGTTATGGTTGCAAGATTTAATTTTCTTGAAATGGAAGGAAATGTTAACGCCAGTGTCTCATTGTCTAGAGTTGATGGGGATGGACGGGAATTTCACTGCCAGCCCTGTTGGAGGTTGGCAGCAGCATATGTCAGCAACCAAACTAGATACCCCTTGGACTTAATCAGATGTTGTACCAGACAGAATAAATTACAGTCCTAATGCAGAGATAAGATTAACAAAAGATAATCTCCTTAGGCCCTCACATTTTTAGTTTGGGATAAGTGAGCAGGGCTGAGCCTTAGGTCTGTGTGGGAAGTATGGATTTGTTGAGATACATGGCTTTCAAGTGCAGGGATCAAGACCTGGTTTGGGGATGAGAAAGTGTGACAAATGATAGATGAGGCTTGGGGTTTCTGAAGGTGAGATGCGTAGGAGATGGGAATTGAAAAGAGGTCAGTAGATGCCACGGGAAAGAAAGGACAAGGGAGATTTTTGACACTGGGGGGTGAGTAGAAGGATTAAGAACATGGGCCAAAGTTGCAAGGCAGTGGATAGTAGTAATGGAGTGTAGAGCTGCTGTTGTCCTGGTCTTTGGAAGGAAGTGTTGAAGTGGTGGGGCAAGCAGGACCTTGAGGGGGAGGTTTACAGAGGGTACATCATTAGTACTGTTGTCAGTTGCAAAAGTTCAGTGAAAACTTCACTATTTTTAATTTGTTAACCTACTGAGTTTAAGTTTATCCCTTTAGAAATTTACAAATGAAGTTACTAAATTATTAGAGGGAAAGATGTTCATATGAATCAAGCAATCTAGTGAGAGAGACTTTACAAAACACAGGTAGCTGCTCTTGTGTTTGAAACCTCCATATGTCAGGGATAATGAAGACACCAAGTGTGTTTTTTCTTCTCTTGCACTGTACCACCAGTTGCCTTGTGAGCATTCTTCAAATAACTTAGTGGAAGAAGTACCTTTTTTTCTTTTTTTTTTTTGAAAGCAGAAACCAGAGAAATATTTTCAGATTTGTTCTGAAGAAAGTTTTAGTTCTCTAGTTTGAACACTGAGATGTGCTGATATGACTCTATGTATGACTGAATGCGAGAGGTATTGGTGGGAGCAAAAGGAGAAAATTGTAAAATACTCTAGGAAGAAAAAAATGCAGGATTTAGCAGTTAAAGCAGACACTTGACTTTTCTACTGCACAGATGAGTGTTATCATCAGCTGGAAGTTTCACAGGGTTACGAATGTTTGAGATTGGAAGGGACCTCTGGAGGCCATCCGGTCCAACTCCCCTGTTCAAGCAGGGCCACCTAGAGTCCAGTGCCCAGGTCTACGTTTGAATGTCTTCAGAATATCTCCAAGAACTAGGAATCTACAACCTCTCTGAGCACCTTGTGCCAGTGCTTGGTCACTCTCTCACAACAAAATTGTGTTTCCTGATGGCCAGAGAGAAGCTTCTGTGTTTCAGTTTATACCCACTTCCTCTGGTCCTGTCACTGAGTACTGCTGAGCGAAGCCTGGATCCATCTTTTTTACACCTTCTCTTCAGATTTTATATGTATATGTGTGTGTGTGTGTGTATATATATATATATGTATATGTATGTATATATGTGTATAAGCTTTCCTCCCAAGACCTTTCTTTCTGCCTTTCCTCATAATAAGGGTGTTCCAGTCCCTTAATCATTTTCATGGCTCTTTTCTTGGCTCTCTCCTTTCTGTCCATGTCTCTCACACTGAGCCCTGCACTGGACCTGTACTGATGCCTGAGGCTGTTCCTCCCCAGCTGTAGGACTTTGCACTTCTTGTTCAGCTTCCTGTCAACCCATTTGTCCAGCTTGTCAAGGGCCTTCTGGATGTCAGCACGACCCTCTTTTGTATCAACCACTCCCCCCCATTTCTGTTGGATAAAAGAAATATTTCTCTTAAGGGAGCTGTAAATTTTCTGTTATGATTATGTAATTTTGAGATCATGAAAATAAAATTTCTTCAATAATTTATCACTTAAAAACTCAGACTTTTCTTTCACTTTTGGCTAGTATATATAGCAAATACTAGATATCTGCTGAATGTTGAGTAGATTAATAGTCATTTTGTTACAGATGAAATCAAGTTGCCCTCAGTTATGACAGATGAGTTGGTTGTAAATACTGTTTCTTAATTATCCGTTCAAAGTCAGTCAAGTCTTTCTTTACTCTCAATTTTGTCTCCTTTTTCCCTTCCCCCAAGACACATACTGCTGACAAAATGTTAACTAACCTGAGTAGTAGGCAAAATTGTTTATCTGAAGGCTGCTTATGGTGTTTGGAGAAGGAGGTGGAACTCTGTGACCTGTAGTCTTGGTGGTTCCTCTATCTTTTTGCAACATACCAAGAAAATTACTTTGATAAGACTTTGAACCAAACCCAAGGCCAAAGAAATTTTGTTTATTTTTTCAGTTTTTAGTGCATGAAAGAGTTGAGTGAACTTTGTGCCATGTAAAAGGATTAGCGGTTGAAATGGAGAAAGCAGTTCCTGATTCTGTTTTATATGAATATTTTCAAAAGTAATAAATAAGTTTTCTGAAATAGAACAGTGCTACATTATGAATCTGGCATTCAAAGCCTGGAGACATTTAGATTCTATGGGCTGTGAGAATAATTTCCCATGCCGAGGTGATCTGAGAATGTAAAGTAAAATGTGTGAAAAAGACACTTTATTAGAGAGAAAGATCTTTAATTTGTGACAACTATAATTTATTATGCCACCCATCTGGAGGGTTGCCTCACTAGCTATTTTTCAAGCTTGTGTTTTACCATAGGTTAGCATTTAACACATGAAAGTTTAAAAAAAGAATCTATCACCACTATATGAATCAAAATCAGTAAAACAGCTGTTTTTCTATTTTACACAAGAAAAAAATCTATGAAAAGTAAATTCCCTAGGTGCCCTGCTAAAGTGTACAACCACATCTAAAGAAGGAAAAAGTGAACACTATTTATTGTTGAAACATTCGTAGACTGGGAATGATCAAGAAAATCGGTTAATGGCAAATGATTTTTTTCCATGTTGAAATGTTGAAATGCAACTTCAGATTATTCCAGTTTTTAAAAAATGAAGCCAAATGTGAAGCTCTTAGCGAAACACAAATCTTTGCAAAAGTTCTTCGTGCTGTTTAACACTGAAGAACAGGGGCTACCTTTCAGTCAGGCATGGTCAGAGTTTGCTTCTGGTTCTGTACAATTGATAGATCACAGGTAAGATGAATAATGTCTAGCTCACACTGCATGATTCTGCCCCAGTCAGGCAATAGTGACAGACACATAAAATGTGTCAACTCATATTTTATGCTGAAAGGAGAATTACTGAAATCATACGTGTTGGAGTGGATTTCTGAAGTATTCAATATGAAGTCAAGAAATTCCTATGGTCATTTAGTGTGTTACAGTCTTGTGAAAGCATGCGACTTGTCTTTTAATTCGTGTTAACTGGGATGAGCTGGATCAGCAAGTATCTTCCCTGCTGCTTGGTGTGTCTCTTAAAACCTGTAATCTTTAATCATTACAATGTATTTTATTTTGAGCTATTTGCTTGAGACTAGTGGACTTCTGTGCAGTGGTAAATATTTTATGGCAGTTGTTGTAAGCCACATCTTTGTATTACTTCTCAGCTAAAAGACTTTGGATTTGAATGCTGGTTATGTAACACAGAGATGCTTCTGAATAAGCCTTGAGCAGGTGGTGGTGTTTTTTTAATTTTGTTTTTTTTATTTATTTTTGTGGTGTTTTTTTAGGTTTTGGGTTTTTTTTAGTTTTTTTTTTTTTTTTTTGTAATGTGATCCTCTGCACCACTTTGGTATGCAGAAAGTATTTTGTTTTTCAGTTTCATGTCCTGCCCGCCTCCCTTATGCTATACAGTTGTGAATTACAGCCTGGTTATTATGCAATTCACTTGGGATGTAGATACCTGTTTTGCAGTGTTTTATAAAGCAAAAAACAGCATCCGTAAAATAGAAGCTATCCTGGTCATTGGGATTCTCCAAGGGAGATCCAAATTCCTAAATCATTAGGAGACTTGTGTTACAGCCAGTGCTTTTGTGAGCGGTTCCAGCTAGCAGAGCCTATGTTCTGTTGCCAGTATTTGTCCTCTTGAACACAAAGTGTGTTGGGAGCTGACCTGGACTGGGGCAGCCCTTTGCTCTCCCTCTGAGTGCAGCTGGTTTTAGGCTTGATCCATTCCATAACCTGGCTCTTCCTGGGAGAGGAGGCATTGTAGCAGTTGGAAAGAAGAGGGAGGGTTGTGAGACATGGCTTGCACAGCAGGACCAGATTGAACTGGCTGAATTCATTTACAAATCTGTGCCTTGATGTCATCATTCTGGTTAAGATGCCCAGCTCTTCAGTGGCTGGTTGGCAAGGGGACTGTGTGCTTCTCTGTTTTGAGATTTTATGCAGCTTGACTTTGTCTGAATAGCTTTTCCTAAAGAAAAAAAGGACACCCCACTCCCTCTTCCCTGCCCCCACCCCAGCTAATGTTATTTGGAATGGGTGGATAGTTCTGAAGTGACCAGATTCATGCTTCTGATGAGAATTTGTCACAAAAAAAGAAGTTCATTTTGCTGGACTTGCACCTATCTAAAATTTACCATTTTGCACTTTTAACCTGAAAATAGCATAGCTAGACAATCAGAGGTTCTGAAGATTATTTAAATCCTTGTCATACACACATACACACACACACACACAATCTCATTTCCAGTGAGATGGTACATGTGTTTTCTTTCTTCTGGAATGATGTATAAAATCAGATGTGTTTTAAGTGTTAGCTTGAGTTGCCTTGAGAGAAAAGTGAGAGAAATATAACTATATATAATGTATTATTTTTAACAGCTTGCTTTTACACGAGATGGACTATGTGGCTTGTGGAATGAAATGGTAAAAGATGGAGAGATTGTATATCCTGGAACAGAATTAATACAGAGTGGTGAACTACCTCCAAGAAAAGGTATGAATTTCTTTTAATTTGTTCATTTTTTTACTTTCATTGTGATGATGAAAATGGACTTCAGCTTCCATACTATCACAAAACTTTCGTTTATCATCACCTGTCTGTACAATTTGCAGGTGTTAATGTTCTGAATTAAATACAATTGAAAGCGATTTCTTTAAAGTGTATGGAAAAGTAATGTCCAAGCCTCCAAATGAAGCCTTAAATCTGTTCCAGCCTCTGAAATTTAACGTTATAACTAGGCATGTTATTATGAGAGAGGCTTGGCAGTGTCTTTCTGTTTGGTATGCTTGGTGTGTTTACAGCTTGAAGCCTTTGTTTAGAGGAAGTGGACTGAGGAATGGGATAAAGCTGATACTGCTATTTCTAATTTTGTTTACAATCTTCAGAAAGTAGCTGAAAGGTCAGCTTTAAAACTGTCCATAATCTGCCTGAGAATGTAGTGCATGGTTTTGGTTGTTTGTTTTTTTTTTTAAGTTTTCAGTGTACTTTGAGCAGTTCTAACACTCTGCAAACACTGCAAATGGCAGAGTAATACATCTATTTAGAGAGATTACTTTGGTGGGGGTGGATTTTGTTTTGTGATGGGCAATGCTGGAATGGGATGATTCTGCTCTTGCTTTCTTTTTGTCTTCACCACAAAAATGGTGCTCTTTTGACTCCTTACTGAACAAAAAATTAAACTAGTTAAAAAGGAAAATATTTGTTTCCTGATGTGGTTGAAGTGGACTCACCAAATGGTCAGATAAGTTTTGTCAATAGTTTGTAAGATTTACAGATAAATGAAGAGATGGGTAGAAATACTGTCTTTGGTAACAAGGAGCTATTTTATCATCTATTACTTCCTGAACTGTATTGAGGGGGGTAGAATGATGTTTCAAACCAATAATGCTCAATTTCTCACATTGACAATTTTTTCATGCCTCTAGTATGCCTCCTTTAAAAATAGGATAAATGAATGGATGTGTTTTTGACTAGAGGGGGTGACTTCTACAGGAAGATACAATAATTTGAGAAAAGAATGAATTATAGTTGATATTACTTATCAAGAGTATAAGCTTTGTTGGTTATTAGTGGCTGCATGCTGTAGAAAAAAATCAAGTTACTTTAACCTGATATATTATATTATATATGATATTATATATATTACTATATATGATATTATATATGATATGATATTATTAACTGTTTCAGAGTTAGAAAACTTTTGTCTTCCCTATGCTGCTAGCCCTTTGGAGTATTATTGTTGACACTGGGTGAAAATACAGCTGATCTTATCAGAAAGGCTACTACCAGAAAGCTGCTTGTGAAGTAAGTGGAGGTAGTGTAGTATTTTGTTCTTTGGATTGCCCAGTTCCATGTATATTAATAAAAGGTGTTGTAAACTTGATGCAATAAAGGGAAGGATTACCTCCTAAAGGAATTGTAGGAAATGCTTTCCCATTAACTGACAGCTCATGATAGAGGTGTTGTGGTGGTTGTGGTATAACCATTCAACACACTGTGCTTTCATGTAGAAGAAGGATAATAAACATCTGTAAAACTGAAGGATATAATAAAGTAAATACCTATATTGTAAATGAAATTGATGAATTGATCTTTTTTGTGCCGGGTACTTACATGCTGTTTTTAGAGTTGTACCTTTGCTAGTCTTTGACAGAAAATTGTTCCAATATTTTTATAGCTAAGTAGCTGCAGAGAATTGAGATTTTTAGTTAGTTATGGTGTAAAGTATAGACAGCAGTATAAAATAAAAATCCAGAAGTGATAAGTCAATCATCTGTGACTTCATGTTTATCCACACTTAGGACACTTTCTCATCGTTGTGCAGAGTATTTCTTTTTTTTAATGCTGGATGTATGTATGTACACCTCTTAGAAGGTTCAAAAAGGTATAAAGTGTTAAAGGCTGTAAACCACTGTTATTTAAAAATACAGAGTTTCTGACACTTTACTGTATAAATAAAGCCTTTATGATGCTCTAAAATGTCCAAGCTGTGATGAGGCTTTTGAAAGCTTTCTCATATGCATAGTGTGGTGATGGTAAAGGCAGACTGCCGCTTGTTTCCAGTACTGTATTGTGGTGGGTTGACCTTAGCCAGGTGCCCAGCCTTCCAGCTCCTTGCTTGCTGCCCCTCCTTGATAGGACAGAGGGAAAAAATAAAATGGAAAGGTTTGGGGGTTGAGACAAAGCCAGGGAGATCACTTACCTGTTACCGTCATGGGCACAATACTCTTGAGGAAAATTAGTTTATTCTAGTGCCAATTAAGATAGAATTGGATGGTGAGTAACAAAGGTAGAAACTAAAATGCCACCTTCCACTTGTCTTTGTTTCTGCAGGAGTTAAGTGTAGGTATTGTGTAGCACAGATCACACCTGTTCCTTTACACAGCAGGAGGGTATATGTTGTACTTATTTCTTGAAACAGTTACTAGGTGAGGAATTTAAATAGCAGCTTTTTCAGGCTCTTAACTCTTAGAATAATGTATGAACTGTGCTTCAGTGAAGTTAGCCTTCATAAATGTTATTGTGTTGGCCTACAGGATTCTAAAATACAGCTATCTTGCTTATCAGGCTTGAGTTTTGAGGGAAAAAAGGGCTAATCAAAGCTATTTTTGGTCACTGTCAATCAGGTTGTATGTTTGATTCTGTTAGGCAGTAGTGAATCATGGAACCAGAAAAATTGATGGCTGTTTTGCACCTCTGAACTTGCAGCTCAAGTTGAGTTTCATGAAATAAAAATCTAAAGTATTAAATCTGTTTGGCTGGTACTTACTTTTTATTGCATAAATGATCTACAAATGTAATTCAAGAGGAGAGGGCAAAGTACGTACAAATAATGAGATTTATGTAAAACCCAGTGGTTTTACGTGAAAAGCAGTATAGATTAATGTCAATATTCAGAGTTTGCTGCTATATTTACTAATGTGGAGATGAGCAAGAGAGGTTGCTGTATGTAGTCCCTTTTATTCAGTCTTTTTTAAGAAGTTTCGATTTAGGCCCATCCACTATAAGTCTGTTTTGTCACTAGCTCTCTGTTGATGCTGACTGTTCAGAAGAGACACTTCATTCTGTTCGTGGATATTAGCAGTGGCAGTAGACTGGAAGAACGAGATATTGATAGCAAAAACCATTCCTTTCCTCTCTAGGAAGAGTATAGAAGTAGTGAATTTTTTTTTTCTCCTGTTAGCAAGAATGTTTGCTTAGGAATAAGGTCTTAGTTTTGAATTCATGGCACTTTAAGAAAAACGTGTTTGATAAGTGTGTTCAAAAGAATGTGTTTGTAACATCTGAGGACACAGCTGAGACAGAAGTGATGTCCAAGTACAGGTGCACTTGCAGCATTGCAGGTATTTCAAAGACAATCAGGCTGCCCTCAGGAAATTTGGATTAGATTAATACCTTGTATATGGGAAACTATGTTCTGAAAATAATAAAAAGTATTAAATAATATTATTCTTACTAAATTTTCAAGTTAGAGAACTGTTACTGTAAAACTTTAAGACAAACCAGTCTCTTTAAGACATACAGGTCTCTTTTGTGGGTTGCTATTTCTTATTTATTTTTGATTCCTCAAACTTCATAGGTGGAAAATCCTGTTTCAATTAACTGTTTTAAGTTCCAGGATAAAAATATAAAATCATCAGCTTCATGCCTTTGTCCTGCCTTTGGTAAACACTGTGGGCTTCCTCTTCTGTTCCCCCTTTCCTGAAAGCTGGACCTTTCTCAGCCTGGTGCCTCTGAATACACAAACCTCATTCAGTGTTGCACCTGCAAGCAGGTTAAATGAAGTCCAAATGCCACAAGCAATTCCAGAGAGGCTGGCAGAAATGAAATAGTTGTGGCAAGAATAACAGTATGTGGGAGTTGGTTGTGGTGGCTGCTGTTCAGACCACGTTGTAAATCAACCTGTAGTAGTGTGTAAGGGGTGTAGGCTGGCTCCCCCTTTGAGTCTCCTTTTTTATGTAAGGGAGAACTTGTTAAAAGTGAGAAGTGCCACTTTTCTCTTCTGCTTCCCCTGACCCAGCTGTGGGCTGCACCCAGTGACTCAAGAATTCAGTGCTCAGCTATGGACTGTCGTACTCTCACTGCAGGATGGGAAGTCTGTAGTCACTCTGTTGGACGGTTTGACTTCAGAAGTGTAGAATGCTCTACTGTAAATTAAAAACATAATTTAATGCATTTAAAAAAAATAAATTATACTAGGGAAGAAAAGAAACTTTATTCCTGATTAGGATTAGGAGATTAGAATCTTATCATCTAATCTAGAAGTCTGTATAAATATGGTTTGTAAATGGTAAGGCATGTATCTTTCCCTCACAAATAACTATTGATTTTGTGTATGTAGTAGGTTATATGTGTGTGTGTGTAAAAAATGAAGGATTTTTGACAGAGAATAGATTGCAGCTGAAATATTTCCTGAATCTGGGACTAGCAAATGCTGGTTTAGGGTGGTTATAAGGTACAGCCCTTGTCTAAAGCACACCTTGTGACTTTTTGCCCTGTCAATGGCAACATCTGTAGGTAAACTGTTGCAGGCTTTCTCTCTGTGGAGGAATTTCCAACTACGTGAGTTCATTGGCATTTCAGAGCAGCACAAGACCATACTCTAACAGGTGGTGGAGGCGACTATGCAGTGTCAGGTTTTTTTCTTCATTGATTATGAAATGTAAGTTCCATTTTTAGTGCTTCCTTTTTATCCTCTGTTTATACCAGATTAGGCTATGGCTGTGCAAGATAGTGCACACATGGTAAGCTGCTGTGCTTTGATTTGGGAGCTAATTTCTAGTTGAGTATGGTTATTTCATTTGCTTAGTTTTGACTGCTGGCTGTGCCTACCTGCCTCAGTGTAGAGGTATAAGGCTGTTAACTAAAATATAATAAAGAGAAAGGTCTTTCAGGGAGATGTTACACAGTTGTTTACCCCACCACGATGTTCACAAAATTAAGTTAAATCATGCTGACACACTGCACTGTATTTTTGCAGGCATTGTTTTGAAAACTGTCTTATTACTTGTTACTTTGGTCTGTTCTGGCTTCGCTCAAGACACTTCTCCTCCCTGTCCCTTTCTGGAAAATCATTGGTTCTTCCTGCTTAAGAATCTTTCATGAAGCATAACAGAATAATTATGGTGTCTGTGTTGCTGCTTTCAATCTAGACTGATACTGTCTTTGTCTCTTTGTGTGGCAAGTGGTTTTTGCAAGTGGAACTGTCTTTGTGGAACAGTTTGACGTGGTCTTTTAATGTGAGTTTTAGGTAATTTCCTTCCTACTTTTTTTCTCATTTCTCCTCTTCTTGGTTCATATAGACAATTAAAAAAAAATCCTCCTGTGGATTTACGTGCCAGGATTGTTTTTATTCCATACAAAGCTTGAATTCCCACCTGGATTGGGATCTCTACCTGCAGTGAGGAGTTGGATAAAATTACTAAGTTTGTAGCCCTTGGTTGTCATCCTTTGCCAAGGATCTGTTAAAAAGTATAACAAGTTCTCCTACAGCTGCCTGCAAAACTGCATCTTGGCACAGCACCCTTCTACCCACTAGCTAAAATTCCAGACCCTGCAAAGTGTGTCTCTAGACGTGTGGGTGAGTGGAGAAACAGTGACATTATGGTGCTACTGTGGAAATATTCTGAGCTACTGGGGCTGAACAGGGTCCTTGGTCTATAATGGGTTCTGTACTTTTAATGTTATTTGCTTCTGTCTTTGAAAAAAACAGCTGGATTGAATCACATTTTGGACATTGTTATCAAACTGGTGACTCACAGGCTGTTCCTCGGTGTTTGAGGGACACAGTGAGGTTCTCTGTTTGCCACTTACAAGAGGTATATTCAAATTGTGTTTTCCTGCTCTTAAGTGACTTTGCTATCTCTTCCTTGGCCCACAATTTCAGCTCCACTATGGATACTGTGATTGTGCCTCCTTTCCTTTTTTTCCTGCCCTTCAGTCTTCATCTTCCACCTCCTGAGCACTAGTGTCAGTTATAGGTTAGGAAGCAGTGCTTTAATTTAAAATTTGTGTATTTAAGGCTCCCCAAAAAAAGCTTTATTTTGGGAGGTGTTATTGTCTCCAGTTAAAAAAAAATAGGGAATCACAGATCCAGTTCCAACCAGATTAAGCATTAATTTTCTGTTAGGCCGGATGGAAAAAATAGTTGAATGTTTTTGTACATTGTGATAGGTGTTTTTTGTACATTCTGAGGTAATGAGAACCTTTGATCTCACTCTGAGTGTGAGGCAGTCTGCAGTCAGATGTTCCTCGTCTGGCTACTGATGTAAACCTCTTGCTTATTATTTTCTTATGATTTATACCAGTACAAATGCTTTTTTTTTTTTTTTTTTGGTGGGGTATGTGGGGTGAGAGAGTAAAAAAGACAAAATACTAGTGTTTATCTGTCACGTTGTGGCTGGGACATTTATGAGGGAGTCTCTGAACTAGATTGGCAGCAGATAGAAATGATGGATTGGTCAGTTCTGGGAGCCAGGTAACGATGGCTGGGACTGAACCCTTCATGGACAAATTTCAGATGCTGGACTTGAGAAATTTTGAGTGGTATGGTTTGAGAAGAAGGCCAGGATTAGGAAAGTAGTGGGTCACATGTTTGTCAATTGCAAGGCAATCTTACGCATTGAACTGCCTGGAGGTATGGATATGGAAATCCATAGTCCCAATATAAATAAAGAGGAGCTTCCAGCTGTCTAGTTCTACTGTCTTTAGAAAATTGAGATTTCAGGCAGCCTTTGATTTCAGTGATAATTGACTGATGCCCATGTTCTGACTTTGTGAAAGTTGTCTCAAAAGGATTGCACGTGCTGTTTTGTTGCTTGGGCAGGAAATGGTAGTATTATTTTCATTACTTGCTAGTAATTACTGAGATGCTAGATGTTTTACAGATGTTGACATACTACTGCATAAAATTAGGGTAAATGCCAATATATAGCTCTCCTAGATTTTGAATTGAAGGCTATTGCTGTCTATTTTTATTCTATTAGAAATGGAATGTAAAACAAAGAAAATACTGCAGCAATGGGGATAGTTGGGGGCACAATCTGAATTCAAGTACCTCCTTTGCAGTACTGTGTATTGCAAAGCCTTTGAAATTCTTACATGATGGTGTCTATATTAAATGTTCATCATCCAGAGGAAGTTACAGAGGTGATTTCTGGATTGTAAGGTCACTGTCTTATGAAATGTAACACGAGACCCAGCACCTGTGACAGTTTACATGATAAAATACTACTTCCCCCCATGGTGTTCTCTTAGTGACAGACAATATTTCTGTAATCTGGTGGGCTGGGGATTTCACCTTTACATTTCTAATCTAGACCTGAATTCCAACCTGAATTGAAGGTAGCTTAACCCATCTTTTTTCCCTCCCTTTTGTTTTCTTTAGATGATAGCACTGAATGCCAAACTGCATCAAAGAAAGAAGAGCAAAATGACAAAGAAAAGAAAGATGAAGAAGAGACTCCACTGCCCACTTACAGGGCCAAATCGATTGTTGAGAGTTGGGTGTGGGGTAAACAACCAGGTATTACAGCTGTTTTGGTCATTGTCACTGCTATTATGTATTCTATAGTGATCACTACTTTTGTAGCTTCCTACTTTTGTAGGAAGTATTTGTATCAAATATACTTGCTGACATATGCATCTCTTAGGTTAGTGAAATAAGTTGGGTAAGTGGTTAACTGTGATTGAAATGAAACCTTTGCTGTTATTAATTTCAGGTTTAATTAGACTCTTGACTTGAAGAGTCAATTTGCCCCTTTCAGGCTGCTTGAAGGAATGATAGACTGACTTGTAATAAATGAAGTTACCCAGTGAAAAGTTCCAATGTCTTCAGAATATTTCTTTTCAGTTGCAGGCATTATAGAGAAATTATGGTAGTTTCTGAAGCTTGTATTTTCTGCAAGCAGTAATGGTTTAATAGGTGATTTTTCTCTTTGGTTTCATGTTCTGGTAGATAGGTTTGTGTGAATCATGGGAGGAAGGTTGAAATGGTTAGTTCAGTTAACTGTTTGTCTTGATCTTTGCTGACAGTAATTGCACCTGTGCTGGCAGTGGAAAAGCCGTTTGTGTGTTATTATCTTCATGTAGGGGTCTATAAAATAATATTTTTGATACTGAAAGCTGTTAAAGTTTGTGTCTGCTTGTTACTGTAGAGCAGAAGTTCATTGTCTAAAATTGTCCATGTTTAAAAATAGCAGATCAGAAGAAGCCTCAGTTCAGTAGTTTGTTTTACAGTTCCTGGTACATGATGTTGCCTGATTCAGATGTTGGCATGTACAAACTTCAGAGACATCTGTTGTGCCACTTGTCCTTTCCCCTCACCCAGAAGCACTTGAAGATCCCTGGGAAAAGTGTTATCTCTTCAGTGCCAGAATCTGCATCTGTGTAGCTGTGTTTGCTAGGGGAGATACTCGTTTCTGTTCAGCTGCAGGTCAGCTGCCAGTCTGCTGTCCTCTGCTCTGTGCCAGCCTGCTTGCTCCCTTTCCTTAAGGACAGGGGGACAGATGGATTTGCTGTCACTCTGGTAGTGGGACAGAATCTTGCAGTATATCAGGAATGATAAGAATTGCCACTACAGTGGAAGAGGGAGCGAGAATTCAATGTGGTGGAGAGATGTGAGCAGAAGGTCACATTATTTATGTCTTATATTCTTATTTAATGTGTATTGCTAGAAAGTAAAATAAAACTATTTTACAGAATGGTAATTTAAATGTCAAAAATCTTACCAAATTTCTTCCAGCTGCCCAAAGTGTTTGGGACAAGACTTGACCTTTAGGCTGACCCTCTAATTATTTTTTAAAAATTGAAAAAACAGTTTTTTCCGAATAAAAAGGATGTACATGTGTTTGGAGTTTTCAGAAAGAAATAGATTTCTGTTTTGTAAATAGTAATAGCTTTTCTGTTTATAAGCACTTTTAGTGCTTATGGTTTATTGCCACATGTATGGAGTCTTATTCTAGAAATAACATGTGAAGACTTCATAATGTGTCAGAAATAAATTTTTATTCCTTGGTCTCTGTTACCATTTGTGCTTGAAGTTTGTGTCACATAGCAAAAATCCTTAAACATAAATAAATAAATATATTTATTGCATAAACAAACCACAGTTGTGGCTTTTGTTCAAGATTGTAGGTTACCTTGTTAATTTTTGCCTTGCATTTGTCAGATATGTAGCTAACAGCTGCCTTTCGAGCCAGCTCAAAAGTTTTTGTGGCTTGGTAATTAATTTTGAAAAAACTATACAGCATCTGCTCCATTTTGATACTTTCTGTTAATGTTTCATAAAATGAGAGCTGTTTTACACATTTTTTCTGTTATCCTTCAAAAAATGAACATTTCCTTGTCAAAACCATGAAGGAACTTTTAAAAAAGGAGAATTGCTTCTTAAATATATCATTGCTGACCAAGTAAGAATTAAAGACTTACTATGTCTTCATTTATGGTTTATATTCCTTCCCAAGTAAGGTATAATTCAGAGATGGAGATTTGAAGTTACGTTACAAAAAGAACTGAAGGGGCATTTAAAGTCAGTGTTTCAGGTCAATACACTGAAGTATTTCTACTGAGTTTAATGGTTTGCAGCCTTACATTATGAAAATAGTAACTAGATATTAGACACTGTATGTTTTAGAAGCGCTGTAATACAATCTTATTTTGCCAAGTGTGGAGGACCTTGGTGTCAAACTTCAGCAGGCTAATCTAGGTCAGTGGGCCTTGTGACACCCCTCCCCCAGGAGGGCTAAGAGATTGTGAGAGAAAAATCTGCTTGTTACATGTGTTGAGAAACAGAACATCATGCGCCCCTCGACTCCATGCTTGTTTTGTCATCCTGGCACAAGTTCAGAGAAGCAGAATGCTTCCTCTAAGTCTCATTTATGCTAAGGTCACTGTGCTGTCAGAACAGAGCAAAGACATCATAGTTTTTTTCTTTTTTTCTTTTTTTCTTTTTTTTGTAATGGTCTTACTATTCCAAGTACTGTAAGAATACATAAGAATAATAAATACATGTGTGTAAGTCATTATTTGACTTTGAGTTTTTTTTTTCCATTCTCTTTTGCATGTTAGTATTCTTCCATTTCATATTCAGCTCTTTTGTGATACCACTGTTAGACTATTCATTTTTTACATGGATGTTCCTGTAAACTATCTTCTGCCTGTTGTATTCGTACCAGGTTGAGTACATTTATAAAGCAGCTCCTCTGATTCTTCCTAAAAATTCTTGTTTACTACCTTCATCAGTTTTATTTTCTGAAGATATTGAGGTTTTAAGATCTTATACGATTTGAGGTCCAGGTGTTTACCCCTAGGTATTGGGGAAAAAAGAAAAAAAAGGAACCCTTTGAAGTGGTTGTTGAAAGCCTACAGAAAACAGAGCAGTATTTCATCTTCTTGGGCTTCTTTTTCTTAGTCATAATAATCTTAAGGTTTGCTATATTGAATCCAATTTTTTACAATGTTGCATCTTATTTTTCTGATACTGTTATTACAATATCACCAAGATTGCACCAAGAAATGCTTTATAGGCACTCCTGAAGAGGCAAGGTTAAAATTAACCATGTGACTTCAGTGAGCTTGTTGAGAGACTTATTAGTACCGAGTGCCTTTGTATTCCTGCATTTGTCTTGTGAGAGGAGCTAGGCAGAACTTCCATCTTGTAAGGGGCTTTTAGTTACATGATGAACTCTAAATTTACAGTGTTTACAGAAGTAATTAAAAAGTAGTCAGGGCATTGAAAAAAACCTTATTTTAGCCTTCTTTATTGAGATATTTTTGGCTTTTATCAAATTTCTTGATTCATACTTTCAAATTTAGATTTAGAAATGCTGAGTCAAAGGATGAAATTTGACCTCCCTGTTTTGCATTTCTCAGAGCTCCTTCATCCCGTATTTTCTTCCCTGTATTTTCTTTTACTTCTTTGCCTTTGCATCATCATCCCATCCTGTTCCCTCTACCCCAGCTTGAAACCACTTGTCCAGGTCCAAATACCTGTTTGGCTGCTGTTTATGCCCTTAAGGAGTGTATGTGTTAGCATGTGTTTTTACACACAAGACAAAATTCTTGCTATTTTATTTGGTGCATGAGTATTAGAACATCAATTTAAATAAGTTTTGCTGACTATCTAAAACTTGGAAAATTATAGAATTGTAGAATATGCTGAGTTGGAAGGGACCTATGAGGATCATAGAGCCTAACTCTTGGTCCTGCTCAGGACAGTCCCAAGGGTCACACCATATGCCTGAGAGCATCGTCCAAACACTTGTTGAGCTTTGTCAGGCTGGTGCTGTGACCACTTCCATGAAGAAGTTCACTGCCCAACTGCCCTTTGAGTGAAAAACTTTTTCTGGATATCCAGCCTAAACCTCCTGTGTCTCAGCTTTATGCCATGTCCTTGAGTCCTGTCACTGGTCACAAGAGTGAAGGATGGGTGCTTGCCCCTCCACTTCCCCTGGCAAAGATGTTGAAGACCACAATGAGGTGTCCCCTCTGTCTCCTCCAGGCTGAACAAACCTAGTGTTCTCAGCTGCTTCTCATAAGGCTTCCCCTCCAGATCATGCACTGTCCTGTATCCAGCCACAAAATGAGAGGCAATTTGAATGCACAGATTGTATTTGTACAGAATGTACATTTGTATTTGAATGCACATGCAGCTAACCAATATTTCTCCTGCTGAGTACTAATAAGGTGAAGTCTAACGTTGTTCATCTTTTCAACAGGGGAGCAGAAAGCTAAAATCTAAATGCTCTTTAGGCCTGTTTTGGTTTTGTTTCTGAAGGAAATTATGTTTACGTGATGGCAATTTTGTCCTTCCCTCTAACTTTTGAATTTTCTCATTCTAAAGGTTTTTCTAAAGGTCATTAGAAGCCTGTTAAGCCAAGCCAGCTGCATCCTTTATTTCCTCTTTGTCCAGTGGAAATACTGTGTAGTGGGAGGGGAAAGCAAAGACAAAATATTAAATTCTCTAGGAAATTAGAGCACATTAGTTCTGCTGGTGACAGGAATGTGTACTCATTATAATGGTAGATTCATGCCAAATTCTGCTTGAAATGTGTTTCCAAGTCTGAAATCTCTCCACACTGTAACAATTATATTTGCTGTTAATAAAGTTTGGTAGTCAGCCTGGAAACAATTCAGTCTGATATTGGCATTTTTAAGGTGTCTGATTTATCTGTCAGAAGCATGTGGTGTTCCCTAAAAGAGCTAATGAAATGAATATTAAGGAACCACGAAGCATGTTAAATTATTTCTTTGTGCTGCTGGAACAGGAGCACACTGCCTTTGGTCATGCTACCTGCCTTAGGTTCATGTCAGGTTGGTGTTCTGGCTGTGGCTGAGATGGTTTAAGAAGCTGCTCTCTTCAGCTGTTTGTTTCATCCTTTATTTTGCTTAAATATCTGAATAACACCACTTCCTAATGTTGTTCTGTTAAATAGGCTGGGTTAAACAATTCCAGTGTTTTTCCTTCTAGTGCAGGGGACTTTGGGCAGGAGGAATTAGGAAGTGAAGATGCCTGTGTTGTTTGCTGAGGAGAGTGAGAGATGTAATAATTTTTAACAGAAGAGGGTAAATCCTTTACCTGTCTCTACTGCAGACAGCAACATACCTGACTATGGCTGCCAGTTAACAAGTGTTCTGCTAATGGTGGTTTGAGAATTTAGACTGGTGTGGTATGGCTCCAACTCCTACAGTGCAGGTGCAGATTAGGGAAATAATGTGTCTCCATCCTTCACAGAATAATTGGCAAAGCATAGCATTGCAGAGGATGGTTAGCATCAAGGGCTGGTGTAGTGACATATGAACAGTTTTGTTTAAAGAGTTGCCTGTAACCTTCTCAGATGAAATTTGAATCGTTACTATTAATAAGCTATTCTCTCATTAGACTGTTTAGTTCATCAGAACAAGTGTTGCTCAGATTTGAAAGTTTATTGAGATGAGTTTCACTGCATTGGTTCCCAGATGTATTTAAATCTTTAGAAAGATTAACAAAATTTTTTGTAAAGATAAATTTACTTGTGGAATAAGAGAAAATTTAAGGTGAGAATGTGTATAGATATATTTCACTTAAAAATAGTGTTACTTTTAATAAAACAAGACAGTTCTTGGTTCAGTTTTTAGATATCTTAGTTATAAGGATAGTATTACCTGTTCCAGCCTTTACTACACTTTGTATATGAACTTTGTTTTGCATTCTTACAATACTAAGGAAGTTTATATAAAATATTTATGAGCATAATTATTTAATTTTGTTAGAAAGCCTTCCTAAAATTATAGCCATTTTTATTTGTGGAGGCACATCCTTATCCCCCAGCTTTCTTAACCTCCCTTTAGATCTGAGATCATTGAAACATGTCAAACCCTAAACCTTAAAAAGGCAATTGGCTGACAAGAAATGTATCTAGTTTATGTTTACACGTGGTTGTCATTGTGGCTGATTGAAGGTAGTTTGAAATGTATGCATTGCATATTCAGGATTTAAGGAAAGTTCCTTGTGAGGTAATTGCTAGAAGATTGGTGAGTAGGTGGTTTCTGCTTGTCCTAAGTGTTTCTAATAGTCCCCATGATAGATTTTTTGTGTGTTGTTTTGAAACAAAGGTCTTTTTCACCTAAGTAAGTCTTCAGCTCTCAGAAACAATTTACGAGGGTTTTCACTATTAGGTGACCTGCCAGGCAGGAATGAAGGATGAATGCTGTAGCTCTGTATTACTTGACAGACTGCTGAATCTATCACCCAGTGCTTGCTTTCTGTAGTACCAAACATCAGAGTCTCTTCCCCAAGCATAGGTGTTAAAGTGCCATCTTTTTTCTTCATTGACTATTTCTTTACTTTTCCTATAGGTATGGGACTATCAATTTAGGAAATGAATCTGCAGGATGAAATTATTTGTCTAAACAAACAGTGATAAGCAAAGTCTCTGTGAAGAAGAGAGCATGGTCATTTTTTACTTCAGTGTTGTAGTCTGGTGGTTATTTAGAGGTTGATAGGACTTTAGTGTTCAAGAAGAGGAGAAAAATGTCATTATTTTCGTGTATTTGGATGGTTTGCTTAAAGGGATTGTGAAACTGGGATGTGTCAGAATTGACTGTGTTCTGCTGTGGTACTCCGAGGTATTCACTGTGAGTTGGTTTTCTTTGTGAGTTTGCTCTGTGCTACAGAGTTCTTTGGGAAATTTTGTAGAGTCAAAATTAGGGATGGTGTGGCTTTTTGTCAAATTTCTTGTTGATTTTGTCATATTTCTTGTTGTTTGAGTCAGCATGTATAATTGCTGCTGTCACTTTCATCTGAGAGGTCTTATCTGCAAGGAATATTTTTTTTAATCTGTTCTCTCTTGCTGAAAAAATAATTCCCTCATAGTCAGGTGGAAAGATGTGAATTGCCCAGGGAAAGGAATCTAACACATTATGAAATGGTGAAATGTGAGTAGCAATGTTGAAAACAGGCTGGGGTTATGGCTGACAGCATAAATGACTGTGCAATGTGATCCAGTGGCAGAGAGGGCTGCTTGAATTCTTTCCTGGGTACAAAAAGATGGGGGACAAAACTTAAAAATACTTTTTACAGCTGCAGTTGCAAAAGAAGTTCTGTGCCTTCTTAGATAAAACCTTTACCATAGAGACTACCATAAATGTGTCTAAATTTCTATAGTTTGGAGGCACTTGTTACAAAATACATGTTGGTTTTGTGTGGTTTTGGGGTTAGTTTTTTGTAATTATTTTGAAGTGTGTCCATCTTCTCACAAGCCATTGTTACATATATGCAGACATATGTTTTCTTTCATACCCCTTATTCAGGTGTCATTTAAAACAAAGATACTTCTGTGTAGCTGCCAGGCAACAAATGTGGTTGGCTTTGGGACAAGTATAGTAATGCAGTGCAAAGAGGAATGGGGTAGCTCAGTGATCAGACTGTTAATGAGGGGACAGAAAAGAAGCCCTTTAGGAATGTACTTTGTTGATATTTGTCCTAGGAATTAAAGCTACAGAATATATAAAAACACAGTTTATAAGTTTTTGTTTTAAAGTGTTTTTTTTGTAGTTATTTTTGACAGTGTATTTGTTACTGCTATTAGATTACTAGAACTTTGGTCTGTTGTGTACTTTGGTGAAGAGAAATAAGAATTCTTATTCTGGTGCTGGTGCACAAGTCAGATCTTTTATTTACTAATAGTACTTGAAAGCATCTTAAATTTCTGACATTATTTGTTTCAGAAGCATAGCAGCTCTTGGCAGTGATCCTAGAACTTCAGAGAGTAGTTTTATAACTTCTGAGAAACTTAAGAGAATGTGTATGGGGTGAAAATGAAAGTATATTCTTGTGGGGACTTGCAAGGCACTTGCCTGCACTTAAGTCTGACTCTAGGATTGGATGATGATAAGAATTTGTTGTCTAACTTGTTTTTTTGGAATGCATAAATATTTCCTGTGATGTTTTAATTTCAGACATGAAATATGAAGGTTTTGATATGTTTAGACAAAGCCAGTTTTGATGATAACCTTTGTCTAAGGTTCTAATTATGTCTACTAACATACCTGTTAAGTATGATTGTATTTATGTCATACCCTGTGCATTAAATATGGAAACAGAGTTTCACTGGACTCAGACTTTCGGTCAATTTACAGTTTTCAATTTGTCTTTATTGTTCTTGATACTTTGTATAACAAAGATGAATGTCCATAAAATAATTTCTCTCTCTGATACTCAGACGTGAATGAATTGAAGGAGTGCCTTCAGGTACTGGTGAAGGAACAGCAAAGTCTGGCCACACAAACTGCAACAACAGCTCTCTCAGCCATGAGGCTAAAGCAGAGGCTGGTTATCCTGGAACGATATTTCATAGCTTTGAACAGAGCAGTTCTTCAGGAGAACGTCAAAGTAAAGTGGAAAAGCAGTAGTGTTCCTCTGCCTGCTGTGGATAAGAAGAGGTAATAACACATGCATGAACAAGTTAATCCATTAGAAAAGCCATAGAAAGGTTATCAGCCTGTCTGTGAGAGCTTAATCTGTTTTATTCCTCCTTGTGAAACATTAATTGTAAAGAAACCTATTTCTTAAGATGGCTTTACCATATTAAGTGGTGTTACCTGCCATCAGTCCTCCTTGCCTGTTGCTTTCTTATAGTGTCTCTGTTGGTACTAGGAGGTTTTTTATTGTAATACATTACTGTAGATATTAAGGTTTGAGCTATAAGTATACATTTATTTAAGTTTTTTTTTTTTTTGTTCTGCTCAGCTATAAAGTATGGAGAAGCCTGTTTCAGAAATGGTGCTAATGGAAATTACATGGTTTGAGTAACATTATATTTTTGTCAGTAGTTGCTCAGTTAAATAGTTGCTCAGCTCACATAAATTAAAAATACAAATACATAGAAGCAGAACATAGAACCTTAGCTTGGGTGAGAAATGATGTAATTGTGCATTTTGTATGCAACTAGTTAATACAAATACAAAAAAAAGCTGAACATAGTTTTTCCTTAGTTTGAGTGAGAAATTATGTAATTATACATTTTATATGCAACTATTTCAAGAGAAGTAACTGAGTAAGGAACTATCTGATTCCTTTTCATGTCAGGATAACTATCTAGACCTAAAAATAGAAAAATCTATCAGATAAGGCATTAAATAAAGTGTTCAGTAGCTGCCTGACAGAACAAGTAATTTGGCTAGGGAAATTTTTGTTAGGTTGATCTAGCTTCAGATATGAAAGGAGAATGTAAGTAGATATCACAACTAGTTATTATGGAATTGGAGTTCTGACAAAGGATATTTTTATATGAATAGACTGTTGTCTTGAAATTTTTTCATCTCTGATTAAATAGAGCACTGATATGTTTAAGTTATCATATTGCTAAAAATACAAGTATAATTTCTTGCAAAAGTCCTAAGACATTCACTTTCTTTGTAATCTCACAAAATAGATTCAGTGGTTCAGTGCTGGAAGTGGTAGGGAATCTCTTGTTGTTGACTACAAAGGGGAGCTTACTTAAATTAATTTGATTGTATGAGAAGTTAACAGAAGTGTGAGTCCATTGGATGTTATGAAAAGTTGAAGCTCTCTCTCTTCCTTACACAAGTACAGAAACTGCAAAAGAGAGATTTTTAGTGTTGACACTTGAATAGGAAGAAAAATAATGTAAAAAATGAATGGAATTAATTATCAATAATTAAAGATTAAATAAAGAAAACTCTGCAGACTTTGTTTTTGCAGTCCAAACTAACTAAAAATATAGACTTCCTGAGTAAATAATTGGTACATTAAGTACCTTATGTTTGTGTATTTTGAGCAAAGCATCATAATTTCACTTTGAGTAACTGTGGGCATTTTTTTGGTGGTAGTCCATTATGCTGGTCTGGTTTATATTTTTTCTCTTGAAGCTTTTTGATATTGGACATTGAATTGTTTCTTTGAAGTGGTTGAAGTTGAATTTTGGTTGCTGACATTTTGATGTTGTTCACCTGGTTTCTCAAGAATCACAGCTGTGATCCTTTACAAATAAAAATTGTGTAATTGTATATGCATGCATATTGCTAGATTATAAAATCATTTAATCTATGTTATACAAAATAATCATAACATAAATATATATAATTGTAATACAAATTTATTGAAACTATTCATACATAACTTTATTTAGCTCAAGACCTGTAGGCAAAGGTGTGGAAGGACTTGCCCGTGTTGGATCCCGAGCAGCACTTTCATTTGCATTTGCTTTCCTTCGTAGAGCCTGGAGATCAGGTAGGTCTGCTCTTGAGCATATTGAATATATATTTCATTTGAAGCCAGGTGACTCATTAAAATTTGTGTGTGTTAAATATCGGCATAGAACTATAAATTTATGACTGATAGATTTGCATAATTGCACTTATGTGATACTATGCCAAACAATATTGTTGCTGATCAAAGCCACCTAAGCCATTATCAATGCTGTTTTTTTCTGGAATATTTTATGCTGAGGTAGGTAAGTTTGGATTTCATGAAAAGCATGTATTTTTAATGCTAGATTTCAGAAAAGATAGATTTATTCTTCAGACAAGGTCAAGCCACTGTATTACTGCATGATAGCAGCAGTTTAGAAAAAAATTTGGAGTGTGAAGCTTGTGTTTAGTTTGTGTGCTTGTCAGCTCTTGTCAAATTGCAGAGGTTGGCAGAATTGTCACCTGTGCCACTAAACCTGCCTGACTCAGCCTGGACCATTTGGTCAGATGTCAGGTGTGGGCTTAATCCAGCCAACCCTAGATATCCTCTTAGTAGCTACATTGTGAAATGGACTGGTTTGGGTTTTCACCTTTCTGAATTTTGTTTTTTTGGTTTTCTTTTTTGGTTTTTTTTTTGGCAAAGCTTTCTTCAGAATCTTGCAGTCAAATGTTCATGTGAAAATTGAGAACTCTGTCTATAGGAAGTACCTTGTATCTTGTGTTGAAGAAAAGCTCACCAAAATACTGTGTACAACAATTTCTCTAACTTCTGTAAAGAGGGGACTGTAACTGCTCTTGCTGTGTTCCTTAGGTGAAGATGCAGACTTGTGCAGTGAGTTGTTACAGGAATCACTTGATGCATTGCGAGCTCTACCAGAGGCATCCCTTTTTGATGAAGGGACTGTATCTTCTGTGTGGCTGGAAGTGGTAGAAAGAGCTACTAAATTCCTAAGGTCTGTTGTGACTGGGTAAGTTTCTACTTTTGAGCTGTTAAATGGCAAGTGTGCATCTCTCAGAAGTTGGTGGTATAAACATAGTGATTTATAGAAAATTTGAAAGATTTCCTTCCTTTCCTCATGTTGTTATACAAGCAAGCAAAAATTAATGGACTATTAAAATGATGCTCTTTAAATATGATTTCATGAATTTAGCTTCTTAAGAAAAACGTGAATTGGAATATTCTGAATCACTGCATGAAGGCTTACCAAAACAATTGTATTTTACTCATGTGAATATATCTGCAGAATTATTCTTTGGTAATGCTATATATGTGCACTTTTAATTGTGCCCTTCAAGTACGGTAAGATAATACAGATTTTTGTGCAGAAGGGAAAATACACTCATATTGAGCTTGGAAAAGTCCCCTGCTTTTCCCTGTTGCTTATGTGGGCTTCAAGTTGCTACCTTTTTACAGTAGTTACTAGAAGTTACTAGTGGTTACTAGATATGTCTTTTCAATACTGGAACTACATCCTTTAGGTGAATATCATAAAGCGTATTTGAATTTCAACTGTGAAAAATGTTTTTCATATTCTCAGCATGTTTAATAGAACTGTAGATAGATGGTGAAGCTTGGGGTGTTTTTAAAGCCTTGCTGTCCCTCTAAAACTTGATCTAGTTTGGAATTTGTAGGCTTTTCTTCTCAGCTGCTTTCATCATCCCTTTGATACTTTTCTGTAAGTTTAGTGGTTCTTAGGGTGTTGTAGATGCTTTTGGTAAGCAATTGTGTATCATTTCCTATTAGTTAATGTATATCATTTGACTTTTAAATAGAGATGTGCATGGAGCTCCCAGTACCAAAGGGCCAGGAAACATTCCTTTGCAAGACCAGCACTTGGCACTTGCCATATTGCTTGAACTGGCAGTGCAGAGGGGTACACTAAGGTGAGAAGCATGAGCACTCTGATTTTTAACTGTCACTGTTGGAATGGGCTGATAGTCTTCAGTTTTCATGGGTTTGGGTTTAATGTAATAATTGTGGTTTAAAGCATATGCACCTTTTCATTAAGACAGTGGTGACTGAGACCTAACATTATCTAGATTGCAAAATCCGTTTTTTATATTTTGATAATCTCTTTGAAACAGAAGGCCCTGACATCCAATTTTGCTAAACTTCAAAATGTAGGGATTGAATTGTATGGATTACCTAACCCAGTGGTTTTAGGAATGCTTATTAATAGAAAATGTTGATTCCCCCTTTTAGCCAAATGTTGTCTGCAGTTATGTTGCTACTTCAACTTTGGGATAATGGAACGAGGGAAACAGATAATGAGCGATCTGCACAGGGAACAAGTGCACCCCTTCTACCTTTGCTACAAAGATTTCAGAGTATAATATGTAATAAAGACATGCCCAATACTGAGGAAGAGATTCAGGTACTTGTTCTTGGATTATTTGAAGGAGGCGTTATGTTGGAATCAAATTTAATTTGCCTAGCTAAAATAATCATAAAATTATCCAAACAAAATTGGTGGTGGTGTTTTCCATGTAAGATGTATATACACTGTGGTCATTTGGTTTTCATATTTCATTTGAGTTTCTTGAGGTAGGGGCAAGAATGTCATAGCATGATTAGAGGTAAGCATTGTTTCATAGTTAATGCTGATGTGATAATGAACTTAGATGTGGCTAAGTAGCTTTTCTGCATATTGGGATTGTTTTTATTCTGTATTTAATTGAGTTATGACTCTTAGTGGCTATTACTGAGGTTGATAAAACACAGTAAATCAATTCTATTATGCTGGTAGCTTTCTATCATATACACAATCTTATTTTGTCAACATTTATGTTTCAGATTTTCCTCTAATGTAAAACAAAGGGTGTGCAGAGTTAATTAATCTTCTCTTACACTTGTGCTGATAGTCATCTTTATTTTTTACTTCATCTAAACTTTATTGTGTATCTGCAGGTGTAGTCTCATAGGTATACCTTGGATGTTTTCCTGACAGCTCTTTTCTCTTCTCCAGCTCCTGACTTACCCTCTAAGTCCAAATGAAAGTTTTCTGAGGTATCTGACTTTGCCACAGGACAATGAGCTGGCGATTGATCTGAGACAAACAGCTGTGGTGATCATGGCCCATTTAGATCGCCTTGCCACCCCATGTATGCCTCCACAGTGTAGCTCTCCTACCTCTCATAAGGTAATTGTTTGCAATTTCAAATATGATGTTTTCCCTAAAAGCATCACTGAATTTCAGAATGCAAGGGGAACAGCTCCTAAGATTCTTCAAATTCCTTTCTGATTTTCACAATGTAACCTTGAGTTCCAAAATTTCTCTTACTTGGGTAACTTATATTACATCAGCCCCTTTTCAGTGAGCTTTTGAGTGCAATTTTATGGTTTATGAACCATTCTTTCTTACCACATTATGGCAAATTCTGCCATATTTTGAGCTGTTCCTTGTGTTTATCAGAGTAAATTCTCAAGACCAGACTATATAGATATTGGGGGTCTGATGTACTAAAAAAATAAAAGAAAGAGAAAAGTAAATGCCAAACTTTCCAACTTGGAAAATATCTGAATCTCTTACCATAGATACTTATTGCTCATTTACTACCAGACTGAACTGAATATGATACATGCAGGTCTTTATTTTTGCTGTCTTCTAATTAAGTAGGTTTTATTGACTGTTGGAAAGAATGATGGTCTCATATTTGAACATATTTGCCATATAAAGGTTTAAAAAATAATTTGCTCTGTGGATTTTAATAAGTTGTGTATTTCAAAATTTAGTTCTTACAGAATTTCTTGTTTCCTAGGGATCATTGCAAGAGGTCATTGCTTGGGGATTAATAGGTTGGAAATATTATGCTAATGTGAGTGGTCCAATTCAGTGTGAAGGACTGGCCAACCTTGGTGTTGTACAGGTGGCTTGTGCAGAGAAACGTTTTCTGATTTTATCTAGAAATGGAAGAGTTTATACACAAGCATATAACAGCGATACTCTGGTGAGAGTTCTTTATGTGTTTTTAAAAATTTGTCCTGTATTGCTTGATGAGTTTCCTCTTCTAAATATTTGCAATTTCTTAGGAGAGTAGATGGAGACATTCTAATTTTTTGTGAGCTTTCTGTTGTATTTGAACTTTCAGAAGTAGTGGGGTTTGCCTCTTGATTTGTTTTGATGAAAAGCTATGTAGTTTCTCAAACACTATTGTCACCCTGAAAACTGAAGCCTTCTGATAATGTTTTCATAGTTTTAATTACTTTCCCATGGAAGTTCTATAAACATAAGTTGTCTTTCACATTCTTTCTAAGAAACGTCTTTTGATGGATGTTTTGCATGACCAGTGTGCTTGGGAAGGTGGTAGCTTGATTATCCAATCCCTGGTCATTGTCAAGAATCTGTAAATACTGGAGTCAGAGAATAAAGGTTGATTCATTCCTGTTGTAACACTGAGAAATGTTTGTGTGAATCATTTTGAGTCCTTTAGCGACACACTACACCATTTACAGTAAAGTAATTAGAAGCCTTTATCACTAAGGTAGCCTGTACTTAAGATAAACTTAAGACAGACACCATTTTCATATGTACTGAAGACCTATAAGAATGGGAACAAATAACTTGAAAGCATTGCTTTTGTCATATTTGACCATTTTGTTCTTCATGCCTTCATCTCATTAATTTGAGAGCAAAGTTTTGATGAAACTGGAAAATAGGAAAACTGTACCTAGTTACGTGATGGAAAACATCAGCAGATTTTGTAAGCATATTGCTTTTGCTTGGTTTACAGGGACCACAGCTGGTGCAGAGTCTAGCTTCCAGAAATATTGTGAAGATAGCAGCACATTCAGATGGGCATCACTATCTGGCTTTGTCAGCAAATGGTGAAGTTTTCTCTTGGGGTTGTGGAGATGGTGGAAGACTAGGTCATGGGGATACAGTGTATGTATTAGAAATAATCATAACAATTATTTGCAAGTGTTCTGAGTTCATAGTAAAAATAATTTCGCTGTGTATGTAAGCAATGTTTAGCCTTTGACATTTGGCTCTGTTACTGAGCAGAACTTGCATTCTCCCTGCATGTTTTCTGTCTAGAATATTCCTGGTTCTCTATTAATGCTACTTGCTGAAATACTTGTAGGTGGAGTGAGTGGTGTTATTAGGCCTTTTATTAATGGTTTTATGAATCCAGAGCATGTTTTCTCTGAAATGTTGACTCACATGTTGAAGCAGGGTCATTATTTTTTATGCGGTGTGTTGTATGTTGTACATTATTCCATTTTTCCCGGACATAAATCTCCTGCTTCTGTGTAGATGCAGTCTCCTACAACAGTATTGTATAGGGGATGTACATCAATAAATTTTAGAGATTTTAAGTGTCTTCCCCCAGTGCAGAATTCCTTCGAAATCAAGAGAGAGACTACACAAGGGTTATCAGTGTCATGAAATTAATTGTTCAGATACAGTAATTAAAGGTAGTATTTTTAACAATACACAAATATTTTTTAAAAATGTTGCATGAACTCAATTGGAAACAGGTTGCAGTTGTTAGACATTGCTTCAGTGGTTTGTGTGTTGTTGAATAATTTGAATAAATTTAATTTTGGCTTCTAGCTCTATTTATATTTTGTTATTTCAGACTAATAATAAGGCTTGTAGGTAGAATTGCAGCAATTCTAACAAGTATGTCACACCTTTTATCAACTCCTCATCAAATAACCTTTTGTGAAATTTATCACTTTCTCTTTAAATAGTCCTCTGGAGGAACCTAAGATGATATCTGCTTTATCTGGGAAGCAAGCTGGGAAACATGTTGTTCATATTGCATGTGGAAGCACCTACAGTGCAGCCATTACTGCTGAGGGAGAGCTGTATACGTGGGGAAGAGGAAACTATGGCAGGCTTGGCCATGGTGAGTTAGTTGATGTCATCAAAGAAGTTGTTGAAGAATTTAGTGCCTGTTGCAAATCCCACCTTTCATCCCACCTAAAGCTGATGTGAGAACCTTATGTGTCTTCATATGAACTGAAATAATTATGGGAGGGATTGTATCCAACCCATTAAATTCCCTGGATGATCTGGAGATAAGCAATTGGATGAAGAAGAAAAATCTGTGGTGTTTTCTGTTCCTTTCCTCATGAAGCTAAGACTATTTCATGGGTTAAATTCTTGTTGGATGTTGCAGAAACCATAAGGGAGCTTAGTCATGATACTCAAATCTAAAATCAAAACTAAACAATGTCCTACACCCATATAAGAAAACATCCAAAAGCAAACAAGCAATAAAAAACCAAACAAAATAACCTGTCAGGCCTTTTGAGTGTTGCTTCTCACAGAATTACTTTGTTTTGAAGGTTCCAGTGAAGATCAGACCATCCCAATGCTGGTCACAGGGCTGAAAGGACTCAAAGTCATTGATGTGTCATGTGGAAGTGGAGATGCTCAGACTCTTGCAGTTACTGAAAATGGTTAGTAGCAAAACAAAGCTTAACATTTTAAGTAAGGTTACTGTCTTTCCTTTTACTCTGAAGATATTTATACTGCAGATATTTCTATTTCTAGCAGCTTGAATTCTGTAAGAATTTGAAGCTGAAATTCTTTCTAGGGAAATAAAAATGTATGTTTATACATTTTACATTATACATATATATACATGTGCATACATTATACCTTATACATACATATATAATGTTACAGAGGTATTTTCGTACATAGATATGCAGTATGTTCCTTATGAATATGCAAATATATAGAGTTATTGTATATATATTTCAAGTAAATGTATAATGGAAACACAGAATTCTACATATCTGTGTATGTGTCTAAATATTATTCTTTACTATATAAGTGCAAATATCTCATGTTGTCACAAAAGCCAGAATTCAGAGCACAAGAGCTGTCTCTGCTAACCCTTTGGAAGTGTCAAAGAGAACCTGCATGGAAGTTTACCTTTCCAACATCCCTGACCAAGGTGTCTTGGATGAGGCAATTTGAAACCTGCATTTCATTTTGTGAGGTTAAGCCCCAAAGTCATCTCTTAGAAAGCAGATAGGTTCTTGGAAGCTGGTTTTTATTTTGTTATATAGCTGGTTAATTGGGTATGCATTATTCAAAAACTGAAATGTTTGCTCATGCAGGAAATGGAAACCCAGATTTTATAATTTTTTTTTTCCTCTGGTCTCTGCCTTGTTTGCTTCTGTTGTTTATCAGAATACCTTAGGGACTCTGCTCATGCAAGCAGGAAACACAGATACATCAGAATGTAAAATGGGGCTTTCATTTTGGACATGCATGAGTTTACCATTCTTGAACCATAATTTTATTTGGTTCTGCAGATGTAGAATGGCTTGACTGTTTCTAAGTTCCTACATCAGGACTAAGAGTAGTGTATTTCAAAAGAACATGATAAACCTGGCTATTTAATTTCATTTTGAGAAATGCTTGAATGATAAAAACTCAAAATAAGAATAGGTTAAACAGACAATTTGGTCATTTGATGTAGAAAACATTTTGTAAGTTCTTATAAATAATAAAAAAAACAGTTTTTAACTTGCTTGATTTATAGAAAATTGTGTGCTTCCTATATTTTTAAGAAGGACTTTCCATGCACCTATAGATTTTCAGTGCATGTTATACATTGCGCTTGTTTAGTTTTTTCAGCATGGAAACTTGTCAAATATTTTTCTTTCTTATTATCACAAACAATTAGAAATTAATTTGGAACTACTTTTCTTAAAGTGCAATTTAAAATTTATGCTTGTTATAGAATCTTGGGTTTTTAAGTACTTACTAAAACACATGACTTGATTACATGAAAAAGCAGTACAATTTTTTTTAATTTCTTTTCTCCTGATTTAAAGGCCAGGTATGGTCTTGGGGTGATGGAGACTATGGAAAACTAGGAAGAGGAGGCAGTGATGGTTGCAAAACTCCCAAGTTGATAGAAAAGCTTCAAGATCTGGACATTGTGAAAGTACGCTGTGGGAGTCAGTTCTCTATTGCTTTAACCAAAGACGGCCAGGTCTACACCTGGGGGAAAGGTGACAATCAGAGACTTGGGCATGGGACGGAAGAGCACGTTCGATATCCCAAACTGCTGGAAGGCTTGAAAGGTAATTACCAGAGTTGGAAATATTCCAGAGCTCTTTGTGTTGTTGGAGCTTTTTACCTGACACAAATGAACTCTGCTTTGAGTGACAATACCATGTGCTGTGTCATATTTTTTGCAGGTGGCATTGAAAAAGGTAATAATGTGCATTTCCCATCACTTCTGCATTTATGCCTACAAGATCTTAGCAGACTTAAAGACACTATGACTACTTTAAATGCTGCACGTCTTGTGTTCTATTTATTCTTACTGCTTTTCTTTTATTAGGTTCACAGAAATGCTTATTTAAAGCAAGTGTGTTTGCACTGTTATGCACACACACAGAGATATATATACATATATAGTGTATGCTTAGATTAAGGCAGGTGAATGGAATAAATGAAAATAACAGACAACAAATAATGTCATTAAAGTTGGGTCTGACTTTTGACTAGTTTGGAATGGAGTGAAAATTCCTTCCTTCATTTGTGAGGAACCTGAGGTTCTGTAGAGGAAGATGAGGTAGAAACCTTTTTTATTGCTCTGTCTTTCCTTTAAATTGTTATTCATATATGTTGAATTATCTAAATGAGAATAACTTCAGTCTTCTAAATGAGAATAACTTCAGTCTCTTATCATAGATGGAGGAAATCTATAAATAATGCTTTTCCAAAAAGGTTTCTAAGTAGAAAGGACATAAAGTAGAAGATTTTTTTTAATCTTGTAAACTTCTGTACTTATCTGTCTGCTGGTTTATACTTTTGCTGTATTCTTCCAATCCACTGCTGAGACAGAAATGAGACTCATGACATACTATAGGGAAGCAATGATCAGTGCCAGCATTTTGATACTTTGCGTATCACAAAACCAGAGCCCACAGCTCTCCCAGGATTAGACACAAAGCATATTGTTGGAATTGCTTGTGGACCTGCTCAGGTGGGTTTTATTTTTGAATTATTTGATTTTACCTCCCACTGAGGTTAGTTCTGTATTCTAATCCTGGTCCTTTTCTATGTGCTTGCATAACTTTCTGTATTTTTATTTCTTATTCTGAATAAATAAAGGCTTTACAAAAAAAAATAAATAAATCTTGTGCAGTTGTTCTGCCAAAACAGCATGATTAGCTTTCCCTCTGTTGGGTGTTTGAGAAGTAGTAGTTTTGTTTCGTCTGGTACAGCAGTTGAGGAGTTGTCAGCAGAATGTTACCTCAGTATTTTTGCCACAGGAATTTGGACTGAGTATGACTACATTGGAAAATGTTGTAAGAGAGTTTTGGATAGGTAGGGTTTTATTTATGTTTTCAATGATGCAAGTAGAGCATTCTCTCTAACATTTGTGCTGGTATTATTTCCACATCATCTGTTACTCTTTGTAGGCAGATGTAGTTTTACACTCTGCGTCATATTTAGAAGCATGACGCTGCTTACATATTTATATGTAATACATATTTAAATATATATAAATAATAATAATAATAATAAATAAAAATGTTTAGCAAATAACTAACTGTGGAACTTTGTATATTGTTTCTATTTATAGAGTTTTGCTTGGTCATCATGTTCAGAGTGGTCAATAGGCTTGCGGGTACCTTTTGTGGTGGATATTTGCCCCATGACATTTGAGCAGCTGGATCTCTTACTGAGACAAGTGACTGAGGGAATGGATGGATCCTCTGACTGGCCCCCTCCTCAGGAAAAGGAGTGTATGGCTGTGGCAACATTAAATCTTCTGAGACTTCAGGTACCTTCAATTTCTTGTGCTTTGAGCAGTCATTGAGCTGAATGTTTTCACCAAATTGCTTGGATGGAAATTGTGACCTTTAACGTACTTTAAAACACTTCTATTGATTTTAAAAAATGAAATAACTACACTATCATTTTATACTCTTTGAAATTTGTCAGCTAATGGTTGTGTTTTGTTCTTCTTGACAGCTTCTGGGTTTCATTAAGAATAAACTACAAAAACAATATCTAAATGGATTGAGCTTTGTATACTCAGATTTTGAGCATTTTTATGAATTTTAAATAGCATTTTTTAAAGTGAATGACCTCTTTAATTGGTGTCTGACAGTCACTGAAAATGTGCTGTTTTTTCTAGCATAATGTAGTGACTCAGAAACAGTTTAGGTTATTCTTTAGATTTACTTCAGAACTTACAGCTACCATTCATAATCTTTGAGTATTGGTTTAGATTCAGGATATAGGCAAGCTAGCATTTCCCTTTAATTTTACAGATTTTCAGGTAAAAGTATCTTGGTCACTGAACTTAACTTGCTCCAAGTGTGACTTCACCCCATCCCCACCAAGTTCATATCACTTGTTAATTAAAATGTGCCTTTTTTTTTTGCCCCCCCTGCCCTTTCTTTCAGCTTCACGCTGCCATTAGTCATCAGGTGGATCCAGAATGCCTTGGCTTAGGTTTGGGCAGTATCCTGCTCAATAGCCTGAAGCAGACAGTGGTGACATTGGCCAGCAACGCTGGGGTTCTTAACACGGTGCAGTCGGCGGCTCAAGCGGTGCTGCAGAGCGGCTGGTCCGTGCTGCTGCCCACGGCAGAGGAGCGTGCCAGGGCGCTCTCAGCGCTCCTGCCCAGTGCAGGTCGGTCCTCAAATTGAAGCATCTCTGTTTGGGTCTTGCATTTGGACTTCATTAATGGCTTCCTCCATTCTTAGTTTCAGGAAATGAAATGAATGTAAGCCCAGGGCGGAGATTTATGATTGACCTCTTGGTGGGCAGCTTGATGGCTGATGGAGGCTTAGAGTCTGCACTAAATGCTGCTATTACTGCAGAAATTCAGGTATGGTTCTTCAACTTTGCAGTTCAGGTTCTTCTGCAGGGCACTGGACTTGTTACTTTTATAAATACAAGAGTAAATGTGCCTTCAGCTGTGAACTGTGCAGCAGCTACTGGCATGTGTCCACCATGGTTTTGTGGAGTTCCCAGCTACTGGCATGTGTCCACCATGGTTTTGTGGAGTTCCCCTACCTTCTTTTACCTTCACCACCCTCATCCCTCCCTTCACCTTTCTTTTGACATTGTAATTGTTTTTTAAAACGTTTGCCCATGTACTTGTTACAGAATATGCAGAGCACATTGTGTTTGGTAGGAATTGTTTCATTTTTGCTGTAGGTAAAAGTGACTTGATCTTAATATCATGAATACTTGTTAGATCTATGAATCTGCAGGAAAACAAAGTTTACCATTAGTTCAGTTAATTCAGCAGTTACTAAGGTAATTGTTTTGAATTTGGCTTTTACTTTTGTACAGAAGATGTATTTAAGACATTCTATGAACTAGTCAGCTAAACAGTGGTTAATTTTGGTTAGCAAATAAAGTCTCTTGCTAGCATTTTTAGCTTCTCAGACTTTAAAATGTTGAACATTCTTATAGCTTATCTGTAGTTCTGCTCTATGTTTGCCAAGGAGCAATGTTCTATTGCTCAATACATTACCCAATTTTAGAAAGATATTTACAAATTTAAGAAATTTAGCAATTGACATTACCCAGTTTTAGAAAGGCTGCCTTGCTTTTATGGATTTTGATACTTCTTCTCTGAAAGATATATCTGAAAGCTTTTGTACCAAATATAGGACAAATGTTTAAAAGACTGTCCGTACAAAGTGTGAGAATCACTGCAAAGTAGTTTAGAACTGAGTATTTTGTTCCATTTATTTAGAATTGCCTCAAGGAGACTAAAGTGGGGAAGAAACTTCAATTTTAAATTCTTGACTGAGAATTGTGTATGCATGACCAATTAGGGTGCTGAGAACAAAGCTGCTTTATATCAACCAGAGGAGCTACAGGAATACTTAACATACAGCATGTGTGGCAGGAAATAATTATGAGTTTACCAAGAAATTTATTGTACTTTTTCACTTAATTGTTATGGCAACCATGTAATTGAATCTATGAAGTGTCATGGCTTTCACTGCAGTCTCTTGTTGAAGTTTGTCATATTATCTTTTGTAGTGAGTGATGACAAAAAACACAAACTTGAGGTATTTTACAAATCTGGTTAACTCAAATGTATCCACAAAACCATTGCCTTTTTTTTTTGAGTGAAAGTTCTGCATAGAAACTTTGCAGAGGTTTCTTATATGTTTATGCAAAATTGTAGCAAAAGCTTAACCCATGGGCTGTGGGCTATCTTGGCTCTGAGCTCCTCTTGAGTGATACTTTTATACCACTTAGGAACATCGCTTCACAGACCATAGCCAAACTAAAAGATGTTGCTCGTCGCATTTCTTCCTGCATGGACCAAGAACTTTATAGCAAGGAGAGATCTGCTTCTCTGGACCTGTTGCTCCGTTTTCAGCGGCTCCTTATTAGCAAACTTTACCCAGCAGATTGTGTTGGCCAGGTTTCTAATACATACAGTAAGTTGTGGTTTTAAAAATAAAAGCAAATGACTGCTGACCCCTCCCTCCCTAAGTATTTCTGTAATAGCTTTTACAGAATGGCAGTTTCTTATTTTATCTTACTGTCTCAATTATCAGCCTGGTTGCTGTCTGAACAGTGTTTGAAAGTAGTTTACTTACATTTTTTTCTGTAAGTGAATTTTTTTTTGGGGTAGGTAATAGGATCTAGATAATAAACTTCTAATAAATATTTTAAAATATATGACTTCTGAAATTAGTGCTAATATCAAGTGGCATAATTTCAGAAGAGTTTGTCAGCTTTTGAAGTCTGTTTCTTAGGTATGATTATGTGATGATTTTCTGTGCTCTTCCTTTATTTTTATACAGGTCCTGACCTCTTAGGTGTTGGTTCTTTGCTGAAGAAATACACTGCTCTTCTGTGCACGCACATTAGTGATATACTTCCTGTGGCAACTAGCATTGCTTGTACTAGCCATAGGCATTTTGCAGAAGTATCTTGTGTTGTGGATGGAGATTTAACAGGTAGATTTTTGCTTGTTGTCCTCTTTTCTTCCTCTTTCACAGAATTTTAAGACATTCTTGAAAGTTGTAAATGACTGAGAAGGAGTGAGTTTAATTTTCTGGTTAATGGGAGAAGAGGAGGGAGAATTCAGTGAGGAAGGCAAGAGCTTTGTACTCAACACTCGTCTAAAGCAGAATATATTAATTGTGATTTATTTCTGCAGTGCAATGAATGTAAAACTTGAATTAAATGGTAGTGTCTTCTGTTTTTATTTTTTGTTTTAGGCATTCTTCTTCCAGAACTGGTGGTTTCTGTAGTGCTACTCCTGAGTAAAAATGCTGGATTAATGCAGGAAGCTGGTGCTATCCCTCTGTTGGCTGGCTTGCTGGAACATCTAGACAGATTTAACCACTTAGCCCCTGGAAAGGAAAGGGACGACAATGAGGATTTAGCATGGCCAGGAATAATGGGTATGAACTTTGCAGCATCTGACCTGCTTTCATAAAGGAGTTGTATAAAAATGGTAGGGGTTCATGAACGACTTTCAGGAAGGGAATCCTACTTCACAGTACAAAATTTTGTTAGCCAAATTACATGGCAGTCATAAGGCAGTATTTATTTCTGTCAGTACGTTCTTAAGGAAGTTACATATAGAGGTAGTGTTAAGCAGAGTACAGACGCAGCTTTTTTAAGAAGTAGTTCACATAATTTCCTATTTTCAGTATGAAAAGTTAGTGAAAACCTGAGTAGTACATATAGGCATTTTATTACTAAATTCTGTCTGTAATACAAAAGGATGAGTCATGTGAAAGCTTTGAAATAAGGAATTTTTATTTTCTCAGGGCACTTTGTATTATGAGCTGTGTCTGTAGTCAAAAGAGTGGCTTCTCTTATAATAAAAAAAAATCTGAATTTAAGCTGAAATGAAATATACAACAAATTCCTTGTAGGCAAATGACTAATAAAACCAAAGTCATTTGGAGGAAAAAGTGATTAGAGCAGTGATTTACCAGAAAACTGATTGTTCTGCTCCACCTCCACACAGAACAGCCATATAGCTGGGCAATGCTAGGTGGCATTAAAGATTGGTGCATAAAGGAACACAGTATTCAGACAATTTAATTGCACAATATGTAGACAGGAACATATTAATAGCCACTTTACTTTTGAGCATATAAAAAATAAGCAGCTTCTGAACAGATGTGAAGAATTGGATTAGGCAATTAGTAAAAGAATGTTCATAAAAAACCCCTTACTTTCTGATTTTCTCTTGATAAATTCTCTTTACTCTTTTATATGGATAGGTTCATTTTTTACTGGCCAGAGTTGCAGAAATAATGAGGAGGTGACACTTATACGTAAGGCTGATCTAGAGAACCACAACAAAGATGGAGGATTTTGGACAGTGATCGATGGGAAAGTGTATGATATAAAGGACTTCCAAACCCAGTCTTTAACTGGCAGTAGCATACTTGGTGAGAATTTTCATCTGACTTAAAGATGCAAATTACTTTTGTTGCAAAACCAGGTGGAATGAACAGATTTTTAGAGAGTGTATTGATTACTTCATCTTTTCATTAGCTCAGTTTGCTGGTGAGGACCCAGTTGTTGCTTTGGAAGCTGCTTTGCAATTTGAGGACACACGGGAATCAATGCATGCCTTCTGTGTTGGCCAATATATAGAGGTAAAATTGTTATTCATGGGTAAATGCTTACTAAAGTCAAGCGTTGCTTTGCTGTCAGATTTCTTGTTGGAGCTCAGTTCTAGTTTACAATTGCTATTTCTTGTGCAGCCTGACCAGGAAGTGATTACAACGCCAGATCTCAGCACTTTGTCATCGCCTCTGATAGACACAGAACGGAATTTGGGTCTTCTCCTTGGACTGCATGCTTCCTACCTGGCAATGAGCACACCGCTTTCTCCTCTGGAAATTGAATGTGCCAGTAAGCAGGATGTCATTCTGAGCTTTAATAAGTGATAAATACTTGTCAAAGCATGCAAGAAAAAGGACAAATAAGTTAATTGCAAGTTTAGCACTTGTTTAGTCTTGATATCTCCTCTAGGAGTTCTTTATTCTTAACATCAAGTATCACACTCATCAAATCCCAATAATTTAGCAAGATTTAAATTGGGATTAGATACTTTTGAACAGTTGAATTCAGCATTTTATAGTATGCAACATAGAATAGAAAACAATGTTGCACAGTCTCCTATCTCACCTGTTTGTTGTCAGTTAAGAGTGCCTGGATCATGTGGTATTGGATATTTTCTTATTGGGTGTCTTGGTTTGCTGAATAGAAGGTATAAATCAATATTAGTAGCAGAAAAATTGCAAAGGCCCTATATCTCGGAACATATGGCTGCCCTGTTAATTGTTTCTTGGTTACAGAGCACTTTTTTTTCCTGTGAATAAGTTTCAGCAAATGAGGAACTTGTTAAATGTTGTTGAAGCCTGTGAATTCATTTTATTAGAGGAAATTGAGTCTTGATAACTTAGTCTTTGATCAGAATATTCACTCATATTTTCTTTATTTTAGAATGGTTGAAGTCATCGATCTTCTCTGGTGGCTTGCAAACTAGCCAGATTCATTACAGTTACAATGAGGAAAAAGATGAAGACCACTGCAGTTCACCTGGTAACACTACCCCAAATAAATCAAAACTGTATTCACATCGATTAACTTTGAGTGACCATTCGCAGCCCTTTCTCCAAGCTATTGCGGATAATAATATTCAGGATCACACTGTGAAGGTAAGCCCACAGTATTTCTGTGCACAAACACTGTTTCTGAAAGGTGGTAGTGGTGGTGAAAATTCTCCAAAGGTTGTAGCAAAACAAATGGAAAAAGTTATTTCAGAATTACTTTTTGTGAAAGGAATGGTCGGGTACATTTTATCCGTATAAAATGTATATATTGCACTTAATATCATAACAGTATGTTATTTCTTCAGAACATTTGAGTGGGAGAACTAAAAAATTTGAATATTCTTATAAAAAAAATTAGTAATACATTACTTCTCATGTTAAGTTTCAGTAGCATTGAGAGATCTTGCACGTCTCTCTTAGTTGAACTAAGATGGAGTATTTTTATCAGGATGCAAATAAATCTTTGGGAATAGTGGTAATGATGAACCATGATTTATCAGAAGACAATTGAAAATTGTATTAGGTGACCTGACTATCTCATGAAAGATCAAAGCAGTAGTAGCTGTATTCCTTGGGTCACGTTGCTCTTCATACAGGAGACAGGATGTATGGTATTTATAGTATTGGGTTGGAGTTGCTGTGTGTTACAATACCCAGTATGTGCAGTTTATCTCAGGAATCTTAGTTCAGATTGTAGAGATTATTCAGTGTCATTTAAATGCTGTCTGTGGTATTTTGAGTCTTTTCATTGTATCTTAATCCAAAGTTAAACAGGGGCTGTTGTGTGTTTTCTTAGGACTTCTTGTGTCAAATTGAGAGATATTGTAAACAGTGTCACTTAACAACACCGATCACATTCCCTCCTGAGCATCCTGTGGAAGAAGTAGGGCGTCTGTTACTGTGTTGTCTTCTGAAGCATGAAGATTTGGGTAGGTAGGCTTGTGGTGTGTTTCTTTTGACTAGTTTAAACTCTGATATGGATGGTTTTGGAAATGCATATTGAAACGTTGTCTTTTCCCATTAAGGTCATGTAGCACTGTCTCTTGTTCATCCTGGTACCCTTGGAGTTGACCAGGTAAAGCACAAAACCTTACCAAAATCTGTAGTGGATGTGTGTCGTGTTGTCTACCAAGCAAAATGCTCACTGATAAAGGTAAGCCTCTTAGCTGCTGATGTTAAGATTAATTTTCATTTGAAGTGTTTTATTAAGAAGTTATGTATTGTTCATTTTATTGCATGTAATACAATAATTTAATCTTTCAATGTCTTTTGTAGACACATCAGGAACAAGGTCGTTCTTACAAGGAAGTTTGTGCTCCTGTCATTGAGCGTTTGAGATTCTTATTCAATGAGCTGCGTCCTGCAGTTTGCAATGATCTCTCTATAATGTCCAAATTTAAACTTCTTAGTTCTTTGCCCCGATGGCGAAGGGTAGCTCAGAAAATCATTAGAGAAAAAAGGAAAAAAAGAGGTAAGGCAGAATTAATATTGTATTATCTTTGAAACAATGAAAATCCATCTTCTTTCAAGGTTTGCTGCTATATGAGACTCCCCTTAGACAAAGCATCAAAGCCGTTTGCTTTCTGCTACTTTTTCATGAAGTTTTCTAAACCAGTGGTTTCATGTCAGATCCTGCAGCAAGAACTGGCAACCAAAAGTCAAAAGTGTCAGGTTTATTTGAGATGTGTTTCTTCATGTTCCAACGTATTAAAAATGATCCTTCAATATCAGACCCTCTGAAATGGTTTTAGTAACATTCCACCGGAAGTGACATCTTTTTAGAAATCATGTTTTGTTCAAGTGTAGTCAAACAATGACTTAACTGGAACTAAATTAATGTTGTGAACAGACATCAAAGGGCTTTTCAAGTTTGTCTTCAAAGATAAAAGTGTATTGCAGGTAATACCAGAGTTAATTTGGTAACAGTTGGATATAGAGTTCACCAACAGTACATTTCCTTTTATCGAAGACCAATCTTAGGCATTCTGTGTGCTTAGGTTATCATGCAAGCCTAAAAATGTAAAACACTGTAAAATCTAATCAGACTGCATGAAAAAACAATCCTTTTTTTTTTTTGTAGTGCCAAAAAAATCTGAATCTGCTGATGTAGAAGAGTCCAAAATAGGAAATGAAGAAAGTGATTTAGAAGAATCTTGTGTGGTACCTCACAGTCCTGTACCTATAGATAAAAAGCCCATACCAATCAAATCACCCAAGGTAGGATATCAGATTTTGACTCAACCTTGTCAATAAAAATGACAAGAGAAAAAAGAATGAGCTAAAGCATGATTGCTATAACTTGACATTTAATGTTCTGATAATGGTGTTGGGGATGTAAAATTGTGACATGTTGTTTCAGTGAAGCCTGGAATGTTTTTTAAAAATAAAGTTGTACTGTGTATTTAGCGTATGTAAAGATACTGTCTCTAATTTTAAAATTATTAATAATCTTAGATAAAGCTTCATTTCAAAGTAAAATGTTGTGACATTTTAAAAAATAAAAGTTTTTTTTTGAACATAGCACATTTGAAATTTTATGTAGCAATAGTAAAATGATAATGAGTTAAAATAATGCTAAGCTCTTTCCTGACTTTGAAGAAGTTTTCATTTATCCCCAAGGTCCCCCCAGTATTTTACATTTGGAAATTGTTTTGCATGCATAATTTAAAATTGTTTAAAAAGTTTTAAAATGCTACCTTCTTGTTTTGCAGGATAAATGGCAGCCAATTTTGAGTACAGTTACAGGTGTCCACAGATACAAATGGCTGAAACAAAATGTTCAAGGCTTGTATCCACAGTCTGCCCTCCTTAACACTATTGTTGAATTTGCACTTAAAGAAGAGCCGGTGGATGTAGAAAAAATGAGAAAATGTTTACTGAAGCAGGTAAAGTGAATGAAAATGTGCCACTTACATAATTATGACAGTTATTAGCAGTTTACATAAGTATGGCAATTTGTTTTTTCTCTTTTACAGTTGGAAAGGGCAGAAGTTCGTCTGGAGGGAATAGACACTATTCTGAAGTTGTCAGCTAAAAATTTTTTGCTCCCATCTGTGCAGTATGCTGTGTTCTGTGGATGGCAGAGGCTTATTCCAGAAGGAGCCAATATAGGGTAAAACTTCTTGCTGCTTTTGCTTTCACAATTCTTTAATAAGAAAACAATACCTATTTTTGTTTTTGCTTTTCTTTGAAGGGAGCCTCTTACTGACTGCTTGAAGGATGTTGATCTGATCCCGCCGTTTAACAGAATGCTGTTGGAAGTAACTTTTGGAAAGTTGTATGCGTGGGCTATTCAGAATGTCCGGAACATCTTGCTAGATGCTAATGCAAAGTTTAAAGAACTAGGTGAATCTCATCCTGTTGCTGTTGTCTGTGGAGAAAATGGTTTTACATTAATATTACTGCTTTTTTTTAAAAGTTCCCAGTAATAAGGATGTTGAAATCAGTTCCCTTGATTTGTGTTGAGAATTACTTTGACTTTGTGCATTGTTCCAACCTTCCCACCTTGACCCCCTGTTAACTCACTTTTCAGTGTTTGAGTATATTGCTGATTTACCAGCAAGAGGTGATTGATTACTTACTCCTTGGTAACATTTTACCATTAGACACGAATTATAGTCAGTTTCTTGGAACTTTTGCTTATAAGTTCTCAAAGCCAAGCAGGAAATAAAAAATATTTTAAACCATCAGTCAAACAAATCTTTAGCCTGTTCTATTGTAGCTCCCAAATGTCAGCTGACTTTGTTATTTATGTTATGTTTGACCTAGGTCTGCAGCCTGTTCCTCTTCAAACAATTACTAATGAGAATCCAGCAGGACCAAGTCTTGGAACTATTCCACAAGCACGTTTTCTGCTGGTCATGCTGAACATGTTGACGCTGCAGCATGGTGCAAATACCTTGAGCCTCCTCCTCAATTCTGGCATGCTGGCCTTGACACAAACCACACTGCGGCTGATAGGTACAGTTCTTCTTTCTTACTTGGAGGAAACCATTTGCTTTGCAAGTCTCCTGTATTCTTTACCTGTTGGTGTACCCAAATTACAAAGTCACTTTGCTGCTTGAAGATAGTGCTTAATGCTATTTACCTTTATCCTGAAACAAAAACCCCATCTGCAAGCATGATGGAGAAGGAGCCTTAATTGCAGCCTTTATTTGGTCATTATTTTTTTTTTATTAAGTGTTTGCTTTGCCCATCCTTTGCTAAAATTTAAGTTAATGTGTAGTTTTGGTGGAACTGTTGAAAATAAAAGTGAAAATTTTAAAATTAAAGTAGCAAAAATTGCGTACTCTCTACTCTCCATTTCATTTGTTATACATAAGAAAAATGTTCCCAGTCTGCATGTTTAGGCATGAAGCTTTCTTTGTTCTGTTATAGAAGTTCTCTGGTGTGTTTTGCTATGATTCAAATGGCCTCAGTTTTTCTCTCTTTGTTTTCTTAGATAATAGCAAACATTTGTTCCTGTAGCTTGTGTTTAACTGGAGTGTGCACTGGAAGTTTTTCAAAAGAAAGTCTCTTTGTAGAACCATTGAGCCATTTGAGTCATCATTATTAATGTCTCTTATTTGTCACTTGTTTTTCTGTTCAAAATTAAGTATTTTAGTTCCTATGCGTTCAAAACCATTACACCCCAGTTTTATGAAAGATCATTTTACATACTGCCTGCTAGTCAGCTTTCCTGTTTGTTACTGCTTTTTATATCACAATATATTACAATATTACATATTTATGTGTCTGTAAGTTTATGTTTGACAAAGGTACGTAGCTGTAGCTGGATTTAATCTCTTCCTTGTTTTTTTCCTTGTTAGGACCCAGTTCTGATAATATTGAAGAAGATATGATTGCCTCTTCTCATGGGGCTTCTGCCACTGTCCTAGAAGAATCAAGAAAGGAAACTACACCTGTTCAGCTCCCTGTTTCTGGACCAGAGCTGGCAGCCATGATGAAAATTGGTACCAGAGTGGTGAGAGGGGTCGACTGGAAATGGGGTGATCAGGTACAACTTCTTTCATACAGATTTTGGGGGTGTTATTATCTAAAGCCTCTGTTCAGTGGAGTGTCTGTGAAGTTTCTGGTCAATCAAACCTAAGGGCATTTTACATTCCAAAAATGTTGAATTAAGGCTATGGGAATTTAACAGAAAATAAACCTTGCATTCCAGCTGGTCCTCAGAGATCAAGAAGGGCTGGTTGCAGCTGTGCTTAATTTCTGATTGTAGCTGAGTTTAGCATTGTAAATCTGGCTGCTTTTGGAGGAGAACTTGCATGAGCACAGAAGCACAAATAGTGCAGTTTACCAGTGCTGTTCTGTAGATCTCATGGATTCAGTAAGGACTTGCAGGATCCCAATTCACAAATAGTGTGGTTAATTGAAGCACCAGAAAAGTAGGCTCAGGATTGCTGGTGATGAGTGCACTAAATACAGCGTGTTAGTATGTGTTTTGACACATCATAAGAAATCTAATAGCACTACATACATATATACACACACACCGATATACACACACATTTGTGTGTATGTAAATTAATATTCACAGGTGTGCTCCAGTGCTGTTGGGGATGCAAAGCTCTCATAAAGGCTTCTCTTTGGGAAAAGAAGAGATGTAGTCTGTCAACAAATCTTGAACAGACAGAGTTTTCCCCCTCCAGCCCTTTCTGTCCCTGAAGCCACTCTTTCATGCTGTAAATTTTGGCCTGTCCCAGTGGGATGGAACAATCATGTTAGAGGTGGGGTTTGGTGACTTTGGCCATACATGCATTATTACACATCCCATGTTTTCCTTCATCAGCATCCTGAGGGGTGCCTAAGTTAATAACAGGGCTTAATGAGGGTTTCGGTTACCTTTTGCCAGAATGTATAGCTGACAAAAGAGGGAGAATAAACGCTTTGGTCCTCCTCCATGTACTGAGGCATCAGAGGGTCTCTGTGCATCCTTATCTCCTGAACAAACTGGGTTTATAACAAGGCTTGTTTTTGATGGTGAAGGCAGTGTGGCTGTTGGTTGGGCCCAGATACCCTTCTGTGCCTCACTGGAACAATATTGGTGCACGAGAGTGCTGTGTCACTCCAGACATCACTCAGTTGTTAGGCCCTGCTGGAGACAGGTGCAGGAGAAGCAAGAGGTTATCACAAAGGTTGTGTTTTCCACAACCAGCTTTATCAATCCTTCACTGTCTTACAGCAATACTGTGCAATTCTGGCCATTTACCACAAAAGGCTTGGAGAATTAACATAAAATATGTTAATTATTTGTTTAGCTTCATTCTTGGAGATGTTTAAAATTCTCTTTTAGTGAGACTCTGCTAATTTACCATTTAACAGGAAGCAGAATAACTTATTTGCTGTAATAATATACATTTCCAACTATGTAGGACATAACTTGTACTTATGTAAGACCTAATAAAAGAGATCTAATCATGAGTGTCCAAATATGCAGCTTACTGGGATGATTCTTTTGAAAATTCTGAAATACTTTCTAACTTCATGCTTGATTTTTGTGAAACCCCACTGAATGTTTATTTCCTAATCATTACGTTAGCAGCAAAAGGAGCACTTGAATTACTGTTTTATGAACTTTGGGTACGATTTAGTGTTGTTGATTGAATAACTTCTCTGTTCTGTCAGGATGGACCCACACCAGGTTTGGGTCGTGTGATTGGAGAACTGGGAGAAGATGGCTGGATTAGAGTGCAGTGGGACACTGGAAGTACAAATTCTTACAGAATGGGAAAGGAGGGAAAATATGATCTCAAATTAGCTGAGCCACCACCTGCAACACAGCCCACAACAGAGGATTCAGACACTGAGGATGATTCTGGTAAAAAAAATAAAATATATATATATATATTTATATATATTTATATATATAAAGTGGAGGCACAGTTTTAGTTGAATTTTAAAATTGGTATCTTGCAATATAAAATAGTTTTTTCACAGGAGCAAGTGCTTCATCAAAGAAAATTCATTTCATAGGTGTACACTTCTGCCCAGAATCTTTCTTGATATAACTTCACTGTGAGAAAGGAAGATAGACAAGATGGTGTCACATTTATTGCATATTCATGGCTCAGAGAAAATAGTATTACTCAGTTGAAATAGTTTCAGTTACAAATACCTGGAGGTATACATTTTGACATATGTTAATAATATTCTGAAGTGGGATTTTTATATGCCTTAATTATACATTCAGAGTATTTCCCTATTCTTGGCAATACTTTGGAATTCTTTTCAGCTGGGTATTGCTAGAGAAAAACTTGAAAATATATGTGCAAAATACCTGGTTTATATTTTGTTCTTGGAGTTGTCAATAAGGAATATTCATGTCAGATCATCTCTGAGAAAATACTTGACAAATCATTCACATAACATTTGTTTGAGAACCTTTGTGAAATAAAATAACTCGGCATTAATGTATTCCTTTGCCTTTTGTGTCTCCCTTCAGAAGGAGAACAAGTTGAAAGGAATCTCCACCCTACTTCCATGATGCTGACAAGTACTGTGAACCTGTTGCAGACACTGTGTCTCTCTGCTGGTGTCCATGCTGAAGTCATGCAAAGTGATGCTACTCGGACTTTGTGTGGTCTGCTCCGTATGCTTGTGGAGAGTGGAACAATAGATAAGTCAGGTATGTTACATAGAAGCAGTCTGATTGAGCTGTGTGCTTCTGTTTTGTGCTCTGCTGTCTTGTAAGTTTGTAAATATTTTCTTACTAGTTTTTAATACTTTTAAGGCCAAAGATTGGAAAATGCATTTTCAGAGCTTTTAAAATCTTATTTTTTAAAGGTAATATAAGTGGTCCTGTGCATTCTTAGAATATAAGCAGTAAAAGCAGAAGAAATACATGAGATGTGACTTGTTGACTTAGACAATTAATTTATCAGCAACCTTTTTGTGTTTGGCAACAACAGTATGACTGGGTGTGTCATACTCCTTTTTACAGCTCTTTTGTAATTTCAGAAGTAATGCTGTTAACAAGTTTGAAATGAGGAAACAGCGTAAGGATGAGAATTGTTTTAAAGGCACTTTTTATAAAATGAATTACAGGCTCTAAAACTGAAATTAATAGTTTATGTACAGACAGTGAAATAGCTTGGTGTTCTGGTTTGTCAAAAAAAGCCCCATGTACCATATAGAGAACTACATAGCTGGTGAAAAAAATCAACTGTTACATGTATATATCTTTTTGTTTTTAGCTTCCTTGCCAAATAAATTAGTTTATAAAGAACAGCATAGGAGTTGGTGCACGTTGGGATTCATTCGAAGCATAGCACTCATGCCTCAGATGTGCAGCACTCTTAGTACATCTCAGTGGATAACTTTGCTAATGAAAATTGTTGAGGGGCATGAATCTTTCACTGCTGCTTCACTACAGAGACAGGTAATGTGTGTATTTCCAAATTACTTCAATAGGCAATAAAATTAGTAGACTTTAGTTGTCTTAAAAAGAAAGGTGTCTTTTACAAAACATCTGGGAGGTGTCCATAAATCAGTTTTTAGTTAGTTGGGAAAAAGATAACATTTTCTTTATATTTAGGAATGTTTAACTTTGCATCTCTTGAATTTTGAGCCTTCAGGTTGCTATGGACTCCCTTGTTTTAGTGAAAGAAAAGTCAAAATAGTGTTCCAAAATTGTTCTTCAGAAACTCACATGTAATATTTCCTCTAAGTTGAATAAATGAAAGAATAACAAATATATTGTCAGGAAAAAGTTGTATTTCATTTAAAGTCACCAATTTATGTATCGTCTACTGTTCCTCTTTCAACAGGAGACTGTTAATATTTAAATTACAGTCTCTCTTAAGAAGCTATAACTTTGCATCTTATTTTGTTACTGTATTTCCCTTGCCATCTTTCCCCTTGTCTCATTTCTTCTATTCTTTTATATTCTTTTTTCTTTCTCTTTTGTCATTCATTAGCATCTTGTTAGTGCCTTTCACATGAGAGTGAAAAGAAAATTTGTTATGGAATAGCTGCCAAATTTTAAGGTTTGGGGATCAAAAGATCATATTATTCTTTTCCTTGATAAGCCATCAGAATTTAACTAAAGCCTTGTATAATAAAGGCCTGTTCATTTTTGTGTGATCTTCCAGTAGATTCTTGCCAGTATTTTTGATACGCTGAGACTTCTGTTATCATCCAGGACTTAGTGCAGTAGAGTCATCTGTGCTGTTCAGGGAATACTCAAGAGAAAAGACCATTCCTCATGTACCAGCACTTAATATAAGAACAACGAAAAGATGAGACCTTGAAGTTCTATAATGACATGTTATTGACAGAAGTTTGCAAAAGAAGAGTTCTCTTCGCTGTTAGTTGTTTGTATTGGCCTTCTGGGTAGAAGATGAGGAAGCTCAAAACCTGAAATGCTCCTACTCAAAATATGCAACCTCCTCTGCTCCTTGATACTGCAGTGCTGCACCTTCCCCTGTTCCTTGTCAGTCCTGCACTGAGTGTCTGGGTTCAGAGATGCCAGCCCATTCCTCCTGTACTGTGTTGGAGGCCCTGGTTTCACAGTGGCTACTTTTGAGTGTCACTGTGGCTGCTGTTGCCTGCCTTCCACCAGTCTGCTTTATAGCTCATGAATTTTAACTGTTATAGCTTCTTTGCAGAACACTTGGAAACTTTCATTCTGACATACATCTTCATACTAATTTCTGAGTCTACAATCTGAACAAACTTTCCCATTCTGTATTCTTATTTTTCCTATTAGTTTTTGTTTCTCAATGTGTGTGTGTGTCTCATGTCCTAAGTAGAAGAAATTGAAGAGATTGGTTCACTAATAAAATGTGCCAGTAGAATTGTTACTGACTCTGAACTGTATCCACTTCTTTTAAAATATCCCTTAGCAAACTCAAGCTCAGTAGCTCTTTAATTTCCAGCTGGAAAGAAATCAGCATTGTAGAAAGAACTACAAAGGAAAGCAAACTTTACAAATGTTATTCTTCTGTACTTAATATGTTTGAGAATTTCTTTAGTATTTGGTGATGTAGACTAGAATAACACTAATTCTGTTCTCTTTTTAGATCCTTGCTGTACATTTATTGAAAGCAGTACTTCCATCCTGGGATAAAAATGAAAGGTCAAGAGACATGAAATTTCTTGTGGAAAAACTGTTTGGATTTTTAGGGAGCCTGCTTAGTACTTGTTCTTCGGATATCCCACTACTCAGAGGTAGAGGAATTTTGCCTCAGTGGCTGGTTTTTATGTATGGGAAGTGTGTGCGTTACACTGATAACTGTTGTGCCACTGCTTTGTCTTTCCAGAATCTACTCTGAGGAGGAGAAAGGCCAGGCCCCAAGCATCTCTAACTGCCACTCATAGTAGTACTTTAGCAGAAGAGATAGTGGCACTGCTGAGGACACTGCATTCGCTCAGCCAGTGGAATGGACTCATAAACAAGTACATCAACTCTCAGCTAACCTCCATCACCCACATCTTTGCAGGAAAACAGTCAGAAGGGGTAGTTTCCACGTTTTAAAATAAGCTCATTTTTATAGCAATCTTTATTTTGAAATTATAAATGCTAAATCTTTGTAAACAATATTAAGCTTAATATTGAAACCATTTTTTCTATTTTTATATATATTTGTGTTGTAACTTTTAAGTTGAAATATGCGTGATTAACTTTGTATTTTAAAGCAGATAGAAGGGTATGTTTTCTCCCTACAGTTAAATTTTATTTTTCTTTGTTAGGCTGTGTTGGATGACTACTTCCCTGACACTGAGAATCCAGAGGTGGGAGCTCTGATGGCAGTCTTGGCTGTGATTGGTGGCATAGACAGTCGCTTGAGACTGGGTGGACAAGTTGTTCACGATGAATTTGGAGAAGGCACGGTGACACGCATCACCCCGAAAGGGAAAATCACCGTGCAGTTCTATGACATGCGAACTCAATACACACAATGCTCTGAATGCATATCTAAGATGGTCCTCATGCAAACCTCTGTAGGACCTTTAAATCCCATCCTCATTTGCTGCGGAGGTGAAAGGAAGAGGGATTTAAGCTGGAGTTGTTTGACTTGAGTTAAAATCCCAATTTATTGTAATGCGGTTTATAGCTCTTAGATGAGAGGAGCATTCTGTTTAACTTGATCTGCTAACTAGTGTAGAATGTCTTGGGTATTTGCAATTTAATCTTGATATGGTTGATACAACTTTAGTGAAAGCACAGGCCAAGTGCTTGGTCTGCTTCAGAGTCAGAAGTTCTTTCTTGTTCTGACTCTTCTGCTTTTTCACCTGCAATTGTGTGGTACAAATACAGGCTTAGAAGCTGTGTAGGGAATAGAGATCCTCTCCAGTTGTTCCTGGTCAAGAGCAGTGAGACAAATGCTACTTTTCCTCTTCTGCAGTTAATAACCATTGAAACTTTTTAATAACTTTGTGAGATTTTAGGAACACGCTAACCTGTTTTTTTTTGTTAATTTTTTTGTCTGGCTCTTCCCCCACTGTCTAGCTTCCAGTTGTGGCTTTTAATGTGAACAACTTGCCTTTCACTGAACCTATGCTATCCATTTGGGCTCAACTAGTAAATCTGGCTGGAAGTAAAATAGAAAAACAGAGAATGAAGTCTCCCAATCAAGGTCTTTCAGGTAGAGTTGGAGGCTTTTTGCTGTTTGTTTTCTTTGGAAGTTAGATGAATATGCTTCGAGAAAAATACTAGTATCAGCAAACATAGATAAGGAAAAGGATCTCCTGGAACCTTAGCTGTTTTCTTATTCAGTACTGGATAATAGGCACTTAAGAGACAAGTTTAGTTAGGCACTGAATTGCTCTGCACTGTAAGTGAAATATCTTTGATGGGAAAATGTAAATAAGATTTGGGGCTGGACTTGCTCTACTGATTTGTATAAAATATTGGATCCAAGTAACATCTCAGCTTCACTTACTGTGTTAAAAATCTGCAGTATGATTGTCCAGGGTGTGAAAAGTAGGAAGGGAGTATTTTTAATATCATGAGTCATACAATATGTGCAGACTTTTGATCTATGTGCTATTTAAACTGACTCATGTGAGCAGTACACAGCGAGTTAAGATGTAAACTGACATTTGGGCTGAGGTTGTATGTATGGTAATCTTTTCTCTCTAATACAAGAGATTTCTAGCACTAATGGCTACTTAATATTTCTGATAGGTCAAGTTGATCTGGATCTGCTGCGGTGCCAGCAGTTAAAGCTGTACATACTAAAAGCAGGACGAGCTCTGCTTTCTCACCAGGATACGCTAAGGCAGATCTTATCTCAGCCAGCTGTTCAGGAGTGTGCATTAAATCCTGCAGGTATTTTGAAATGCTACTTGACTGTGCTGTCTTTGTTTAGATGGTAGTAGAGTATGTGACCATAACCCTTGGTAGTGGCAGCTGGACGGTAGAAATTCAGTTTGCTCTCTAAAGATAAAAAATTAAAATTCATGCAAGTTTTAAGCTTCTATGTTAAAAATATTTTGTATTTTTAACTTTAGTTTTGAAAACTAAGAACATCAGTGGCTTAATCTTAAACGCGTTGTGTCTCTGGAGAGGAAATATGTGAAAAATAACAGTAAGACCTAGAATAAGTCTCCTGATTGTGTTACATGGTTTTGGTTAAAATAATGTTTTTCTTTAAGAGGATGGAGCAGTTGCCTCTCCTGACATAGGGGATATGTCTCCTGAAGGACCCCAGCCTCCCATGATCCTTTTGCAGCAACTTTTGTCAGCTGCTACGCAACCATCACCTGTGAAAGCCATATTTGACAAACAGGAGCTTGAGGTAGAGTCTGTGTTTTCTGCTAAGTAACCTGAGAAATAACTCTTTATAATTCACATTCCAGTTGAAACTTACTAATCTATAGGTTTAAAAAAGAAGTGACAATGAACCCTTTTGGGCAAATAATGTTTAACTGATGTTCACACACGCAAATGTACTAAATATTCTTATTTTGCTTGGACTGATTTATTTGTTCTCCTCTAGGCTGCTGCTCTGGCAGTGTGCCAGTATTTGGCTGTAGAGTCTACACATCCTTCAACTCCACTATTTGAAGACTGCAGCTCTAGTGAAGCTACAACACCCATCACAGTGCAACATATCCGACCCACAAAAGTGAAGAAACGCAAGCAATCTCCAATTCCACCCCTCCCCATTGTAGTTCAGCTTATGGAAATGGGATTTCCTAGGAAAAACATAGAATTTGCACTAAAATCTCTGTCGGGAACCTCTGGAAGCGCTTCTGGATTACCAGGTATTTTGTTTAGTAAAAATAATAATAGGAGGAGGGGAAGAGTTGCAAGCTGATTAAAACAGTACTTATGAGGGGGAGCAGTTGTTATCCTCCTTTTGGATACAATCTTAAGAATGTCAGTGAATCCCTTGGAGACAAGCTGTGTTTGTTTTCTGTGTTAGGAGTGGAAGCCTTAGTTGGCTGGTTGTTGGATCACCCTGATGTTCAAATTACGGATCTTTCTGATGCTGATACTATCTCTGATGAATATTCAGATGAGGAAATAGCAGAAGAAGTGGAAGAAGCTGAAGCTGCTTGTCCTGTGGTGAGTATTGACTTGGTAACCCTAAGTTATGCTAGCTAGCTACAAATTTTGTAATTCTTCCCTATTTGGGAAAATGTCAAGAGTACAAGGACGGCCTGCTGTCCCAAGCCTTCAAAACAGTAACAAGGATCATGTTTGCCCTGTGTTTCTAAGACTTGACATAAAACAAAGAATAATCCATAAATACTTCTTGAGTTAGCACAGGGGAGAGTAGAATGCAGGTAGGTGTTTCACTGGTGGTAGCTCCAAGTATTCCTGATAGATGCTCTTAGTTTCTTCAAAATTACTTGATGTTATAGTGTAATACTGGTAAAGGAGTTCTCCCTTCTCCTTTCCCTTGGTCTGAAAAATAAACATATGCTACCTACAAGGAAGGACTTAATAACTAGTTGAATAAATGGCAAAAAAGTCTATTAAATAACTTAGCCTTTTCCTTATAAAAACTTTGTCCATTTGTGGACGATAAAATTACTGTTACTGTGCCTATTGAGTGTGATGTGTTTAATGTGAATTTATATTAGTCATCTGTTGACTTTCAAGAACTGTTTCAGAGAAGGACTTGTTAATAAAATTAAATGGGTTTCATATTTCTGTTTATCCTTGAAGTACTTACGTTGAGTTTTCTTGCACATTTGCGATTTTGTAATTGAAATTAATGCATTATATTTTGAAGGAAATCAGCTTGACAGCTTTTGGTATCTTTATCAGTATTGCAGTGAAAAACTGCTATATATTGCTATTAATGAAAAAACCCCCCACATTTAATACTTGGAACAGAACAAATTTCTCTGAAAATTCTCATTACAGCAGGAATGAAGTAGTTCTCTTAAAAAGCATTAAGCTAATCAAATCTTGAATAATTTTTAATAACTACAATTTTATTTTTTTTAACTTGATTTTCTTAAGGAGTGCTTTAAATCTCATTGTACTATCTAAAGAAAAGTCAGTAAGGTTTAGGTTAAAGATTACCATTCCCTTTTTTTTTTTTGTTTTTTTATTTTTTTCCTCCTCCAACAAGTGTCCTAAGAAGTAGAATGTGAATGAGTATCTTCAAGGCTAATTTGAGTAGGACAAATCCTCTCTGTTCTGATTTTCTCTGACAGTCACGTTTCATAAAAGCAACTTGCAGCTTCTTTCATACATTTTGAGAATTTGCATCTATCTTCCTTGATAAGTAATTTTGGAAAGTAAATTTTAATTCAAAATCAAGTAGATCATCAGTGTTATCCTTACAGTGAGTTGAACCTGTTGAAGTATTTTCCCATTTTTGGCATGCAGCTGGGATATTGGCTAGGATATTGTATGGGTTTATTTTTGTTGGGTTATCTTCAGTCTTTGCCAACAATTTTATTTATCTGAATTGAAAACGAACTTTTTAATTGTTTCATATTTATTTGAACTTTTTTCCAGTCAAGTGGTGCTGTTGTAACAGAGAGCCAGACCTATAAGAAACGAGCTGATTTCTTAAGCAATGATGACTATGCTGTCTATATTAGGGAGAATATTCAGGTAAGTATGATGATCAAAATCAACAAAGAAACTGCTTTCATGTTGGTACTGAATCTGTTACAGAGCCGTTCTGTTGTCCTTTTTTCCCTAGGTGGGGATGATGGTTAGGTGCTGCAGAACCTACGAGGAGGTTTGTGAAGGAGATGTAGGCAAAGTTATTAAATTGGATCGAGATGGATTGCATGATCTGAACGTGCAGTGTGATTGGCAACAAAAGGGTGGTACTTACTGGGTCAGATACATCCATGTTGAGCTTTTAGGTGAGTTCACTTCTGACTGCATTTTAACTAAAAAAAGTGAGTGGTAGACTAAGGGAGATGTATTTTTGGAGGGGGAAAGCCCACTCACTATACATTTATTCTTGCATCTGCTAGGATTCCCACCACAGAGTTCTGCCTCTCATATCAAGATAGGTGACAAAGTGCGTGTGAAAAGCTCTGTCACCACACCCAAATACAAATGGGGATCAGTTACTCACCGCAGTGTGGGCATCGTCAAAGGTAATTTGTGTTCAAAATGGGGCATGGGGAGGTAATAAACTCAAAACCACATAGACTTTCTTCTAGACACACCTAAAAATTACTCTGTTTTGTGGAGTATTGTATGATGATAGAGAGCATAGAATGCAATTGAAGTCTGCGGTGAATTCATAGTCGTGTACTCTGTGGCAGCCCATTTTGTTAGCGTTTCCATCTGCTTTTGAGCCACCTCATTTTCAGACAGGAGAAGTCTTTAAGCATCTGTGCAGCTTCCTGTTGCAGTTCTGTTTCACACTTTGAATGAACCACAAATGGTTTCCCTTTAAGAAGTAACTGTAACTTGAAGGCTTCATAAATAAGCGAGGAGAAAGTGGGGTACACTGATGTCAGGCTGTAAGGGATATCATTGAGGCAGTCTTTGGTACACAGGTTCTTTGAAGAGGTTCAGATTTTGGTTACACTGTATTTGTGCTTAGAAGTATGTGATTGCTTGGGAACTGCTTCTAAATAAAATTAAGAACAAGTCAGAGGAGAGGAATTCAAATGGAATACTACTTTAAGGACTTTCAGCTTCATTTTATAGAGATTTGCAACACCTTTTATTTTCTCCTTGTTTTTGTCACAGCATTTAGTGCCAATGGAAAAGATGTTATTGTAGACTTTCCTCAACAGTCACATTGGACTGGCCTGTTGTCAGAAATGGAATTGGTCCCCAGCATTCATCCTGGAGTCACGTAAGTGGTGATTTATTTTTATCTTAGTCTGTAGGTGTTATCCTTTATCTTACTATCTTGGTTCTGTTATCTCGTCTCATGTTATATCTATATGTGCATATATATGTATATTCACTTGTTCTTTTCTTGTCAAATCAGGTGTGATGGCTGTCAGATGTTTCCTATCAATGGGCCTAGATTCAAATGCAGAAACTGTGATGATTTTGACTTTTGTGAAACGTGTTTTAAAACCAGAAAGCATAACACCAGACATACTTTTGGCAGAATAAATGAACCAGGTAAGTTTTGCAGTCTAATTGTTTCTTAGATTAATTTAAAATGTGTTTGTTTGTTTTAAAAAAAGCAATTTTTAAATTTCAGCTCCTTAATATCATGAAATTAGTGTTCTAATTGACCCCCTAGACATTTATAGCATTGCATGTGATGGACTACAACAAAACATTAACCCGTAAGCCTTTTTTGTAGTGTTAAAAAGTTTAAAAAATGTCTACGTGACAGTAACTCTACATGTCAGAATGGCATTTTTACCTCCACCAAGAGAATGTGTTATTTTCTAATCCTCCTGCCTTATGCTATCAGCCTAGATGTATATGAATGGAATCCTCATGGTGCCAAGGGCAACTGGAAATACCTAAGATGCTTTCTTATGCCTCAGTTGCTCTTGAGCTATTTTGCCTGTCAGCGTGTGATGGCTGTTGCCTCATTTCCTCTGTGATGTTGAGGCTCCAGAGGAGTGTGGTGGGAAAGGGAAGCCTTTTAAAAGACTCATAATTTTTTTTTTCCTATTTTTTTTCCCTTTTGGCTTTGCATTGTTATGGAAAACTTACATGACATTTCCTTTTATGTCTTTTCTATCCACCTGTCTAGCAATTAATCTTATCCCTAGTATTTGCATGATGATGCTGAATTCTGGAGTAAATTTCTTTGTCAGTGTAGTTGTTTTGGAAAATGAATAAACCTGTTTCCCTCACTAGAGATTGTGAACATGGATTGTGTGTGCATGATGGTTTGTCTAATAGGCAAGAATGACATTCCTTTAATAAGCCAGTTGATTAGGCTGTGCAACTAGAATGGTGTGAATCTGTAATCCTTCCCCTTGCCCTGTGTAGGGCAGAAGAGGTACAATATTCTTTTTGTCAAGATTTCTAGACTCTGCAAAATGAGTGAAGGGAAGTGGAAGTAAGGTTTTTGCAAGGAGGAAATCCACATCTCACTAAACCACCTTCTTCTGGAACAAGATTTGAATTTTCCAGTGTTCCAAATTTCTATTTGTATTCTTTGGTAGGGGATTTTTGTTGAAAAAAGGTTTAGTTGCATGTTTTTCATATGCTGTAGGGGTGTAAAAAATTTGTCTGCTGTGGGCCTGTATTTTGAATTACATATCACCATAAATGTTGATCTGTATTTTAAAAGGGAAGGACCTTTTCAAGTAGCTGTCTAGTCAAGAAATTGTAAAGTTGAAACTCCTTTAAAAAAATGAGCTACGCCCTTAAGGCATGAGTGTTGTGCCCTACATAGTATCACCATGACCGTGTGATGTGCAACTTTGTTCTAAATGTAGCCCACAAACCCAAAATGTTGGATTTGTTACATTTTCTTTCACCCTACTTATGGGTTTCAGAGGAGAAATTTTCTTTGAGAGGTGCATGCTTAATGTGTCACTTAACCCTGCAGGTCAGTCTCCCGTGTTCAGCGGGCGCTCTGGAAAGCAGCTGAAGAGACGGCACAGTAGCCAGCGGGGAATGCTGCTGGATGATTGGTCAAGGATAGTCAAGAATTTGAATGTCTCATCCTCTGTGAATCAGGCTTCCCGTCTTATTGATGGTAGTGAGCAGTGCTGGCAGTCTTCTGGTTCACAAGGAAAGGTAACTTTAAGCCCTAAATGCTTTATTCTGGTATACCTCATTCTTAAAAAGATCTCCGCAGAGCCTTGCCTTCTCCAGGCTGAACAACCCCAACTCTCTCAGCTTGTCTTTGTTGGAGAGGTAGTCCATCTCTCTAATTGCATTTGTGGTCCTCTTCTAATCCACTCTACCAGGTCCATGAGGGTTTTTTGTGCTGAGAACCCCAGAGTTGGATGCAGCACTCCAGGTGGGGTCTCACAGGAGCAGAGTAGAGGGGCAGAATCCCCTCCCTTGACCTGCTTGTTGCTGCTCTTTTGATGCAGCCCAGGATGCAGTTGGCTTTCTGGGCTGTGGGTGCCCACTGGTGACCCATGTGCAGCTGTTCATCCACTAGAACCCCCAGCTCTCTTTCTGTGGGGCTGCTTTCCAGCCTCTTATCCTCTAGTTCGTCAGTATAAGCAGGATTACCCCATCCCAGGTGGAGAATGCCACATTTGCGCTGGTTAAATTTCATACAATTGGTGATTACTCGGCCCTTTAGTCTGTCAAGGCCTCTCTGCCTTGCAGGAAGTCAACAGCTTCTTCTGGTTTAGTGTCATTGACAAAGTTGCTTAAGGTACATTTGGCTCCTACATCCAGATAATTTATAAAAGGCATTGTTCCTTAGTTTATGGTTTACCAGTTTCATTGGCCTGCAGCAGTGCTTTGTGACCAGTCTAGGGACCAAGATTTGCAGCTGGGCATCTGTACAGTGTGTTTTGATGCTCTGTTGATGGCCGTGCTTAGAATATCCCCAAGTACCCTTACTCCAGGTTTTCTACAGACTGTAACCTAATAATTACATTATGTCCCATTACTTAACCTCCTTTCTTAACCTGCTGTGCTTTCTGTCTTCTCCGGGGTGTTGGTCTTGGCTGAAATAAATTGTTTGCTACAACTGTTTCTCTTGTAGTTGGATGTAGGACAAGCAAGAAGTTCACAAGGTCATTTCCCTCTGGCCACTTGCCATATATTGCAGCTGTTCTGCACCAGAGATGTTTTCCATTCTTTCTTTAAAAACATCACATATATATTCTTGTTAATCATATGGTAGTCATACCAATATTATCTAAAAATTGAATTCTGTGTTTCCACTAGCACTGGATTCGCTTGGAGATTTTTCCAGATGTTCTTGTTCACAGACTGAAGATGATAGTGGACCCTGCAGACAGCAGCTACATGCCTTCCTTAGTTGTAGTTTCAGGTATGTGTATGTTCTCTAAGAAGTCGAAAAACATTTTCTTTATTGCACCCAACAATATTTATCTGGTTTTTGTTAAAATAGTTACCTGTTTAATGTGCACAACCTGTTAGTGAAACAAATGACATATCCTAAAATGTTTTTCATTCTGTGTTTTGTTTTCTAGGGGGTAATTCCTTAAATAACCTTATAGAGCTAAAGACAATCAATATAAACCCTACAGACACCACAGTGCCTCTACTCAGTGATTGTACTGAAGTAAGTGGAATTTGTGTGAGAATTACTCTTGTGTGCAAGAGAAAAATATTATGCTGCAAGACATGAAAAGCATTGTTGTGATCATTAAAGGCTGGTATTTTATTTTTGCTATTAGCAGTATTTCTGGTAAGTTAGTAGAAAGTTAATTATTCTAAGAATAATTTTCTAAGAATATTAAGAATTATTATTCTAAGAATAATATTCTAAGAATATTAAGAAGTTAATTATTCTAAGAAGTTTTACCATAATCACAAAGTAACGGTATAATAGATATTTTAGGGGGTTTTATGTTAAGTTTTGGGGATAATTTTAGAAAGCAGTGCTAATCTTTTCTAGCAAGAAAAAATGCATAATGAATTCTGTGATATTGGGAGTGAAATTTCTCATATGAATGAGGCCATATGCTAATGATAAAGCATGAATTATTTAGAGCTGATATGACAGGCATTTTAAGTGACAGATTCATTTTTTTAAAGTGACAAAGTCAAGCAAAAGTTCTAATTCTTTCCTATGTTTTATGAATTAACATAGAGCCCAAAAGATGTCAATAGAGTATTTTTCTTCTTAGTACCACAGATATATTGAGATTGCAATCAAGCAGTGCAGAAGCTCTGGCATTGATTGCAAAATACATGGCCTCAGCATACTGGGACGTATACGTGCCGAGGATGAAGATTTGGCTGCAGTCCCTTTCCTGGCTTCTGATAATGAGGAAGAGGATGACGATAAAGCTAACACTGGGAGGTAGGTAACTGCAGTGGTGAAGGCAGGGGGAAATGGTGAAGAACCTTAGTGTCTAAATATTCCTGCAACTCTGGAGATGATTGGAGGATGAACACATTAATTAGGTTGAATGGTAAGTAGATCCTTTGTCAATAAATGCATTCTCTGAGATGATCATGCTGGTGAGGTGTAACATTTTGTATGACTCATGCCCTTTTGCAGTATACTTGGGATTGGAAACTGAGCTAAAAGCTTGACGTGTTATATTTGATACATGTCATGTGACTTGGTTTTTTGTTGTTTGTTTGGGTTTTTTTTTCAAATGTGGTACTGTTGTTTGAGTCCTGAAACTGTTCCAGACTGTTAAAATCAGTAAATACAGTAAAAAGGTACCTATGCTACAGCATGCTGTTTGCCCAGCTGACTGTGTTTTCTTTTCTCACTTTGTTCAGTCTTGTTAGAAAGAAGGCAGCTGGACTTGAATCAGCAGCTACAATAAGAACCAAAGTTTTTGTTTGGGGACTGAATGACAAAGACCAATTGGGAGGGCTAAAAGGTTCCAAGGTATGTTGTTTTTACACTTAAGTACAAAAGAGAAACAGTGAAAAAAAATGTATGAGTTACACAACTTAAAATTAATTCAGACTTAATCAGAATTTTACAGTTTATTACTGAAAGCCACAAAAAGTAGGTTTTGGTGGCTTTTTAGTGTTAAGGCAAGTAGATGTCTGCTGGGTGGAAAACTGGAGAAAATTTCCATTTTGGTTGTTACTCTGAAATCTGACTTGATTTTTAGCAGCCACTCAGTCATTTATTTTAGATGATAATGAGCTAATTGTTTAAAAAATGTGTGACACTACATAGTCTGTTCCTGTTGAATTTGCACGCATAAAATAACTATTGGTGAACTTTGTGTTGTACCTGGCAATTGTACTGTAGGAATTTCAGCCCAGTGTGCAGTCATTTACATATAATTTTAATATAAGATGAGATACATTACAAATGCTTAATGAATTTAAAATACCATTCTTTAATCTGAAAATTATGTTGAGAGAATTTCTTTAATTGGTGTTCTGAAAGTTTTATATTCATCGTAGTTTCAGTATTAAATTTTTTTAATTGGTTTTTGTCTTTTGCCTGGTGTAATATTAATTGGCATGTGTGAATCATCTGAAAGTACCTGTTAGATCAGCTGATTTATCACTTAAGAGCTCTTATTTTTAGAGTGTGAAACATTAAAGTGAATTGTAATGATTTTTATTTCCTGTCTGCCCTAGATAAAAGTCCCTTCCTTTTCTGAAACCTTGTCTGCCTTGAATGTTGTGCAAGTAGCTGGAGGATCCAAAAGCCTTTTTGCAGGTAACATAAGTTTAAAATAAATATAATTATTTAAGGGCAGAAACAGATTTTGAATTGTGAAACACTAATGCTGTTTCAAACTTTTTTCATCCTTTTAGTGACTGTAGAGGGTAAAGTGTATGCCTGTGGAGAAGCCACAAATGGAAGGCTGGGTTTAGGAATATCTAGTGGAACTGTGCCAATTCCCCGCCAGATTACAGCTCTCAGCAACTATGTGGTAAAGAAAGTGGCTGTTCACTCAGGTACTGACTATTGCTGTCCTTATATACATTAAACCTAACATATTAAGCCTGAAAATAGTTGCTTTGCAGTTTTCTTGGGTGCTGTGAAGCCCTAGCATATCAGATTCTTGTTTCTAAAAGAAGTACAGGTTATTGAATTCTGTCTGTTGTATACAATGTCAGATTAAATCTAATGGTTCTGTTATTAAAATTGGTGAATTTAGACCATACAAGTTTTCTTATCTGCTGGAAAGTAACTTTGGTGTTTCCATTTGATTGAAAGAAAGTGTTTTCATTTTTAATATTTCCATATGGTGGGTTTGTTTTTCTCATTATTTTTTCTTGCAGCTCTGAAAATAGAAAATTGAGTGATTATTTGTTTGGTGGGGTTTTTGTTTTCTTAATGTGCCAGAACACCTACTGTCACAAAAGTTTTTTATTTTAAGTTAAATCACATAAAAGCTCCAGAGAATATAAGTAATGTCTGCGGAGCTGAAAGGCTCATACAGTTGTATTGTAGAAGAGCAGTAAAGTCAAATTGTTGCTAAGACCTGCTGCCTGCTTTGCTTGAAAGCTCAGAAATGTAAATTTGTGTTTGCAATTTTAGGTGGCCGGCATGCTATGGCATTAACTGTTGATGGAAAGGTGTTTTCATGGGGTGAAGGAGATGATGGAAAACTTGGTCACTTCAGTCGAATGTAAGGATACCAAATTTGTCTATATTTCAGTAAGAGATTTGTATTGAATGTTACAGCACAGCTGACCACCACTATTGACAACAACAGTATTTTTCATACAGTAGGAATAAAAAAAAGTGTTTTAAGAAGACTCTTTTTTCCCACAGTATGTGCCAATTGATGGTGCAGCATTTGTAGCAGGCTTCAGCCATTTAGAGAGGAGGCATTCAATTAATATAATACTTGGAAAGATGGATAAAGTCTTAATTAGTATTTTCAAATTTCCTGATGAAATTATGTATTTTTGGACATGCAGTTTTTGGTTACTTCTATAAGGTATGGTTTTCCGAGGTGCCTTGAGGAGTAAAACCATAGCAATTTTATATTCCTGAGCTAAACAGCTGTAACAGTTCATCATTTAAGCTGTCATTTTATAGCCCTTTTCTTCAGACTTCAGTTCACATACTTGTTAACCAGAAATAAACTTCTTCCACTTTTTAGTAATACAGAGTTTAATCTTCCACATGACAGCTTTGAGAAAAAATTGAATTTTCTCTTATTTACTTTGCATGTACCCACAGAACAGTATTTTTAAAGAAAAAAACCCTGATATACAAAGCCCATGGGTAAATACTTTTGTCATTTTGATATATTTTGAGGACTTGGCCATAATACATACAAAATTAAAATCAGATGGTTATTACGTTACAGAAAATAAATGTTTATAAGGCTGGGTCAGACTAATGAAAAGGGAAGTCCAGATTAGAGTAGTATGGCTGTTTATTGCTCAACTGCCTTTTGTTTTATGTAGTTTTACTGGAAGTGAGATTTGGAACTCCTGGGCATTTCACAGTAGCAGTATTTCCAGAGGCATGCATAATTTTAAGGAATCTTGTTTGTGGTTCTGGTACAGCCAATATTAGAAAATCTTGAGTTGAATCTTTTTTGGAATTAAGGGAACACTGTATCCACATGATGAATAAATGTTAACAGTACTCACATAGAAGTCTTAACAGTAAATTCTACTTTTGATTTATCTATCATGAAGAACAGAGTTGGGATGGGAGTGTCATATCTTAATCTTACTGTGTGTCCACTGCTAATAAATCCCTCAACTTTGGGCAGTGACAGGAAATTGGTTTTCACTTTCTATTATGTGCTGTTTAATTAATTCATCACTTTGGCATTTTGAATTTCTTACCTAAGTTTGGCAATATACACATAAAATATTCTTTAAATAAACTTTGAAGTACATTAAACCAGTGTAAACTTTGGATTTATGGTGCTGCTAAAGAATGCATCTTGGAATCAGTGTTGCATATTACCTTGTCTTGAGATTACTGTTAGTTATTGCACAATCTATATTGCAACAGCTGGGGTATATTGTGTGGCTGTTTTTTGATTAACACAGTGGATTTGTTGTTCACTTTCTCCAGGAACTGTGATAAACCCAGGCTGATAGAAGCGTTGAAAACCAAACGCATCCGTGATATTGCCTGTGGCAGTTCCCACAGTGCTGCTATTACCTCTAGTGGTGAACTGTATACCTGGGGTCTTGGAGAATATGGAAGACTAGGACACGGAGATAATACCACACAACTCAAGCCTAAGATGGTAAAATCTATGTTTCTTGTTTCTGATGAAATGCAAACATGTTTAGCAAAAGACAGCAGCATGAAGCTAAAGTAACAAAAAACATGAAGACAATATGAGGACATTGTTTTGGAGTGATCTAAATTAGGTTTTGGTACCCATACCTCTAGTGAAAGTAAAGCTGTTTCAGAAAGGCCAAAAAGATCCATTCTCTTTCTTGGGAATGATGGAAAATGGCAAGTGGTGCTTTCAGCATTCATGTCCTGCATCCACTTTGATACACAGCTGGCAGCTACCATGTAGCAATGTTGGATTCTGAGCATCACTGGATAGTTCTTTGCTCAGGCTGGGCACAGGGACCGAGATGGGTCATAAGACCTTGGAAATGTGTGTAAGGTTTTAGAACATAACTTCTTTGAAAAATTTTTTCTTACTCCTTCTGTTTTGTAGGTTAAAGTGCTCCTTGGCCACCGGGTCATTCAGGTTGCGTGTGGAAGCAGAGATGCTCAGACTCTTGCTTTGACGGATGAAGGTAGGAGTATCTTGTTTCAGAAGCTTTCTAGCACATGGGATTACTGTGATCATTGTTTGACCTGCAATTTGATGTTTGTTAGGTTTGGTGTTTTCTTGGGGTGATGGTGATTTTGGAAAGCTGGGCCGAGGAGGAAGTGAAGGATGCAACATTCCTCAGAACATTGAAAGACTGAATGGCCAAGGTGTTTGTCAGATTGAGTGTGGTGCACAGTTCTCGTTGGCACTGACCAAGTCAGGAGTGGTATGGACATGGTATGTTACATTTGACAGGAGGTATTAACAAATCAGTTGCTCTGTGCTGTATTTAATAATTTTTTACTCCATTTATGCCTTATCTGTGTGCTTTGTCTTTTAAACCGGCAGCTCTTCCAGGTGAGCTGTATCCATTCAATCGCTTTGTGTCTCCTAGTATGCTTTCTTGTTTGCTGTACTCTGTTAGAATGCCTGGCTCTGACTGAACTAGTGGCAGAAAGGGAAGATCATTCCTTCTCTTGGTCACCATGAGGACATGTAAAGGAATGTTAAGAGTGGAGATGAAAGAAGAAAAACTTGAGAGCCATAGCTTGGAGTATGAAGCCAACAGTTAAAGCAGAGACTTGAGAGAGTAAGGATGCAGGAGGGTAAAGGAAGTAAGCTGAAATTCAGAGCAGATGGGAAGAACTTCCTTGGGAACACAGGAACACAACAACAGCTTGTTGCTGCTCAGAAGGCCACTGAGTTGTCAGTAATGATGCCTTGGAGCAAGAATTGGTATGAGATGATCACTGAGAGCTACTCAGATATGGTTTTATTTTTCTCCTGTTTTCCTACTTCCTTCTGCTTTGTTTTGAACACAGATCTGGCTTTTTGAATAAACCTTTTTGTAAAATCTGAGAGCTTACTGCATGGCAGGTCAACTTCAGAGCACTAATCAGATCAAGGTCTTACCCCATTCTTGTGTGAAAAGACTGTGACCTATTTGATGTATATCAAAACTAAGTAGACTTAAACCAATCATTTTTGTTGTGTTGTCATCAGTTGCTGAATAACATGAAGACAAATCCTCGAAACTTTAGATTTTTATAGGTTACTACTGTTGTTAAAGGGGAGAGAAGTTTTTCACAGAGTTGTTTTTCAGAGTAGCCATTGGAAACTGTATTTCTTTCTTTCTCTACCTCCAAATTTATTTTTTTTGTAGTGACAAAAGGAACAAGAGGGAAGATTATTTGACAGTCTTTTTTTAAAATTAAGAACTTATGTCAAAATTCTTGTTCGTTCCTTCCTTGCCCTAGTTTTTCTTAACACTGTTAGATCTAGTCAAAAATCTACATCTATTTCATGACATTACAGGTCTAAAAGGAGATTTTTGGGTCTGTTTCTACTGGGGATGGCTGAATTGCTTTTGAACTTCTATTCTTCTTAAATTTGTAATAGTTTGAGGAAAAATGTCATCACTTCAGTGTTATAACTTTGGGTAGATAACAATACTCTAGATCTTGTTTCTCTCCAGCATGATATAACCTTTCTTGGTTATATTGAAAAATTGGTGGGGAGCAAAAGAACTGAGTGGGTGGTTACTAAAAACATAGTGGAAAAAATATCAGGGTTTTTTTCTTCTTTATTGATATTCTTGGTAGAGGCATTTTAAGGTGTTTACATTACTTTTGTGTATGCTATTCTTTTTAGTGCAGTTTTTGTATAACAATTTTGGAAGAATTTAAATTCTGGAGACTTGAGAATCTATATTGAGGCTTCCAGCAATGTGAAAAAAATAAATTCTGAAAGCATTTTTAGTTCCCTATGTATTTTTTCTGTAGAAGCAGACCTAGGTTAAAGGTTCTGTTGTTGTTAAGTTTATCTTCTGTAGTTAAATATGACCAAGTCTCATCAAATGACATTAATTTTGTGTTTATAATTGCAGTGTTTCTGCAGCAGGGGAAATGAAATGTAATGCCAGTTGCTTTGCATTTAAAAAATAATCGTAGTCATGCTCTTCTGTATTGATGTGAAAAGCTACAGTGTAATAGAACTGCAGTTATCCTCATTTTTATGAGGGATTCTTGGGATTCAGTTTGGAAGCATTTGCTAGTTGGTGTGTGTGTTTGAGGCAGGGATGAATGGAGTATATTCAGATGGGAACCTGCATGGAGGAGGAGTGTGTAAACAGTCCTGCTGTTCTGAATGTCACATTTACTGTCTGTTGCAGGGGTAAGGGTGACTACTTCAGGCTAGGCCATGGCACAGATGTGCATGTACGAAAGCCACAGGTTGTGGAAGGACTGAGGGGCAAAAAGATTGTGCATGTGGCTGTGGGAGCACTCCACTGTCTGGCAGTGACTGACACTGGGCAGGTATGTTGTGCATCACCTTCCTTTCCCCTCTTTCCTTGATGCAGAAAGGAATAAACTGTTTATTATATATAATTACTGGTATAACAGTATGTGTAACAGTTATACAGTTATGTGTAACAGTATAGGTGCTGATTAAATGAAATAAAAATTTCTAGTTTTATTTATTTGCTTTTAAAAGTCCTGAATAAATTTAAATAATTTAAACTATTAGTATTGGAGCTGAAATATTTTTGTCGTAGTAACTTTTGTAGTGTTTTCCTTGTATTTGCTAATTATCAGCTTTCTGCTTCTTACTCTGGAAATACAGCAGCAGTCATAGTATTCTTGAGAGATTTTTCAGGTTTATAATAATGCTTCAGATCTGCAGTGTAATTACTAAGCAATTGATTCTTCTAACTTACTATGAACATTGAGTGACTTGTGAATCAACTGATCAATTATGATTCAGTAATAATTTATGAACCATCTGATAAAGTGCTGCTTTGATTGTTTTTTCTTCTTTTAATGTATGATAATGCCTGCATTATTTAATGGGGGGTGTGGGGAATGTCTTGACAATAGATTGTCTAAAGTGTTCTAGATTACTAGCAAACTTTTTTTTTAGGAATTTTTAAGAAAGCATTGAAAGGAGATAAGCAGTGGAGCTGAGTAATTGGTGGAAATTTTCTCTGGCAGGTTTATGCTTGGGGTGACAATGACCATGGGCAACAAGGCAATGGAACTACTACAGTCAATAGAAAACCCACTCTTGTCCAGGGCTTGGAAGGCCAGAAAATCACTCGGGTTGCTTGTGGGTCTTCCCACAGTGTGGCATGGACAACCGTGGATGTAGCTACACCATCTGTTCATGAGCCAGTCCTTTTCCAGACAGCGAGGGACCCTTTAGGTGCTTCTTATCTTGGTTGGTATTTGCTGCCTTAAACTTGTCTTCCTTAACTGTCATTGGAGTGTCTGTTTTGTGTGGGATTCAATAGGTGATAGAAGAGTGCAAAAGAAAATGGTTTAAAAAAAAATAAATCACAAAACAGCAAAATACACCTCTGGTAAAACTCTTCGTGGAAGTGGAACTTTTAAATTAAAAGTGCAACATGCATTCTCAAACACCCCAATGAGTTACTCTTTATGGAGGTAATGATAGATGAATGCTACGCTAATAGTGATCTTCTTACACATTTCCTCTTGTTTCTAATGTAGGTGACTTAAGAATTAGGGAATCAAAGCAGCAGTGTTTTGTGTTGAATATAAAAGCATCTAACATCTTGCTAATTAAGCTTTCATGAGCAAGGCAACTTGTACCTAATGGATATTCTTGCTATTTCAGAATGTTTGTGTAAGTAAAACTTGTTATAGGTGCTGATCACTAAAATATTTTTATCTGTATTACCTTAATCCTCATAAGTAACAAGATCAAATACAATTTTATGAAAGCCCTTGTTGAAAAGCTTCAGTATTAACTTTAATATTACAAGTGTAGGCACTGCAGTTTAAAAATCTCCTGTAGAGTTAGTTCAAGTCATCTCTTCTGATTTAACAAGAGGTTGGATAAACCATTTCCTTTTATGTATTATGCCATTAAAAAGCGCTTACCTTCTCTTTCCCCCTGCCTCTTTTTAGGTGTTCCTTCAGATGCAGATTCTTCTGCTGCCAGTAACAAAATCAGTGGGGCAAACAGTTCCAAGCCGAATCGCCCTTCCCTTGCTAAGATTCTCCTGTCACTTGATGGGAATGTTGCCAAACAGCAGGCATTGTCTCACATACTGATTGCACTACAAATCATGTATGCCAGGTAGGCATGGGAACATTCTTTCTGTTGCAGAGCAAATGACATAGCTTACCATCTATTAGGGACTGTTGAGTCAGGTATAAATTGTTTCATCAAGTTTGATCTCCTCAGGATAGGCCTAAGCTTCATTTAAATTTTCTTTTGATGTCGATGTTAGCTTTGCTCTTAGGTTTACAGAAGTTTCCATTGTCTGGGTAAAAAATCATTCATGCAGAAATGCTCAAGTAAATAGTGTACAAGCCGTGTAAGTAAATCATGATGGGTGGTACAGAGGAAGCAGTAGAGGGCAGAGTGGGAATAACAATAAAACTTTGCAGTGCTGTCATTGTTAATAGAGAACAGAGTATTCGTGCTAAAATTTATACAGAGGAACTCATGTTAAATACTGAAGCTTCAGGCCCAGAGAAGAATAACAATGGACTACTGTTTAAATTCTAGAGCTTGGAAGCTTACCTTATTTTGTTAAGACAAGCTAGTAAAATTTTTCAAGTTCAACAAGGGTGTATAATTAGGTTTATGTTAATCCATCCTAAATGATTTCAGGGACGCAGTTGTTGGAGCATTGATGCCTGCAAGTATGATTGCACCAGTAGAATGCCCCTCTTCATCGCCAGCCCCCCCAGCAGATGCCACTTCTGCAGGAAGCCCTGCAAATGGAGATGAGTGTGTGCTTGTAGGAGATATTGAGGAGAGGCTGAGTCCAAACCCTTGGCAGGACAGGAGAGGGGAGGTAAAGTGTCACATTATTTTTTTTTTTCATTAGTTTTTAACTGTAAGGCTGATAAATATCTCAACTAGTCTGACAGTAGCAGAGAATAAAAAATTCCTTCATGCTCTAATTTCAGTACTAGGTTCTCTGCACATGTCAGATTTGAAAAAACTAAAATTTTAGTGTAAGACCAGTTTTGAACTTTCAGAAAGCATTGTGTCATTTAAATGCAATCATGATGATTTCTAGCAATATTTTAGAGATATTGAATTCATCTTACAGGAGTGATATTAAAAGAAAGTCAAGAATAGCAGAATATTTGACCATTGTTTAAGGAAATTTAGTTGTAAACTTGGATCAACTAATGTTGACATGAGGTCTTGAATGAAATTCTACTATGTTGATTCCCAACTGCTAACAAAAGCAGAAAAAAGAAAAGGCTTGCTACTGAAGAGGTCTTTTGCATTTATAAACAGTGAACTTCATATGTATTGGCAGGGCTTGCCTTCTTGCTTTTGTAGACTTTTCTACAGGCAGATGTTTTATTCTTTTTTGTTTTTGTAGCAGCTGGCACTGAGGGGAGTGTTTGTTGTTTTACCCACACTGGGAACATAAAATAGAAGCTAAAAATAAAGGCAGTGAATCTGTTGGTTTTGAATTTAGGGCTGTTTTTAAATTGCTGCTGTCTTTGAGCACTAGCCCTTCTAATAAACAGTTAAGTCTTAAAGGTTTTACAGTGTCTTGTTGAAGATTTCATTAGTTATTATTTGTTTTGGCTAGGTTGTTCCTTCCGAAGATGCTGTGACACCATCTGCTGTGACTCCCTCAGCTGCTGCTGCCTCTTCCCGTCCTTTCATTCCAGTCACAGATGATCCTGGAGCTGCCAGTATTATTGCAGAAACTATGACAAAAACCAAAGAAGTAATGTTGTCAATTCTCTTCTCAAAACTTAATTCCTCGCTGTGCTTTTATCAAGCAGCTTTTCTGTTTCTTTGTGCTTTAAAAGTTATTCTGTAAATGACTGCATTTTTAAACATCTGCCCAAAGACAGAGGGATGTTTGTTGTTTGTTTTGTAGGATGTAGAAAGCCAGAGTAAGGTATCTGGCCCAGAACCGCAGTACTTGGATGAGTTTACAAGTCTCCTGGTACCAGATGACACGCGAGTCATGGTTGACCTGTTAAAGCTTGCGGTGTCCAACCGAGCGGGTGAAAAGGGAAGAGATGTTCTCTCAGCCGTGCTGTCTGGCATGGGAACGGCTTACCCACAGGTCAGGTTTTGTTTCTGTTGCATTTTAACTGTTTCCTTTTTTATTACTAGCTTGCTGGAATATTTTCTTGTATTGGAAGTGCAGTTCAGCATCCTGAGAACCTTTTTACACATGAAAATTTGAGTTGAACTCAAATGCATGTGAGCTTTAACCATTTCAATGGAAATATTACATGAATATGTGTGTGTGTTGCAGATGTCACACAGTAACAGACTAATTTCTCCATTTTTCATGCTGCAATTAGACATTAAGATAGAATGTTTTTGTGTATTGACCAAGTATCGGTGGGTATTGGAATGCAGCTGAATTAACCAAGCTCTATTTACTCAGTCTCTAGAATGTTAGTTTAAAAACTTCCATGGTGGTTTTTTTTTTGCATCTGAGTTTATTTTTCAAATTGATGCAGTCGTTATTGCTAGCTAAAAATGCTGTTAGTATATTGTATTGTTAACCATACAATAATTCTTCTGAACTGCTAATATTTACATTTCATGCATTGAAGCTCTTAACTTTTTACAATGTGGGGTGTGGGGTTTTTTTTGGCATAGCTGGCAGAATGTAATAAATCATAAATTATTTATAGAATATATGTACAGTAATGAATTAAAAGCTGTTTAATATTTCTTGTAGCTTTACCTTTCAACTAGTGATTTTTCTAATGAGTAACAGTACGTTTTTTTAAGATTTCTAGAAGTGTTACTCCTCCTGCCCAATTTGTGGTGATTAGCTGTGTATATTTATGTTGGTCTTGAGTTTTCCCAGTCAAATTACATACATGCTATATGTTCACTTACACATTAACTCTGGGTTTTTTTATCATTAATAATGAATAACTGAACAGCTTTGGGTTTGTGTGGGGTTTTTGTGTTTTGGATCTATAATTTTTATTAGAAACTCTTTTAAAATCAGTACTTCTTGCATTTTTTTCCCTAAACAGCATTTTGCAGTATTACATACTGGTTAATATATTTATACTTTTCTAAGCTGGTATATGCTCTATAGCTTATATTTAATAGTTTGCTTTTTTTTTAAGGGAAAACAATTATTTATGTTGTCATTTACTTACTGAAAACTGAAGTTTTTTGGCTTTTAGTTTTAGGATTTTTTCTAGCTCTAACACTACCAAAAAGAGTATTTTTGAGTTAATATGATGGTTTATGAATCAGATTTCCAAAAACAAGTTGCTTACTTTAAATTTGGGAAGAATGGTAATTTATGTAGATTTCTTGTGTTAATCAAACATACAGTTTGTAGAGTGTTTTGTTTGTTTTCTTTTCTTAGGTTGCTGATATGTTGTTGGAGCTTTGTGTTACAGAACTAGAAGATGTAGCAACTGATTCACAAAGTGGTCGCCTCTCTTCGCAACCAGTTGTGGTAGAGAGCAGCCATCCATATACTGATGATACATCTTCTAGTGGCACAGTTAAAATACCAGGTACGAAATTCTTAGAGTTATGTTGCCAGGAGTCAATTATTTTTAAGCCTGCCTGCATTAAATTAATTATTCTTTAGCTTACAAAAACATGTATTGAACTTTTAAAGCCATGTTATGTGTCCTGTTGCTATAAAAAAAGTATTTCTTGAAGCTGATTTCTTACACACTGATGAAAATCTCGATTCTATACTATGTGCATTTCTGGGTTCACTGGGTGTGATTTCAGTTGCCTGTCATTGCTGTGCTCCATTCAGTTATGAAGTTGAGAAGGACTTTTTCAGGTTTAGCAATTGAAAACTCATCTTCTAGTTTGAGCAAGGGAAACTAAAGTTTGTTTTAGTGCTGTCTTTTCATTTAGTGCTTCCTTCAGTAATTTACCTAGTACTTAACAAAAGTTACAAACAACAAGGAGCCATCTGCCTTAAGTGTAAATAGACAATTTTTGTCTTTTGCAACTTCAGTTTTGAATGTTCTGGTATGATCTTTTGTCTGCTAGCCCCTACCTACACAAGCTTGCTGTGATTTAAGCCTTGCAATGAGAAGAGATTACAGGCAAATAATGTCATTAAATCAAAAGAAGTTATTTTTATCAATAGGCGCTATGGCTTCCAAACAACCATGTTTGATTTCATGTGAATTTCTAAACTGCTGCATTTGTCTGTGATACTGATTGCTCTTTGTTGCTGTTTAGGTGCTGAGGGACTGAGGGTAGAGTTTGACCGCCAGTGTTCCACGGAGCGGCGCCACGATCCGCTTACCATAATGGATGGCGTCAACAGGATTGTGTCCGTCCGATCAGGTGAGGAGAATGAGTGCTTTCCAAAAGTGTCCTGTGTGATTCACTCCTAAATGCTGAAGGAAATGTGCCACTGCCTCTGACTGACTTCTTGTTAGGGTTGTGCCAGTAAAAGAGCAGAAAACTTGTGTAAATTAATAATGTCTTTTTAACTAAAAAGTTTGTAGGATCTAGGCACAAAGATTGATCTTATGTCTTTGGATATAGAGAATCTCTGGGAGGTGCATGTTCGGTTGTCAAGTTCTTCAAAAGAGTGGATAGAGTGTAAAATTTAGTGTTTAGCACCCCTGCCAACATGTGTGAATTTCTATATAATCAAATATAATCAATGCATTTTAACAAATTGGAAAAGGATACTTACTTTGCTAGCTTTTTTCTTTTTCAGGTAGTACGTAAGAGAAATTTCAGCTTTCATACAGTCAAGACAAATGCTCTTCTGCTGTCAAATGTCCAAAATAGTAGCTTGGTGCTCATTCTTTCTGTTTCCTGCTCTGGTCTTTGTATGTGACTCTACATGAGTTCTTCACATCTTTAATCTTGATCTCTCTGATATAATTTTTAAGCACTATTAATCTGTAGTAAGTTTTGGAGGAATATTTTTAATCTCATCAAATTTTATTTTGAACTTACCCACACACTACATTATGTGCAAAGGTCTCAGTAGTTACTGCCTGTGCAGTCACAATGTGGGCTTTTCATGTTGACCCATTTTTTCCCAAAGGTGCTTCATTACTGAGATATTTCTGGTTGCTTCCTGGTTGGAAGCTGTAAAGCTTAATTTAATATATAGGTTATTATATATTTTTGTAATATGAAAGATAATTTGAAAATAGGACAAAGGATCTTAGTAAGCTCTTGTAGTTGCCTCCTGATTGTCGTACTAGGCTATCTGCTAGCAGTGCTAATTGAATTTTTTAAGACTTGGTTTTGAGCTTTTTAAGACTTAACATAACATCTGTGCATTTATGTTCATGTATTTTGCATAGCTTTTTTTCTTGAATGCCTTTGTGTGATGTTTATGATACTTAATCAATTGCTGCTGATGAGTGGCTAGTGTATTGGCTCAGACAGTATAGCTGAGTCTGTTTTGTCTTGCCTTCTGTAAGGTCGTGAGTGGTCAGATTGGTCTAGTGAATTGCGAATTCCAGGAGATGAGTTGAAGTGGAAGTTCATCAGTGATGGGTCTGTGAATGGATGGGGATGGCGATTTACAGTTTACCCCATCATGCCAGCTGCAGGTAAGGTATCACAGACATCTACGGGAGGGTAAGAGTAGATTTTATTGTCTTATTTTTACACTGCACTTATTGCATGGCATTTATGTGCCAAAGTTTAATGGTTTGTTTAGATTCATACTTAGGAAGCATATTCAACTAAGTCCTGAGAGGTGAACTTGTACATAGAGAAGAGAGAAAAATATTTTGTACTCACTCTAGTATGTCTCTTCATCAATGAAGAGAGGATACTTCTGGGACACAGGTCATCTGAAATGCCCTTAGTTTTTAAAAACCATCAGTTTTAAAATTATGTAAATTAAGTTATGAACATGCATCTTTCTTCCTGTCTCTTCAAAGGGAATTAGAATAGATAACTCAAGCAGACTAGAATTCTAGAGTGCTGTGTTTGGTCAACTAAATCCTGCCAGTGTTCTGTTCTTATTTCAGTCTGAGGACAAACCTTCCCCAGCTTTTTATTGTTTTTGTTGTTCCTTTTTGTTTCTTGCAGGCCCTAAAGACCTTCTCTCAGATCGTTGCATTCTTTCATGTCCCTCAATGGATTTGGTTACGTGTTTGTTGGATTTTCGCTTAAATTTTGCTTCCAACAGGAGCATAGTTCCTCGCTTGGCAGCTTCTCTTGCAGCTTGTGCTCAACTGAGTGCCTTAGGTGAGTATAGTCTTAAAATTAGGTCTGTTTTTTTGAAGTTACAATGATTGTTTTAAGTAATTACATTCTTTGTATGCTTTTTTTTCCTTAGCTGCTGGCCACAGAATGTGGGCCTTGCAGAGACTACGGAAGCTGCTCACCACGGAGTTTGGCCAGTCCATTAACATCAACCGGATCCTAGGGGATAATGAAGGAGAAACACGAGCTTTGGTAAGAAGGCAGTGATGCTCTCCTCTTCACCTTTTTCATGTTAAGATTAAAGTGCTAGACTTGACGTACAACGTTTTTTTGTGTTCATAGCAAAATAGGAAATGGGCAAATGAATAGTCTTCTTGCACGGAAGTCTGTAAAGGTACTCCAGTTCAGAAAGGGAAAAATGGCTAATTCCAAGACATAACAGGTCTGCTCTTTGAATTGCCAAAAAGGGGTAGAAATAATATCGTTTGAACAAGTGGACCAAAATGGTACTTTGCACAGCTAGCTGTAGTTTGGGAAGTTACTTGTGTTTTGTCACAGTCATCTAAATAATGCACCTCCTGTAATGCATGCACCATGACTAACTTTCTGGTTGTGTGGTGTCTCTAGAGTTTCACAGGGAGTGCTTTAGCTGCTTTGGTTAAAGGTCTTCCAGAAGCTTTGCAGCGACAGTTTGACTATGAAGATCCCATTGTGAGAGGTGGCAAACAATTGCTCCACAGCCCTTTCTTTAAGGTAATGCGGTACAATCAGTGAAATAACACATTAAAATACTTCTGGGATTTCTTTGAGATGTGCTAAGCTCACTTAGTCCTATAGCAGTAATGTTTACTGACAAAATCAGAATACTGCTTCTAAAAAGAATTAAATATACAAAGCTAGAATCCTACTTCTAAAAGGAGAATCAAATACACAAATGAAAAATAAAAAGTAGCTAGCTAGACAGAGAAACTCAGAAAAACTCGTAAGCACACTTTTTGATTAACTTTTTTAATAGTAGTGTTGTATATTTCTATTTAGTTAGTTTACTACTCTGAAGGTTTTATTTACATCCAGTTGGAAAACATGACAATGTCTTAAATGGACCCTGTACTCGAAGTAAAAATAAACATGCTGAGGAAGTCTAGAGAAGAGCAAGAGGAATAAAAGGTGAAAAAGCCTCCTTTGTAGTATAAAAGTGAAACTAAGAGGTTTAGTTTTTAGATTTTCTTATCTAAACAGAAAGAAAATCTTAAAAGTTTATAGAAGGAGGAAGTAATATATTGTTCAAAATATTAATCTGAAATGTTGATTTGAAATGGAATCAAACTTTGAAAATTCATTGAATTGTGGAAAGGAGACTTAGTTTAGAAATGGAGGGTAAAATGTTAAGCTCATGGGATTTGATGTGGAAAAGATAATTAATCTGGGAATGTTTTTTGCAGGGAGGTTATGAAAATTTCTGGATTGAAAGAGGAAATTAGATACCTAACCATGTGGGATAGTGGGGCTACACTTGATGTTACCCCATCCATGAGGGTAGTGAAGATGGCTCTTGAGACTGTTCAGGCCCTACTGGCCTATGTGCTGTTCATCTCTATCAAATGCATACTGGTTTGTTGCATATTTTTGATACCTCTCTGAAATGATTTTTTGATTGTCTGAAGGTGCTTGTGGCTCTTGCTTGTGATCTGGAGTTGGACACTCTCCCTTGCTGTGCAGAGACACACAAATGGGCCTGGTTCAGGAGATACTGCATGGCATCCAGGGTTGCTGTGGCTCTTGATAAAAGGACACCCTTACCTCGCCTTTTCCTTGATGAGGTACTGCAGGAATACTTCAAATAGTTACTGGAACATGTGAAAGTGTCTCATGTAAAAAGACACACTGAGTTTGAATTATTTTATGCCAACTGTGATAGGAGTAATCAATAATTTGAATAATGTTGTTTAATGCAAAATATTTCACAGGTGGCAAAGAAAATCCGAGAATTAATGGCAGATAATGAAAATATGGATGTTCTTCATGAGTGCCACGATGTCTTTAAGAGAGAACAGGATGAGCAGCTTGTCCAGTGGATGAATAGGTAATTTCTTTCAACTGTTACTGGTTTAGTCTTGTGATGCTTTTTTGCTGTACAATAATAAACTGCATTTTTTGTGACTTTTAAAAAGCTGTTTTAAGATTTTGTTTGTTTTGCATTTCCTGCAGACGACCTGATGATTGGACACTTTCAGCTGGAGGCAGTGGAACTATTTATGGTTGGGGTCATAATCACAGAGGACAGCTTGGTGGAATTGAAGGAGCAAAGGTCAAAGTCCCAACTCCGTGTGAAGCTCTTGCCACCCTTAGACCAGTGCAGTTAATTGGTGGTGAACAGACTCTGTTTGCAGTGACTGCTGATGGGAAAGTAAGGATACAACAAATGATTGCTTGTTTGACTCTCTTGAAATATTTCACCCTCTGTCAGAATGGATTTGGCTAAATGAAAAATAGTGTGCATAGCACAGGTTCATTATTATTGGTATTAGTAACTTTGTTTTTTGTTTTTTTTTCTAAATCTGATCTGTACCAACTCCACCAGTATTTTCTAGGACTGCAGTTACTGTTGCATTAAATGGCAGAAAGAAGAAATGTATTTGAGAACTCAGCTCAGAAATGTGATCAGATTTCTGTCAAAGTTGGGCACAAGCAGCATGCTCACAGAGTTCACTAAAGCAGGGGTGATTATTTCTCTCTGACAGGCGAGAGGGGTAATGTGAGATCGTTCACAGTTGGCTAAATGCAAGTTAGATATTGCAGGATCTAATTTCCAGGTTATCAAATCATGAACGAAAAGGAATCTCAGTGCAGAAGTTTAGTGTAAGGTATAGGAGAAAAAAAAATCAGTTTATGAGTTTGGAAAGTTTTAATTTTTATACAGATGGCAGCTGTTAAGTACATGATGAAGAATTTTAGCTAGAGCTTTGTGTAACAGTTACATTCATCTAGTGAGGTACTGTAATGATTCCTTGGGGTCAGTATCATCCTTGTTAATAATTCACAGAAGGGTAAAGGGCAGATTAGCTATATGTGATAGATGGTTTTGTAATGCTATCAAACAAAGTTATGGTCTCTTGATAGTTTTACAAAATAAGCTTTAGTTTTTCACACTAAATCCATTAAGTCAGTGAGAGTTCTTACTGACTTGAATGTAGCCACATTTCCCCAAAGATTTCTGTGAAATATTTCAAAATATTTATTTTCCAAAATAGAGAATATTTATTTTCCAAAATAGAGAAAATAGGAAGCCTGTAAGAAACTGGGTTTTTAGACTTTGTTGAACTGCATTCTGACACATATACATTAAGAATTCTTCTCTAGAATTCATTTCTAGGGAATGTTCTGTGTGAGGCAAACAAAACTAAATTTAATTTTTTTCTTTAAAGCTGTATGCCACTGGATATGGAGCAGGTGGTAGGCTTGGAATTGGAGGAACAGAATCAGTTTCTACTCCAACTTTACTGGAATCCATTCAACACGTGTTCATAAAGAAAGTTGCAGTGAACTCAGGAGGAAAGCACTGTTTGGCATTGTCTTTTGAGGGAGAAGTTTATTCTTGGGGTGAAGCAGAAGATGGCAAACTTGGTCATGGAAACCGAAGGCAAGTAACACTTGAAAATGTTGTTTTAAAAAAACCCTATTGATGGATACTTACCATATTGCTGTATATTTATAAATTTTTCTAGTCAAAAAGAAATCCTTGGGATATTAAACCAGAGCAAAGCAAATACTGAGCGGTTTTAGGTGTCCTCATTCTCATTATTCTCCATACACTGGTGAATGTGAATGGACTGTGCCAGAAGTTTTGTCCAGACAGATGTTTTCTTTCCAGCCCTTGTGATCGCCCTCGTGTGATTGAGTCTCTGAGAGGCATAGAAGTGGTTGACATTGCTGCTGGGGGAGCACACAGCGCTTGTATTACAGCTGCAGGAGACCTTTTCACATGGGGAAAGGGACGATATGGACGCCTGGGCCATGGAGATAGTGAGGACCAACTAAAACCTAAACTGGTAAGAAGCCTTTGGAGCACTAAACACTTTTAGTCCAGTTAATACCTTCTGATTTATAACTTCTGGCATTTCTGCGTACAAAGAGTGAAAGGGCAAAACAGTGGCGCGCATTTGTGAGAAATGAACACGCTGCCATGGTTGAAAGGATAAAATGAAAGAGGAGCTGCAAAACTTTGCTAGCAGTCACCAAGCAGCTTACAAGGAACTTATTTTAGAGATTTAAAGGAAATTTAAAGAAACAAGTGAAGTTTCATGCTGCTTTGAATGATAGATTGTGCCACCTGGAATCTATTTCAAGTAGTGGCAAGGATAGGAAGGATGTGATCTATGTGGGTCACCAACCTTTTACTTTGTGATTCCATATTCCATACTTCATCACTAGGTGGCATCATTTCAAAGGATGTCGACTAAATTCAGATTATGATGCAAGTGCTCAAAAGTTGTAAACTAGTAAAAGACTATTTGAAAATAAGACTTTTTTGTTCCCCTACTGTATTCAGTACATGCCCATAGTGCCTGAAATTATTTTAATAGAATATAGTCTTTGATAACCTTAGATGTTTTGTATTGTTTTCCCTGACATTGAGGTTAAAAAAATTCAGCTAGTTCACCACTTCAAAAAAAATAAATCCTGTATGTAAAATACATAGTTGGTTTTCATTTTGCAGTTTTAAAAGAGCAAAGTTCTTAGAGTTGCCTTTATTTCCTTGTTCCTGTGCTGTTTCAGACTTGTAGATGCAGTTATCACCTCTTCTAGATGAGTTTGTCATCTTTTGTGAAAGTAAATAGCTGAGTTTTATGGTGGACAACAATGGGTGATTTCATTCCAGGTGGAAGCTCTCCAGGGGTACCGTGTGATTGATATAGCCTGTGGCAGTGGAGATGCACAGACACTGTGCCTCACTGATGATGATACAGTCTGGTCCTGGGGTGATGGAGATTATGGAAAACTTGGGAGAGGAGGCAGTGATGGCTGTAAAGTACCAATGAAGGTATTTCTGTGTAATTTTTTCATCTCTTTAGAAACTATGAGGTTGGTGGAGAACACTGAAGACAGATTGTCAATGTGTGAACTTTCACCCATCCTGGAACATCAGGATTCTTCTGGTTAAGATGAACTTTGTAGGCTGCAATAACAAGACTTTAAGCTTTGTGCTAACTGTTAAAGTTGCATTTGAAGGTTTTTATTTGGAAAACATTGCTGGCTTAAATAATATTTTTGAATTTCATTTTTGGTTCCTGTCAAAACATTAGGTTTTGCCAAGAAATCCTCATGTTTCCTCGTATTAATAAATTCACACATAGTAGTCAATGACATGTCATTGGCAATAATCATAATAGTCCAGAAAGGGGTATCAATTCATTGAAAAGTAATCTTATTTTATATTAAACCCTTTCTGTGAATGCATGGTTCACTTGGAATTTTTTCACATGTTACGGATGAAATCCACGTAGCCATTAAATTTGAATTCCAGCATTTTTTGTGAAGGTGAATGTTGCTTCTGTTTGAGAAATGTCTGTTACTGTGTATACCTATGCACAGTGGATTTTAGATACTGAATCCAGAATCACAGGTAATTACTTGGATACAGGTATCCCCATTCTGTTTCCAAATGTTTCCAGCATGATGTAACATAATGTAAAAGTAGCTTGTTTATGTTTCATCAGTTAGTCTGGTAGGACTGATGGTAAAGCAGAGTAAGGTCCTACACAGAATAAATAGGGTCTGCTGGAGATAGAAATATTTCTGTTATGTCAGCAGAATCACATACATGTCATACAAGCTAAGGATGATTATGAGTGTTAGTAGACAAAGCCTTAATTGTTTCTACTCTGGGCAATTGCAGAGTAACTATGGGCAAAACATAGTAGAGGTGATCTTCAACAGCTTGTGAAACCTGAGCTTCTTTTTAGTGCTTAAGCAATAAATGGTAGAAAGATGAAAGGAGTGGAATTCTTCTAACTCATCTACATATTTTGATTTGTAAATATACAAATAGACATACAGTAGCATGTTGTATTTTACTTAAGACAGTTCAGTCTACAATCTCCTTAATTAACTCATTTAATTTTCATTTGATATTATTTTTCTAGATTGATTCCCTCACAGGTCTTGGAGTGGTTAAAGTAGAATGTGGATCACAATTTTCTGTGGCCCTAACCAAGTCTGGAGCTGTGTATACATGGTAAGTATTCTGTATTTGTTATTTAGACAGTGTTAGATGTCATCTTGTCTGTAACAGATATCAGTTTACACTTCCTTCACTGTCTTGATCTTCTCTTTCAAAAATTTTTTGAGTTCCTGAGTCTTTATTAGTAATAAAATCTCCCGCTTTTGGGAGCATTTTCTAGTGCCATGAATGAAAAATCCAAGTATTTTGTCTTGGAAACCTAAGCACAGTGTTATCATTCCAGACACTGGCTACTGGAAGATGCAGAACTTCCAAGGAGGTCAGTAGAATTATAAGCATGAAGTGTCATGCAGGGCAGAAGGCGATAGCATAAATAACATTCTCATGTATTACCAAAATTGTGTCTAGCTTGTGGCTGTAGTCTGAGAATTTGATTTTAAAAATTCTTGTTTAAGTCTTTCTTACACCACTCCAAATTTTGTAGTTTAAACTGCTAGAAATGTTTAAAAAGACCTAGCAAAATATCTTCCCAACTTCCCTCAGCTACCTTGTTTGTATGACATTTAGGTATCCTTAAACTGTATGAAGTTCCAGTCTCTGAGATCAGTAAATACACTCTTTTTGCAGATGAATGTTTCTAATACTTGACTCCTTTAAGAGTTAAAAATAAAGACCACCCTCTGGAAAAGTGATAGAAGGATCCATCCAGATTAAGTAGGAATATTGTATTGGAGGTGTAAGGATCTGTACTGAGTCAGCAGAATCACATCCATACAAAGATGATTCATGTTGAATGTTTGGAGCATATTTTGGTATTGGATTTTATAAGTACATCTACAGGTCGAATGTCAGCCTGTCATTACATTTTTTTTCCGCAGTTAAAACAGTTTTTAAATGTTTACTTCTCTGTGCAGGGGCAAGGGGGATTATCATCGCTTAGGCCATGGATCTGATGACCATGTTAGAAGACCACGACAAGTGCAGGGACTGCAAGGAAAGAAAGTTATTGCCATTGCTACGGGGTCTTTGCACTGTGTTTGCTGCACTGAAGATGGTATAAAAATCAAATAATTTATTTAGTTTTTAGGACTGTATTTGAAAAAATTGAAACTTTATCTTTTAGTCGACTCTTGGTAGGTTGTCCTTGCTAAAAATGCTGGTTCTCTGTGTGCATGGACATATTTTGTATTTGCAGATGTTGCATATTTCTTGAGCAGCAAGCATAACATTGATTTAAATGATAATAAAACTAAATTAGTGAAAATTAACGAATTCAAGTTGCATAAACACTGATGATTAAAGAAAAATAGAGCTCTAAAGGTGATTACAGAATGGTCAAGCAGTAGCATTGAATGGAATTGGCTTTTTTTTTATTTTTATTTTTTTTCAGGGTCTTGTGAGTTTGTTCAAGTGTTTAACTTGCTAAATGAAGCACTGCACAAACAATATTGCTTCTTACATAGCCAGATGAGATAGTGAATGTTCTTTGTAGCAGATTCACTCCCACAATTAACAAGTCTGGACAATAACTGAGTGTTTTATAGGTGCTATGGAAATATAGATGCTGAAAATGAATGTGAGTAATGAATATAGCTGCAGAAAATGAATGCTCAGGAATGAGGTTGTTACTCTAAAAGTATTTCCCAATTATCATGGAACAGCAAGCACCCATTTTAATATCTTTTTTAGTAAAACAGCTTATTATAGGATCTTTGTCTTATACAAAATATTAAGCCTTTTCATTTTTTTTTTTCATATTGGCTTTGCTTTTGCTATGAAACTGTCAAATACAGGCTGTTCCTGATGTTCTGTTACAGAGTATGGTGTTCTACCATCTCCTGTTCTGGAGCAGAACCTTTCAGTTATGCAAGCTATGAGGAAAGAAATGCATCTTATGCTAGCTGCTCTATAGAGGCTGTGGACCTGACTGTGTCAATCAAGATTTATTTGCACTAGATAGTGGGTTTCAGAATGGCCATCAGTCACAGAAATCTTGTTTACAGCCCAAGGCCTTATCTGGTTAAATAATTGATAATTTTATTAAAAGGTTGTATTAAAAATATTAGCCTCAGGATAATAATTTTTTTTATTGGTTTAGGGGAAGTGTATACTTGGGGAGATAATGATGAAGGGCAGCTTGGAGATGGAACAACTAATGCCATCCAAAGACCACGTCTGGTTGCAGCACTTCAGGGTAAAAAGATCAACAGAGTAGCCTGTGGCTCAGCACATACTTTAGCTTGGTCAACCAGTAAACCTGCTAATGCTGGCAAGCTGCCTACACAGGTAATGATTTTGGCTTATTGAATTCAGATTTGAAACATTACTTAGTATGCTTATTGCTGACCTCTCAGTAGATGTATTTCCTTTCCAAATCCCTGCATAAGCTCAGTGTGCTTTGGTTTGACTTCAAGTTTGACCCAGTTACTTTGTTTTACTTCTCTATTTCCAAAGGATTCAATTTTTCTAAGCTGAAAAAGCCTCTTCATTCAGTTTTTAATCCAAATGTGGAACAGTAACTCTTTTTGAAAATTGGCAGGAATTTAATTCTGCCTTGCAGCTATGAAAGTGTTACGCCTTCCAAGGGAGTTCTTTGTTGGTTTATATTGAGAAGACTTGTTTTTTGAATATTCTGTATTTCAGCTACGCCTGAAAGTAGTGATGACAGGATGTAAAATGTATTTGTTCATGGATAAATTGTAAAATATGGACCAGCACTTGTATTCTAGCTATCATATAATGGTTGAGTTGAGATGGATACTGTTAGTATCTTTCATAAACAAATGAACTCTATGTATGAAGTACTGATAGTGTGAATAAACAAATATCTGAATTTCTAATACAAGTTTACCTACAAATTAAAAGATTGTTCTCTTGAAAACAATAAAGTGTATAATAATTCCAATTTACATTTGGATATCATTGCCTTATCTATCATAGGTTCCTATGGAGTACAATCATCTGCAGGAAATTCCCATCATTTCATTAAGAAATAGGCTTCTGCTCCTTCATCACATTTCAGAACTCTTCTGTCCTTGCATTCCAATGTTCGATCTTGAAGGAAGACTTGATGAAACTGGCCAAGGACCCTCAGTTGGGTTTGACACATTACGGGGAATACTGATATCACAGGGAAAGGTATTTTATCAAAATGTTTCTAAGGGAGAGATTTGTAACCATAACAGAGAAGTACTGTTTAAGTTGTTTCTGAAGAAAAAGGAGCTGTATATCTTAATTTGTTCTGTAAATTGTCTATCAGATATTTGCAACTTGATGATGCAAACTTCTTTCTTTGTGTTCTTTCTACAATGTTTTTCTCAGTTCTTCATCATAGTGTTTTTGTGTGTTGATCTTGAAAATAACTGTATGTTGTAAATCTTCAGCTTGTAGTATAGCTGAATTCTAGAGTATTAAATGGATGATATTCTGGAAAAAATGTAAGATAGCAGACAATGACCAATTCATACCTGTTTGTATTTCAGTTATCAAGGTCAGGTGATATACTGGTTAATGCAAAGCTCTGTGCAGGTACTAACTTATTTTAGACTGAGCTGAAAGTGAAAATAGAATTACCTAGGAGTTCAATCTCAAGTGGTAGGAAAAGTGCTTTTTTCTAGTTAAGTGAAGTCAGTCATGAGAAAATGTAGATAGCTGTAATGCTTCAAAGCCGCAACACTTACTCAAAACTTCAGGTATGATAAGCCATAAAAACTTGATTTACCTGTGTCCTTAAGTAAGACACATGGCCTGTAACTAGACTTCTTAGGGTCTGTTGTCTCAGGGTCTCTTTCTCTAGACTCCAGTAAAATTGTGTAGTAGGACAACCAAGCTGTGTAGCTAACTTCACAGACCAAGGGAAGTCATCAAAACCTAAACTAGAAAGGAAATCCTTGCTGTTCTGTTCATGAGATTTTTATTTGTTAATGCTATTAATTCTGAGTCTTACATACGTAATGTTACATGTAAGAATGTGTGCAGGAGGCACATTCAACCTAATTTACTTGAGTCTGCAGAATAGTTGGAGAAGGGCTTCAGGCATAAGATAGAATGGGATATCAGTCATGAATGCATCAGAAGCATTCATGAGGCATCAGAGGTTGTGATGCCATATTCATATCTAGCCATTTAAGTCAAGCTTACCTTCCGAGATTCTAAAGACTTTAAAATCTTCTTAATCTTGCTTGAAATTGACTGTAAAATTGTATTGAAATATTTAATGAGGGAACCTCAGATACTTAAATTAGCTTTTTAAAAAAATTAGTTGCTTATTTGTTGTTTATTTCTTGCTTTCCATAGCAAGATGATCTCATCTTTGGCTTTTTTGGTTGTCATTTTCTGATGTTAATCATTCTCTGTATACTTACATTTCTCTGGTATAAACTAATTTATACGTGTACTCAGCAATACATTGGTTGCTTAATAATTGTATCTGGGTGCAGTGCAACCTTTCAAGCCATGATTTTAAGTGATACAGATCTGACTTACTTTACTTTTTTAGTATCCCCACTGTTTCAGATATGAAACATACTAGCACAAATAACATTGACTCGCATCTTGCACCTTCATATTCAGGTGCTTTTTTATTTCCTGGCTTCAACTATGTGTTTATCTGCAAAATATGTGCAGGGTTCTAACTTGATTTCAGTTTTGCCATTATCTGTTTGTTTTTGTTTTTTTCGTTAGGAGGCAGCTTTCAGAAAAGTTGTGCAAGCTACTATGGTGAGAGATCGTCAGCACGGGCCAGTTGTGGAGCTCAACAGGATACAGGTATCTTCAGCTGAAGTGCTGATTCACCCTGTTTGTAGCTCACAGTGCTGAGTTGGTCAAAACCCTTTCTTTGTTTCAGCTGTTTGGTATCTGAATGCTAAAGATCAGAACTCACTACATTAGATAGTTTAAGAGAGTAGTGATTCTGATGCTTTTCTTACCTTTCCAAATGCTCAGCTGAATGAAGGCTAAAAAAAAAAAGAAAAAAAGAGAGTAGTGATTCTGATGCTTTTCTTACCTTTCCAAATGCTCAGCTGAATGAAGGCTAAAAAAAAAAGAAAAAAAGGAAAGGAAGCTCCTGGATCTAAGTTAAATTTAGGATGATAAACTCTTATCCTTTGCTGGTCATCACATGTAGTCATATTGATTGCAGAAGCCTTTGATATAAAAAGGCTTTTTTCTTTATCATTCATGTTAGGAAATGTAATGTTGTGCCCTAGGCCAGATATGCCTTTTTTCCATTGATACTTTTGTAACACAGAATAGTAAAACATTGTTTTCATTTAAATGGACTGCAGCCTGATCATAGAGTCCTCATGCATTTCTTTCCTGTTGTGGTGGGTTCTTTTTTTTTTTTTTTTTTTTTTTCCACTAAACATTAGCATTTGTAAGGTTAGAGTAGAGAAACTGGGAAACTTTAAACTTGTTATTTTCTGTTAGCAAGCAGATACATCCTATTTTGGCTGAACTCTGTTTCTACTTCTTTGCAATTTTCTGTGAACATTTAAAATTTCTTGTGTTAGTGTTCTGTGACTGTCTTGTTCTAGTTTATTAGAATTGTAGAATCTCTAAGTTTTTACTTATTGACTCCAGCTGTATTATTTGGGAAGCTGAAGAGAGTACCAGAGATTTTTTACTTCCTTTTTAAAGTGTGTGTTGAATTCAGAAAGTCCAATATATTATGCTGGTATTTTAAGCAGAAAACTAGTGATGAGTAGGTTTTGGGATAGTTTCCTAGTGTCCTCCTTCATTAGTTGAGATAGGCTTTCTCTTGTATTTCAGATTGTTATTTAAATCTGTCTTGAACCCTAGAAAAGAATTGGCAGCTTCCCTTCTTCATAGCTTCTGGGGGAAATAAAATATTGCTGTAACTAACTTTGTTAATTTAGCCAAGTGAAGACTAAAAAAGGTCGTGTTCAAAAAGTGGCCTGATTAGGCAGTACCAAATCTGGCTTACAATTTCTTGAGTTAGCTTTTGCTCAGAATGACAATATGGATTCTGAAATTGTTTGATCCTTTATAATATTTAATTGAAGATTCAAGGCTGCTTTATGTAGTCTCAAAAAAGCTAAGTGTCAGTGTCAGAAATTTTCATCTTACTTGCAGTTGTAAGTTAAAGTGCAGATGGACTTTAAGACCCCTTGGCTTTTAGAAGACTCTTGCAGTTTATAGGTTATGTGGTGCAGTCATTTCACTTCATCTTCTTTGGTGTAGAAAATCCAGATGAGTTTTTAATTGAAACTTGTTTTCCAGGTATTGACTTGTCTTCTACAATAATTCCTCAGTGAGCCTTGCTGTTTGTTTAGTGGTTTCTCTGGATGAACTGAACTGAACTGAACATCAGTGTAAACCCAAGCAAAGCAACACTCCCTTATCCTGGGGTCCAGTGTTACAGGGACCAGATTCCTTTAGAGTAGATCACATTCACCTTCCATTCTTCTTGGCTCTGAGTCTGTTCTGTTGGGAGCCTTGTAATGGTGGGACATGGTAGTTTTCCATAGTTTTTCTGCTCAGAATATGTGAAAAACAATGTGATGGCTGTACTATAACTCAGCTAAGTGCCAGCCTAGTGTTTTATGGCATAAAATAGAGTGTAGATACTTTATGCGTTGAGCTGTAGCATGGAGGCAAGCTTGGATACACAGAAACAGTATGGGATGCTGTTGGAGGACTGCATAGGGCAGAAGAAACCAAATTTCATGCAGGTTTATCCATACTGCTTTTTGGGAATAGTCATTAAGTAAAATGTTCCAAAACAACACCTGGGCCCTATTCTGGAAAGGTGTAAAATAAACAGTCAAAAACTAAGCCAAAAGTGAACTAATGGTTGAATGACTAGCCGGTGTTCCAGTGCTCAGTTTTACTTACTGACCCTCTTAGTTGCAGATGAGATTTTCCTAGTTAAGTTGTGGTGTAGTTCATGCAGTGTCAGATTGACAGTTTGTTTTGACCTATAAACAGATACTTTCATAATGTTGTTAAAACACATCTTTGCACAGCAGTTGAAAGGAATTTCTTCCTTTTCAAAAGGAAGTGAATTTCAGTTATTAAGGAGAATGTCTACTTTCATGAATGTAATATGGCAAAGACTCTCCTGGTTTAATGTTCTTTACTCTCAAGGGAGGAAGGTGATATGTATGGATATATGAAGTACCACTTTAAGACTAGTTTCTTCCACCTCACAAGGACTCCTTATGAAATGTAGGTTATAGGAATCTCACTAACATGAGTAAAAATGATCTGATCTTAAAGTAGGCACAGCATATGAATGAATTAATGATTTGTTCTTTTTGAGTGTTATTTCAAATTAATTAACATCCCTCCTTCCTGGTTATTGTCTTCTCCCTTATCTAATGTACTTTTAAAGAACACTCATTTCCTGACTGCTTTAATTTCCCTACACTGATTAGACTAAGGTTTTTTGTCTGCTTATGTAGAATAATCTTTTCTCTTCATCCTTTTCTACTCTTATTTATTCTGTAGCATTTAAGTTTGACCACAGAAAACTGAAACTCAGGCTACAAGTAAGAACTGTGTGCTTTTAGAATTATTACAGTGATACTTACTTACCTCTTCTGGTGATTTTGTGACATATCTTTGAATTGTGTTTATTTTCTTCATAGATCTGTCATAACTGTGCATATTTCTTAGCTGATTCCAACTTAGAAGCTGTCATCTTTTTGTAAACCCTTTTTTGTTAGTGTCTGAGTGCATAGCTTTATGGACTAGGTTTTTCCCAGCTTCTGGGAGAGAAGTCTTCTGGGTTGAAAAGAGCCTCATAGGATGGCCAGTATTTTTCAAGCTGCTTAAGACTAATACAGAGTTTCTCAATTTAAAACTTCTTGGGCATACAAATTTCTCAGAAATCCACTGAATTAAAACCAGCTTGTGTTGATAGAGAGCATCTTGCACATGAGGAGGAACTGGGTGTCTCAGCTTTTCACTAAAACCTGAGAGAAATCTGGTGGTTCTTTTATGCAGAGCCATCAGAAATACTCAGCATGAGAACAGCTGGATTTTGAGATGCACTGCAGCCTGTAGTGTGACTAAATATAGTGGGATAAGTTTTGGCTATTTCTGAATGAACAGCCTTGTGAATATTGGTGGTCTATGTGCAGGAGTCCATTTGCAGTCAGGACAGGTTGAGAAGATAAACTGCAGAACACCAGGCAGGGAAAAAATTGCCTTGTGTTTCTTCAACTCTCTGTTCACTTTCCATTTCTTTCCTCTCTGTGCTGGTGAAATACATTTTTGTATTCTTACCCTCTTTGTGTGCATCTCTTGCAGCAAAATCCCATGGAAATTTACTTGCATGCCAGTCTTAGGGATCTTCATCAGATATTAAAACACACTTTTTCTGTAGGTGCCTAAGAACACATTACCTGTGTATCTATATATACATACGTATTTTGATAGTATTTACTTGTTTTTAAGAGGCTTCTAATAGGTATCACAGATGCACGTTTAGTCATTACTGTTAATGAATATAAGAGTAATACATATTGAGTTTTCTGGCACAGTCTCTAATCTGAAAAACTTAGCCAGATTTGTCAGTTGAATCTGTGAGGAGAGATAGAATGAATTAACAAAATGGACTGAAATTAGAAAAACGGAAGTAGCCAAGTAATCAGCTGCTTCTTTAGAAGTAAGAGAAGAAGTCTTTATCATCAGACTTCATCTTTTCTGTCCCTCTGTCTTTCCACTTTCCTTTAAAAATGAACAGATATAGTGCTGATTACTGACAGATGAAATTAAAGATAAGGTTTTGGTGGTTGGGAGAACTGAAGATTCCTTATTTATCTGCATAGTGATGCCAGTTGAAATATGTTCTTCAGTGACTTTTATAATGTGCTTATTCAATAGGTAAAACGTTCCAGGAGTAAAGGAGGACTGGCTGGACCTGATGGTACAAAGTCAGTGTTTGGACAGATGTGTGCTAAAATGAGTTCCTTTAGCCCTGATAGCCTTCTTCTTCCTCATCGTGTTTGGAAAGTCAAGTTTGTTGGTAAGAAAATTCTCAACACTCTATGCCTTCCTACTTTGCACTTAAATTTACAGTTTTCTTGGGATTTACTCTTTTTGGAGAACCTGAAGGAAGGAAGAAAGTGTGTGGGCAGAGGAAGATGCTCAAATGTTGGAAAGTAGAAAACCTTTCAAAATGATTTTATAAAACCCCTCAAGATTAATGTAAGTGTGTCTGTAATTCTCTTCAGGTTCTGGGACAGCTCTTCTGCTTACAGCAAATGTTCTTCAAAACCTAAACCTAATTTTTCAGCTGTCTGAATTGGCAGATAATCCTGGCTAGCTAGTTTTACTGGTAGGGTTGTTTTTACAATTCACCTGTGACTGAGCTTTTTAATGATAAATATTTTAAGATTGAAGAGCCATTCTATCTATTGTATATAGGCTAAATTAAACATACCTGCTTTAAAATACCACTCACGAAAAAGCAACATTATTACTTTTCTATTTCTATTGTATTTTATTGTGATTCGCATACGGGACAAAATATTTTTTGCACTCTGTTAAAATAGTATTTTTGGCATTGTGATGTGTCATATAATCTAAAGAATATGTTTTACAATGAACTCGAAACATCTAAATACAGAGCCAGACTTCTAGGGTTTTCATATGAAGGGATACAAAACTGCAGCTTTTAGTAAACTTTAGTTTACTCAATTACCTCCAGAGAGGAAATACAATTTGTTTCAATACTTCAGTTATTTTTGAAAGAATATTTAATTTTGAGTCTTTTTTCTTCTCCAAGGTGAATCTGTGGATGACTGTGGTGGAGGTTATAGTGAATCAATAGCAGAAATGTGTGAGGAACTTCAGAATGGGCTGACCCCTCTGTTAATTGTGACACCAAATGGAAGAGATGAATCTGGAGCAAACAGAGATTGTTTCCTACTAAATCCTGCTGCCAAGTCACTCCTGCATATGAACATGTTTCGCTTTCTTGGTAAGTTCTTAGCAGCTTTGTGACATCCTGTGTGCTTTATGTGTAGTCAGACTATTTTGAATCTATCAAAACCAATAAACAATGTTTAAACTTACAGGTGTACTTCTGGGCATTGCTATCCGGACTGGCAGCCCTCTGAGCCTCAACCTGGCTGAGCCAGTGTGGAAACAGCTTGCAGGAATGAACCTCACAATTGCTGATCTCAGTGAGGTGAGAAGGAAGTTCCTGGGTAGGATATAGCTTACAGGAAACAAGCAGACTCTAGCATAAACTTCTCAAGTGATTGATCTCCCTGGTTTTTATGTGCTTGTATTTTGACTGGCCTTTTAAATTTTGAGCCACAATACAAGGGTGTTTTATACTGACTGTTAAAACTGAACATTTAAGTTGTTCAAGAGTAGTTAAATAATCTATATGAATTCTAGAGCATTCTTAAATCTTCTCATGGGTTTGACTAGGTAATCTTTGTGGCTCAGTTCCTACTTCCCAGTAAACCTTTCTGTAGCTGCTACTGTCTGTTGTACTGAGATGTGGTAACTGATTTGGGGGCACGTGCCTGCACTGTTTTGAAGTAAAAGAAAGTAAGTTCAAACTGTTACTAGTTTGTGCTCACATACTGAATTTCACAAGCTTTCAATTTCTGCTTACCAAGCTCAGTAAATGTGGACTAAGACTTAGGTCTTCATGATGAAGAAAATTTCCTTCCCAAATACTGTCATGTAGAAATGTACTTCCTATAAAAGCTTTGAGTCATTTACTTGTCAGTGAGGGGATTCCTTTTGTACCAAACCCAGTGCTGGTAAGGATGATGATGCTTTTAAGCTTTAAATCCATTTTCTTATATGGTTTCTTGGCAAAGACCCTCCAAAAAGATTCAATTCTAGAATATGTGCTCTCTCCCACATCCAATATAATGAAATTTTATGTAAAGTACTAAGCCATTTTATAGCTTTGAATTCAAGTTAGAGGAGTTTTGGTCAGACATTGGTCAAAGCTTTGGTGGGTGACACATGATGCACTGCTTTTGGTATGCAAGAGATACTGTTGTATAGTGCTTGTAAACTGACTTTAATTCAGGTTTCTTACTTTCAAAGGTTGATAAAGATTTTATTCCTGGGCTTATGTACATTCGAGACAATGAAGCCACTTCAGAAGAATTTGAAGCAATGAGCCTCCCATTCACTGTGCCTAATGCAAGTGGTCAAGATATTCAGCTGAGTTCCAAGTATACCCATATTACACTGGATAACAGAGCAGAATATGTGAGGCTGGCAATAAACTACAGGTTTGTTGAATAAATCATTAAAATTACTGATATGAATGTGTATTTAATTTTTAAAAATACATACCAGCTTTTAAACAACATGCTGATTAGCCTGCTTATACAAGTTATATGTATACATTAATTAGCCTGCTTAGCCTGTTATATACAAGTATTTTAATATTTTCATGTGATTACAGTGTTGATTTTCTGATTTCACTTACTGTATCCAAGGAAAAAATTCTTAAACCTAATTTTTAGGTTGCAAAATAAACGAGCAGGTGTGCCTCTAGATTTGTCCTGACTAAGCAGTTTTGGCAGCCAATTTTACAGGTGGAGAAATGTCCCATGCATCTAATTCTTCCTATGGGCTAAAGTAGTAGGCTTGATCAGTAAGCTCTTTGTGAAGAGAGCTTAGATCTAGTACTGCTGCACTCATACCTTTTCATATCATCAACTGCAGTTAAGGGAAGTATCAGCTGAGTTCTTACTCCAGCTTGGAACGTACAAATCAAAATGTTCATTCTTTGGCTAGGACATTGATGCACATCCATGGGTGGTCACTGCACAGAAATCAGTGAGAAATAACTGCTCAGTCTTTGAGAAGACTGGCCTTTGGTTGCTTATGTGGCCAGGTAGCTAATCTAGATGAGTGCATCTCAGAAACAATCATAAGCATCTTGTATCTGAAGCAGTGGGCCTAGTGCCTACTGAAATAGGTAAATTTAGATAATTTGGGTAAGAAATTGGTTTTTCACATACAATTGCCAATTGTGAATTACAGCTTTAGTTTTTAATTCTTTTCCCCACTGTAAGTGGTTATGAACCAATACTTAGACCTGTTTCTGACAGTAAAGAGAGGGGTCTTGTTTGGAGCTGATATTCCTTTGAAGAAATGTCTTTGCTCTCTTGCCAGTCTGGCTGTCCTCAGAGGACAGGAGCATTTCTAAAGCATTTTACAGTTAAAAGGCCTTGTGGAGAAACATTTAAAGGTTAAGAATCAAGTGTTTTAACAGTGTGAAGCCCTTGAGAGGGAAAACTAGCACCTCAATAGAATCCATGTGGAAAAGTGGATGCAGAAGACCAAACTTGTCCTGACATATTTGTGTGTTTTGGTGATGACTAGCCTGAGGACAGCACTTGTAAGAGATGTGTCTCTGCTCTGGAGGGCTCTGTAAAACATCTCAGAAATTATTTGACAGGGAAAAAAAGTAAGCCTAACACAAATCATGTGTGGCATCAGAAGCAGCAGAATGCTACTTATCTGTGCCTGTCTTGAAATAAAAAAAAAACTACTGTCTGCTCAGACATCCTATTTTAGTTCAGACCCTTTCTTTTTTTTTTTTTTTTTTAATGCAATAATGTCTGTCTAGTGCTGAGAATGTTTGAAGTTAGAGTTTCAAGATACAGACACTCTTTTTGCAAGAGCATATTGTTTCCAAATGGGATATTTGGTTTGTTTTTGCCAGGCATAGCACATTAATAATATTGGAAATAAAATATCTAAAACATTGGGAGTTACCTCCTCCATATTGAGCTTGCTGTGCAATAGGAATTAGTGTAGAAAGTCAGGTACTTTATAATAAATGTTTGTTCATTTTCTTTGGTACATAGCTGGACATGAGAGAAGGAGAATGGTTAAAGATGCTTTGATAATACAGTAATTGCTATAAATGACATTCACAGAAACTCTGAAAATGTTTCTCTACAGGCTTCATGAATTTGATGAGCAGGTTGCTGCAGTTCGTGAGGGGATGGCCCGTGTTGTTCCAGTTCCTCTACTTTCACTCTTTACAGGATATGAACTGGAAACTATGGTATCAATTTCTGCTTTGTTACTTCTGTCAGATTAGCTTGAAGTGAGATTATCCACTAATTTGTTTTACTAATAAAAACCCTACATTAAATGCTGTTTACAGTGACTGCTGTGTGGTTGAAAACATCAGTTCAAGGAAAGACCAGAAAATGTTTAATTACCCTCTTGGTGTTAGTGAAATTATTTTGACATAGCTGAGCAGTGATGTAATGAATTATTTCAGGAAGAATCAAACAAGCAAGACCAAAAAAAAAACAACCCACATGCCAGTGATCTAGAAAGTAAATTGGAGATACTTGCCCTAAATTCAGGAGTATGAAAAACATTCATTACTGTCCCCTGATGGGAAGATGTATATTTAGTTTTATTCTATTAGGAGACTGTGCATGGCATTTCAAAGATCTGAGTGCTCAGTTTGTCAGTGTAAAAGCTGATTAAATATTTTAAAGGAAGGGAGGGGACAAATCACCTGCAATTGCTTTGATTGGATTTGAGTAGCCTATCACTGTATTTTATTTTTCAGGTATGTGGAAGCCCAGATATTCCACTTCATCTCCTGAAATCTGTAGCAACTTACAAAGGCATTGAACCAACTGCTTCCTTGATACAGTGGTTCTGGGAAGTGATGGAGTCCTTCTCCAACACAGAGCGATCTCTCTTCCTGCGTTTTGTGTGGGGCAGAACAAGACTGCCCAGGACTATTGCAGACTTTAGGGGGAGGGACTTTGTTATTCAGGTAAGGTGTGTGGGATGGGGAAAGTTGGGGGCATCTCAAAAAGCTGGTAGTGGAGAAGTAGCAGCATGACATAACAAAAGCCTGATTTCATTAAACTGTTCTGCAGCTTTAGATTGTAGATTCAACAGTGCAACAGTTGAATAATAATGTCAGTGACAGTTATATAATGTATAGAACCAATCTTCTCTCTTGACTTGGACAAGTGGGTATTCCTTTGATTTCCCAGCCATTTCTTTCTGTGAATTTTGGTAGTTTTCCACTGTCAGGAAACTGGTTTTGCTGGCATTTATTTAGCATTTCATTCAGTTTAGTTAATAATTTCTGCTAAATTAAAACCACATAATCTTCAAATAATTTTTTTATACCTTCTGAAGTAGTAGAGTCTTTTTTTAGATTGCTCCCAACCACATATTCATAATCAAAGCAGCTCATGCACATCTGTTTTTATTTATTGATTTAGTGAAGGGAAAATGGACTTGGCCTCCTCATTCTTTTAAGAAACTTCAGCATCAGAATCAAAAACAATAAGCTGCTAAGAAAAAAAAAATCACAGTTATTATTTCAATACTTATTCGTGTTTTTGGACAGTGAATAAAAAAAAAATAATTTTGTTTTGTTTTGTTTACTTGTTAACAGGTATTGGATAAGTACAATCCTCCAGACCACTTCCTTCCTGAGTCATACACGTGCTTCTTTCTCCTGAAGCTGCCCAGGTATTCCTGTAAGCAGGTCCTAGAGGAAAAGCTCAAGTATGCCATTCACTTCTGCAAGTCCATAGACACTGATGACTATGCCCGCATTGCGCTGACGGGAGAGCCGGCGGCTGATGACAGTAGTGACGAGACTGATAACGAAGATGCAGATTCTTTTGCTTCAGATTCTACACAGGACTACTTAACAGGCCATTGAAAAGTAACATAAGGAATAGTTGTTAAAAGCACTGAGGCAAAATGCCAAAACGACAATGAAGCCAAGGACAGCTTAGGTTTCAGAATAGAGACTGTATAGTCAGAGTGATGGTAATCTTCTGAACATGGGGAAAGTGTGTTTGCTACTCACAGTAGGATTTAAGGATTACAGCTTAATCCATCAGCTTAAAATAAATGGCACAGTATATGGGCATTTAACATTTATTTTAAAAGCTGAAAATGGCCCCCCATAATGCTGCACTACATTTAGAACCTTTGTGTTTACTGAAGTGTTGTAAATGTTTATATAAATATGGTAGTGCAGCATCCAAAAGGCAGTGAAACCTTTAAATTGTGGGTGCAATAGGTTTTTTCATATTAAGTGTTGTGTTCTGTGCATCTTCTTGATTGTATATTGGAAATACTGTGCAACAACGGAATAGTATTATAAATATTTCAATTAACTTTACTAGAAGTTTGTTAAAAGTTTTTGAACATTGAATAAACATTATTCCTTGAAATTCTTCTATAGATAATTAAAAATGGCCAATAGTTTCACCTCCACCCCTGGTTTGTATATTTTAGCTTATGCATTATTTATCTCAAATTTGATACCTTTCTGTGAACAGCATCACAATTCTTATCATGGAAAGTGTACTGTATATAATTGGTGCCATGTAAATGCAAAAGTTATAATTTCCCTCTAAATAAAAGTTCTGCCACATTAAGAACCAGGATATGTTTTTTCATGGTAATGCAGCTTGGACACGGGATGAACATTTCAAACAGCTCTGCAAAGAAATGTTTCTGCAATTTACAGCTTTTGAACAAGCTGCTCCACCAATAGTAGGTACATTCCCAAAGAGATTTTGTGAGCTACAGTAAATTTGAGCAAGTTCAGATAACATGCTAATTGTAGTGATTAGGTACATCTTGTTTATGCAGTAGTTCCTAAGGCCACTGCTGTCAGTAATAATGAATTTATTCTTGGACACTTGGAGGAAGTGTAAGGGAGAGGTATCCTGAAGTACCTGAGCATGAGGAGAAGAGTCTGATGACACTTGTGTAACATCGTATTGCTGAGAAAATTCAGTCACCTTACAAGGCCTGGTCATGGCACATTGGCACAGGGCACTTGATCATGACCCACTCCTGACCACATATTTAGTTTATGCACTAAATTTTCAAAACAGGAGAATAAGAATTATGCCAAAGCACTTACATTTTACTCTAAAATCTATTAGTGGGTAATGTCATACCATTGCTTCTGTAATTATTAGAACAGGTATATGTGAGTATTCAACATTTTACAATTTAACTTTTTGCAATTATGAGTGGATTCATTCTTTTTTAGTGTGTGCATTTGACTTCTGTTCCAACTAGATTAAATATTAACTGTGATCATGAACTAAGTTTTCGTGAGACAAACTTGATACTTCAGTATAGTGTGAAACTACTGGTAGCTAGATGCCAATGGTTTGAAATATGTTACCTTTAGAGTCCTCTGTTTAGTGCTAAAGATCTCTTGCAGTAAATGCCCCTTTCCCGATCTTCTTCTCATTGGAAGTTCCAGAAATCTGACCGTGCTCTGCTCGGTCCTCCAAATTTTCTCTGTCTGCTGGTGAAAATTACTGGGTTTTGAGTCCTTAAGATGGAAAACTCAAAAACCTTTAAGAAACCTCTTCTATCTTTGCTGCTGAATTGACTTTCTCCTGAGGGTAAGGAGTAGTAGAAGTGGTACAGAAGTGCTCACGTGGTTGTCTGCTGCCCTTTGCCATGCTAACACTGGAGCCCTGTAGGCATCCAACTCAAAGAGATTCTGTAGTCAGCTTTTCAGGAGAGGGGATGAATGAGTCATGCCCAAATCCCAGTCTTTGACCAAGTTCAGTTACCATTCTTGAGTTTTAAGCCCCATTTCAGAAGCATAGGGTGGACTACTGTAACATGGAGCTTTTAACTTGCTTATAGGAAAGAAAAACAATGTCAGGGTTTTCTATCCAAGAAAAGCAAAAAGGAAATACGCTTAATGTAAGGAATCTGGATGCTTTGTTGCATTCAACATTGCATTGTTGCATACAGTTGCATTGAACTGTAAAAGAAGTTTCTTAGGCCTCCTTCTTTGCTTTCCCATCCTAACAGAAGAGTGGCAGGCACCTTTTTACATTGTGGTGCTTGTCACCTGTTGCCTACCTTCCAGCATTTCATAGATTATCAGGTTGGAACGGGCCTCAAGGATCATCTGTTCCAACCTTTATTGGCAAAAGCACAATTTAGATGAGATGGTTCAGCATTCTGTGCAGCTGAATCTTAAAAGCATCCATGTTGGGGAATCTGCCACCTCCCTGGTGAGATTATTCTGTGAAAATCTCTTCTCTTCTGTCCAATCTCCTCAAGAATATTTTATACCATTACCCCTTTTCTTTTCCATGTGACTCTTTGTAAAAAAAGAGTCTACTTTGTAAGCACCCTTTACGTACTGGAACATGTTGGTAAGGTCTCCCATAAAGCTTCTTTTCTCAAGGCAGAACAAACCCAATTCTTACAGCCTTTTCTTACATGGCAGGCCTCCCAGTCCTCTGGTCCTCTTCGTGGTCCTTCTCTGGATCCTCTGCAGCCTGTCCACATCTTTTTGCACAGTAGGGACCAGAACAGCACAGTGTTCCAGGTGTGGCCTCACAAGTGTCAAGTGGGATAGACTACTTTTATCAGTGCTGGTGATTCCATCTGGATGTGACGCAGTATCTCGTTGGGTTTCTGTGCTGCAGCAGCACACTGTTCATTTGCATTGAGTAGACAATGTCCACCACTTGCCACACATCAACCAAGGCAGTGAACCTGTCATAAAGGTAGAGCAAGTTTGTCAAACGTGATTTACACTTCATGAATCCCTGCTTGCTTTTCCCGGTTGTGGACTTCATCTGACTTGTGATAGCCCCCCAGGAGGATTTGTTCCATAATTTTCTCAGGGACTGCAGTAAGACTGATGAGCCTGTGACTTCCTGGATCGTCCTTTAGGACCTTCTTTCAGATGGAGGTCACTTTAACTTTCTTGCTGCCCTCTGGAATATCTCCTGATCTCCACAGTTCTCCAAGGTTGTGGAAAGTGCACCCATAATGATGTCAGCCAGCTCTCAAACACTTTCAGGTGGATAATGGTAGGGACCATCAAATTGTAGGGGTTGAGCTCCTGCAACAATTCGCACACCAACTCTTTCTTCACTGATGGTGAGTCTATGTTTGCATCAACCTGAATTTTTCTTCCAAAGGCCAGAGGCTCAGCACTACTGGTAAAGACCAAGGTAATGAGAGTGCTGAGAACTGCCTTTTAAGCATTGCTGGTGACTAATCCACCTTTCTTGTTACACAACAAGTATGTGTTTTCCTTCATTTTTACTGGTTGTTTACATAACTGAAGAAACCTTTTTTTTTGTGTTTTTTTTTATTTTTACATCTCTGGCCAATTTCAGTTCAAGCTGAGCTTTTGTTTTTCTAGCTGCATCTCTGCAAACCCTGGCAATGCCCTTGTAGTTCTCAGTGGGTATTCTCCCGCTTTTCCTCTAGCCTATACCCATCCAGTGTGGTCCTACAGCCGTGTGAGATGTTGTACCTGTGTTGACATCATAAATTTCTGACTGGCTGCAGAGCTCCAGTTCCTTGTGTTCCCCAGGCTGCATGCATTGATACACATGTACTTGAGGTGGTTAGTCCTGAGGAACATTTGTCCCTGCTTGAGTCTGGGGCTGGATGATCTTTAACATCCCTTCCAACTCAAACCATTCTGTGATTCTGTGAGCCAGCAAACTTGAAAGATTCACCTTTCCAGAGAATGTGGGAAAAAGCAGCCCTTCTGGGCAGGGGTGCAGCAAGGAAAAGGAGAAGAAAACTCTCTGGCAGCCAACCCCATGACTTTTGTTTTCAGGGTGAGGCTGAGACAGCACTAGTGGCTCATGCAGTCCTTAGTGATACTAAACAATACCCGCACTCTGCTACTATTGGAGCTCTCTGAGTGTTTCCTATCATGCTACGATTGTAATGGCACTGCTCAGCCCAGCACCGAGTGTGCCTCACCAGCAGTGGGATGGCCCACAGGGAAAGCAAAGCATCCATGAACTTTTGATCCTTGCTCACAGTGTGCCGCTGGCAAGGACACAGACGCACATCCCAGCCCTGTTGACTGTGCCTGGATGTACTCTGAAAGGCTCCACGCAACAGGTCATGGGATGTGGTCAGGAAGGAATGCAGATAACAACAGTACCCTTTCAGCTTTGGGCCCTGAAAGGTGGCATTCAGTGCCTGCCTGACACTCCTCCCTCTCCTGGCCATAGCTCCTGGCTATGCAGCTGCTCCATAGGCCAAATGCTGCCCATCTTCATGGGCCAGGGAGCTGCTGGACATGCATACCTTGCTTCAGGGGCACCAGGACACCACAGCAGTCCAGGTGATACAGGAAGGTCTACCAGGACCACTACATTACTCTCTGTATGAGGAGATGCAAATACTAGAGCAAATGCCCTTTTATGCATGAGCACATACGTCAAAAGAAGCATGAGACAGTACTTATTTCACAAGGGGAGCTTCATGTCCAAAAGTCATCCCTTATCCTTAGGATTAATCATAACTCAGCTGAGGCAATTACAAAGATAAACCTTTGTCTGTGTGAATCTCTCATGTACATAGAGAAATAAATCTTGGATGGCTTCAAATTCTGCATCTCACTGCACCTATACCACTCTCCACATTTGTTTCAGAGTAACCACATCCCTCTCCACTTTCCCACTCTGCACTGGTCTGGAATAGGGCAAGATAAGTAATTATTCCAGGACTGTTACACTGGTGTCCATACAGAGGCAAATCTTAGTCTTGAATGGTGTTATGGAGCCATTATCTCTGTGTGTGAGGCAGACCAGAGAATAATGTTTCTAGCAGAGGTGAAGCTAATTTGCTTAAACTGAGAAGTTTTCTGAATTTTTCATGAAAGGAGTGATTTGACTGCTAAGATACTTCAGTAAATTTTAATAGTGGTTAACAAGGCTTTTCCTTCCCTTCAAAGTTACATATTCTTCTACCATTTTTTTCCAAACATGAGTATAATTAATAGTGATATATTATGATAATTAATGATACACCCCTATTTTATATATGATTCTGCTAAATCATAACATTATTAACTATTCCTTAACATGTCCCAGTCTGTTTTACAAAATTCATTGTGTCAGTTTTGTTGAACAGAAACATCTCTAACTCAGCATTTGCCAAACTGGTGAGAAGAATTTTCTTTCCAGATTCTTTAAAGCAGAGGTGGTTCCCACAAGCTCACCACTAAGAACATCTCACCATAAATCCTTGTCTCCACGTTGGACTTGGGCAGAGGAGAGCTATATTTCACAAGACACTCACTTTCATCTCACTTCACATTTTTTTGTTTCTGACCTTTGCTTTTTACTGATGCAACTCCATCAGACCAAAAAGCCATACTGAAAGGAAAACAGCTCTGCCACATCACCAGGGATGACCTACCTCCAGGGACCTTGGCCAACTTTGCATTTCTGAGCTGCATACACATGTTCATCTCTGAAGGGTGAATCTGATCACACAGGGTCCTGAGGACTGCTCAATGCTGGCAATGCAAAGTCCATCTCGGGGGCAGGAAAGCATCATGTCATTTCATGACATGAATACCTCACCAGATAAAAGACCTCTATCACACCAAAATCACACTCCTACCCCCTGC